ATTTGAGAATATAATTTTCCCGTTTATTTATTTTTGTAGTTTAGTAGTACTTCCGCAAATTTAGAAAACTGTATGTTATTTAAAAATACGTGACAAATCACGAGGCCAGGCAATCTAAAGATTTGACTGCTGGTTTGCGCGGGAAATACTGCATACTTTTTAGATAAAAGGAGTCTATGATAAGCGCACGTAGGAGATGATAGACAGAGAGCTAATATATAGAGCTAATGTATTGGAAAGAAATAGGATAAGTTTACGTGCGCACACCACAGCCTCCCTTTCTTCTCTAAACAGTTTGGGATCATACCATAGTATCATAAATAATAATAATTGACAAAGAGTTCGCAAAGGAATCCATCGGAAATATTTATACAATTGTTTACAACTACCAGTACAAATAATTCTTTCATTTTCAACTGAAAAGCGTATAACTATATTAAGTACTAGATATTATGGAGTTAGGGGTAATCAAATAGATTTGGGATGCAGTCAACATAATTGTCACTGATACATAAGACATGGAAACGAATGATTTATTTCCAAATCCAAATATACTGCATTTACAGTTTTAAACAGTATCACTGCTAATTTTCTCTGGTTGCCCGACAATAGCTACTTGTAGTCAATATCCACGTAATGTAATAAAATACTGGAATCTAATTGTTTAAGACAACAATCTATTTTTACCCGAGTGTTCTTTATCAATTTGAATATTTTATATAAAAAAATTACATATTAAGCTGCAATTTTAGTAGGACTGCAGCCAGTCAACGAGCCGCCATTACTCCGCCAATGCAAAGAAAATATCATTTTATTATCCTTTGTAAAAATAATTTCTTTCTGTAAAACACATTTAAATTTGGTACTCCGTATTTCATTCACAATTCACCATTTAACAATGGAAATTAACAATGCAAAATTTGGACTCTACAATTTTTAGGTAAAATGAATGACTGCAATGAGTTTTATCAAATGTAGATTTTATATAAAAATAAAGAAAAATAAGTCTCTTTATTTTAAAAATATTTAGAAAAAATCGAATCAAAACATCAATAACTTAACATTCATTGTTCGTTATACTTAGTTAACTACTTCATCACGCGATTTCTAATATCGTTTCAATTTTTCATTTATTTCACATTATTAATCCTTGCCGTATTACTTGTTCTGCGCGTGAAGTTGATTAAGAAATCTTAATCTTAATTATCTCTGAAAAATGTATCTATTATTATCTGTAATTATTGATGTGGAAATATCATTTCCACAAATAAGAATACAGGTATGCAGCATTATGAATTTTGTTGACTAAAATTTTAGAGAAAATAAGTTCAATCAATTCCGAGAAATCATTAAATAAAAATGTTACTCTTAAGTAAAAAATTAAATTATTTGTTTACTAGCAACGAATCTATTTGAAATTTAAATTTGTAAAATTTCGAATCTAATAATTTGAAACTCAATCTTTCTTAAAAAAAAAAAATCGAAAATATTTGTAACATCTATAACAACAGAAAAAGAGTTGCACAAATTACAGTTGTTTTTTTTTTAATTTCAGATTCATCAAAATTGTTAAGTCTCTTTTTTATTTATTTCACATTATTCTTATTATTCTGCGCGTGAAGTTGAATACGATTTCTTTCCCAACCCCAAACCTAACGCTGAAAAGCAAAACAGCAAGGAAGTACGTAAAAACGGATAACGGTACTCTATCGATTTCTGCTTGGACATGCGGCAAATCAGCACTGAATCTAAACTATGTTTCGCTTCGCCCAAGTGCGACATGCGGCAAATCTGCACCAAACCAGTAGAGGCGAAAATCCCTCGGACGCGATCTGGATATGCGGCAAACCAGTTCTAAGGTGACGAAATGGAGAAATTAGTGTAGTACTTACTGGTGAGTGGAAGCAGAGAATGGCAGGTCTGTAGTGTAACCACTACTACAGACAGTAGTACGTATAGTGCAACCATTTTGACAATATAAAAAATGATAATGTGTAAGCTTTTATATATACCTAATTAGAATGAGTTGAACAAACAACGATTAAGAAATTGTTTTATGTATTTTTGTCTACTTTAACAAACATTTTAGATTTACCACCTTGGAGCATTTTTTCCTTACAAAATGTGTACTGTTTTCTTAGATAAATGTATTAAACCCCTAGGGAGTTGCGCAAAACTTAATATTATATTGTCTAACAAGGAATATTCTCTAAAAGAGTAGGTAAAACCCATTCCCTTCGCCAAGCAATTCAAAACGTCACAAAAAACTGCAAACATTTGGTGTGTATGTAAATAGCAAGCACGAAATTTGACAAACAATTTACGTACAATGTGACCTTGAATTCGATATAGTCACTCTGTGCACACATCTGACTCACTACACATACTGCAATTATTTTCACAGTGTATACATGGATTTTACATGGACTCAACTTGTTTTTCAGTAGGTAGCTTCACTTAAAAAATAACAATATAAATACTGTTACGAAATAACCCTATACGCCGCCCCGATACGACGCCTATGGGTTATCTAGAATGTGCGGCGATGATGGGTGACTCATCAGTCAGTGAAGTCCAGGAATGACGAAAGTTTAGTCTAGTCAAATCCATTCCGGTCGGAATTATTGTGTACATAATCGCTGTATGATTAGTCGTGTGAAATAAATTGTGGAGTTTTACCCACGCCGATTTTTAATCATCGATCGACGTAACAATTCTGTTATAATAAACCAAAGTGTACTTGGTATCACAAAAAAAACCGTCCAAAAATAAATCGACTACGTGATGAATACAGACGACAGACGGAAGGAAACAGGAAAATGATGTTCTAATATTCTATGGAACAACTTTATTCAAATTAACTTTTAACAAAAAGTTTGTAATTAATTAACACGGACTTCTTCAGCTCGTACAGCTTTATACATTAGTCGAAAACCTCTTGCATCTACAGTAGAATCTGTGTGAAATTTCACTGTGAAATTACTACTCGATAGCAATTCTTCTTCAGGTTTCTAAAGTAAAAACAAAATAAAGACGTTAAAATCTGGACAATTTAACTACTTACGTTAATACCACAAAATTTTCCACGTGAGGTATGACCTTCTCGAATTTCTATAAAGTCGTAAGTGCAATCAACAGAAGCTTCAATTTCAAAAACCTCAACTGACAGATTTACGTAATAGCCGGAGTCCACCCTAATAGTCCAAACACAGTCACTATTGTTGTGGTAGTTCGAAAGACCATACGTATCGTGAGAATAAATGTACTTTTCAGTGGTGGTAGCGGTCAAAGTACCACCACATAGAGACGAATATATCGCTTGGAAACCTTGATAAACATTCGAACCATCTGATATAAAATTGACGTATAGTTCGTTTTTCGTGGACCATCTAGTGTAGCCTGTTTTAGTACCACAAAGTTTTTCCAAAAGAGGCACCCTTGATGAAAAATCGTCATAAACGTTAATGTAATCGTGACAGTTTTCAGTATGTACATCAAGAAAACTGATTTGTATTCTATGGCCTGGGTTAGTTTTAAATTTCCAAGTGCAGTTTGCATTATCGTAGTAGCTACTGGGATAATTAGGACTAAAAATTGTCCCCCCAACAGAAGCGATTTCGTAATGACAATCTTTTTTGCAGTTGACGGAATCCATGGAAACGTACGTTTCTGGACAAAGACACTTACGACCTGTATCCAAGTTAACACACCCGTGGTGACAGTTACCTTTAAACTTGTCACATTTGTCTCTAATCATAGAATACTTTAAAGCAAACCCTTTTCTTTCAACAGTACTATCAGAAAAAAACACAATCTTCGTGTTAGTACTTTCAGATATAACCCGATGTGGTAGTCCACTCCCGCAATAAGTACCTAAGTGTTTCGTCACATTTTCACTTTCTCTAAAAACATCCAACTTGTCTTTTTCGCACTTATTTTTAATCGAACGTGTCAAATTATCTCCTTCTATATCGAAATGAGTGAAATCTAAAAGTACAACATGCCCGACAGGAGCAACAATTTCCCAAGTACATCGTTTGTTTGAAGGGTACTCATTAGGAAAAGATGGCGACTAAATCACACCATTTAGTGCAGTAAGAGAACCACCACAAGCAACCTCACAGCTTTTCCCATCAGAGTGTAATTCGTACCCTTTTCTACAGGCACATTTGTATTTACCAATGGTATTAATGCACTCCTGGGCACAGTCGTGCAGCATAGTTGTGCATTCATCAAACTCCGCCATAATAAAAACAGAAAAACCTTCCTTCTGAACAGAGGCATCTGACACCAATTTAATCGTAAGGTTGTTCGAAGATGAAGTAACATTACCTGGAAGTACGTCGCCACAAAACCTCCCACGAGAAGTACCATTCGAATCGTCAACCTCCACATAATCAAACAAACACTGATCGTGGTGTTCTATTTTGAATTTCTGGAAGCTCAGTACCACTTGGTGGAAGTCCGGTACTACTACTTTCCAAACGCACTTTCTGTTAAGGGGGTACTTTTCCTGAGGGTGGCTCGAGTGCAAAACAAACTCGTTTCGCACGTACACTTCTCCCCCACAGGTAGCTTCATAGTTTGCGAAAAACCCTCTATAACCTGCTTTGTGTACGTACGAAATTAACATTTTGTTTTTCGTGGAGGTAACGGGATCTAGAGTACCCCGTCCACAGAATTTTCCAAGGAGAGGAGAATCCTCCCAGAGACCATCTCGTACTTCAACATACCCCGAGATGCAACTGGGTGTTTTTTTGATGTCGAGTTGTGTTATGTTGAGGGTGATTTTTTCATCCGGAGATGTGAGAATGCGCCATTTGCAAGTTTCGGGGTTGATGTTGTTGGGTTTATAAAATGTGGGTGGAGAGAAAGTTCCCGTTTTTGTGTAGAAAGTGGTACCGCAAGCTGCAAAAAATTGCGAAGTATCGAACAGTTTTTATGTTTGAGTACCCCAGGGAGTACTCTTGATAATGAGATGAGAGATTTAGTATACTTACTGGTAACCGGAAGAAGACAATTACAGTTGTTGAAGTTAAGGATTGTTGCTAAAAAGACTGTACACAACAAAAACATTTTCAGGATTGTAATGCTTAATTGGATGTTTCTGTGTTTGCAGTTTGTTATCAGGATGGGTTTGAAGGTCAGTTGACGATGTGTAAACTATCAAAATATTTTTATTTATATTAGTCTAGGGTGGGTATTCCCCTTGATTTTATATTTGTAAATATTTAAACATTGTATTATTTTTAGCTTTTGATAATGTTAATATTGAAATTCTAGTGCGTAAAAAATTGGTGTTAAGCAATAATGTTGTGACACCTAATTCCTGTCCGTTCGAAAAGCTACAGCACTATCACACTAAACAAGGTTATGTTGGAAAGGAAAAAATCCTCTACATATATATCATTTTTATGTTCGTGTTTTTGGTGCTACCGTGCTTCTTCGATTTGAATTTTCAAGTGTGGGGGGAATTTGTAATTTTAACTTATAAGGGCTATCATAAAAAAAATAAAATTCCCAAAATCAAATGTTATGATTTTTTAAAAAGCTGAATTCTGGATTTGTTCTAATGTACTTCAAGGGTGAGGGAAATTCTGTCGAAATCACTTTCGACCAAGTTACATGTCAATAAAATCGCCAACAGACAACCAGATGACAGACAGACGGAAACAGGAAACATAATTTTTCATGTTTTATTATCCTGTGGACCAACTTTATTCAAATGAACTTTTGAAAAAGTAATTAATTAAGGTGGACCTCTTCAGATCGTACAGCTTTATACATAAGTCGAAAACCTCTTTTAGCTACACTATGATCTGTGTGAAATTTTACCGTAAAATTATCACTCGACAGGAATTCTTGTTCAGGTTTCTAAAAAAAAAACAACAAAATAAAAACGTTAAATTCTGAACAAATCAACTACTTACCTCATTGCCACAGAATTTTCCACGTGAAATATCACCTTCTTGAATTTCTATAAAATCGTAATCGCAATACGAAGAAAATTCAATATCAAGAACCTCAACCGACAGATTGACGTAATACCCGGAGTTTGCCTTGATAATCCAAACACAATCAGTGTAGTCGTAGTAGTTCGAAAGACCATACGTATCGTGAGAATAAACGTACTTTTCGGTGGTAGTAGCAGTCAAATTACCACCACATACAGACGAATATGTGGCATTGAAACCATGATAAACGTTCAAAGAGTCTGAGATAAAATTGACAGATAATTCGTTTGTGGTGGACAATCCAGTGATATCCGTTTTATTACCACAAACTTCTAACAAAATGCTCGCATTCGATGGATAATAATTATCATAAACCCTGACGTAATCGTCACAATCTGCAGTTTGTATACCAGAAAAAACGATTTGTATTCTATGCCCTGGTGTTGTTTTAAATCTCCAAGTGCAGTTTGCATTATTCGAATAGTAATTAGGGTAATTAGGACTAGATATTATTCCCGAAGGTGAGGCTATTTCGTGATGACAACCTCTGTTACAGTCGACGTTGTTTTCTGTCGTGTAATTTTCTGGACAAATACATTTACGATATGTCTGCAGACTGACACATCGATGATGACAGTTACCTCCAAAGTTGTCACATTTATTTTCAACTATAGAATAGTTTAACGCAAACCCAATCCTTTCCACACTGTTATCCGCAGACAAAATAATCTTCATAGTACTACCTTGAGATGCAACAAGATCTGGCAAGACTCTTCCACAATAAGTACCTAAAAGTTGTGTGTCCGTTTCCTCCTCATTAAAAACCTCCAACTTATTCTTTTCACACTTTCCACTAATCGAATCATTATCGTTATCTCCTTTTAAATCAAAATCAGAGAAACTTAAATGTATTACGTTATCAGCGGGAACGACGATTTTCCATATACAAGTTGTGTTTTGCGAGTACTCCCGAGGGAACGACGACGAATAACGGATCGTACCATTTAAGGCGTCCAAAATTCCACCACACTCGGTTTCACAGCTTTTGCCATCTCTTTGTAATTTATAGCCCCTTCGGCAAGCACATTTATAACTACCAACGGTATTAATACACTCATGAGCACATTGGTGTTCTTTGGTTACGCATTCGTCGTAATCTGCCAAAAGTAAGAAAGAAAAACCTTCTTTCTGAATAGTGTTGTCTGAGACGAATTTAATCGTAAGCGTGTTTAAAGTCGAAGTGATATTTTCTGAAAGTTCCTCACCACAAAACCTTCCAAGAGCAGTACTATTGGAATCATAAAACTCCACATAGTCGTACCTACAGTGTGTTTCATATTCTATTTGGAATTTTTCACTTCTCACCACGACTTGATGGTTGACTGGAACTGTCACTTTCCAAATACATTTTTTGTTACGAGGGTACTTTTCTTGGAGTTCATTCGAATGTAAAATAAACTCACTTCGTACATATATTTCCTCTCCACAAAACGCTTTATATTCTCCTAGAAATCCTTTATTACCTACTCGGTGCTCGTACGAAATTAACATTTTATTAGTTGTGGAGAATATGAGGTTTAGGGAACCTTTTCCACAATATTTTCCAAGAAGGGGAGAATCTTCCCAAAGACCATCTCGTATTTCTAGGTTACCCGAGTTGCAATTTGGTGTCTTTTCTATGTCGATCACAGTTACATTAAGGACAATTTTTTCATCTGGAGATACTAAAATGCGCCATTTACATTTTTCGGTGTTGGTGGTGTTCGGTTTGTAAAATGCAGGGGAAAAGAACGTTCCCGATTTTTGTTTGAACGTGGTATGGCAAGCTGAAAGTCGAGAACAAACTTTGATAAATGGAGAAATTAGTGTGGTACTTACTGGTGAGTGGAAGCAGAGAATGGCAGGTCTGTAGTGTAACCACTACTACAGACAGTAGTACGTATAGTGCAACCATTTTGACAATAGAAAAAATGATAATGTGTAAGCTTTATATATACCTAATTAGAATGAGTTGAACAAACAACGATTAAGAAATTTTTTTATGTACTTTTGTCTACTTTAACAAACATTTTAGATTTACCACCTTTCAGCATCTTTTCCTGTTTTCTTAGATAAATTTATTAAACCCCTAGGGAGTTGCGCAAAACTTAATATTGTATTGTCTAACAAGGAATATTCTGTAAAAGAGTAGGTAAAACCCATTCCCTTCGCCAAGCAATTCAAAACGTCACAAAAAACTACAAACATTTGGTGTGTATGTAAATAGCAAGCACGAAATTTGACAAACAATTTACGTACAATGTGACCTTGATTTCGATATAGTCACTCTTTGTGCATACATCTGACTCACTACACATACTGCAATTATTTTCACAGTGCATACATGCATTTTACATGGACTCAACTTGTTTTTCAGTAGGTAGCTTCACTTAAAAAATAACAATATAAATACTATTACGAAATAACCCTATACGCCGCCCCGATACGACGCCTATGGGTTATCTAGAATGTGCGGCGATGATGGGTGACTCATCAGTCAGTGAAGTCCAGGAATGACGAAAGTTTAGTCTAGTCAAATCCATTCCGGTCGGAATTATTGTGTACATAATCGCTGTATGATTAGTCGTGTGAAATAAATTGTGGAGTTTTACCCAAGCCGATTTTTAATCATCGATCGACGTAACAATACTTTTATAATAAACCACAGTGTATTTGGTATCACAAAAAATCCGTCCAAACATAAATCGACTACGTAATGAATGCGGACCACAGACAGAAGGAAACAAGAAAAAGATTTTCTAATATTCTATGAAACAACTTTATTCAAATTAAATTTTAACAAAAAGTGGGTAATTAATTAACATGGACTTCTTCAGCTCGTACAGCTTTATACATTAGTCGAAAACCTCTTGCATCTCTAGTAGAATCTGTGTGAAATTTCACTGTGAAATTACTACTCGATAGCAATTCTTCTTCAGGTTTCTAAAGTAAAAACAAAATAAAGACGTTAAAATCAGGACAATTTAACTACTTACGATAACACCGCAGAATTTTCCACGTGAGGTATGACCTTCTCGAATTTCTATGAAGTCGTAAATGCAATCAACAGAAGATTCAATTTCAAAAACCTCAACTGACAGATTTACGTAATAGCCGGAGTCCACCCTAATAGTCCAAACACAGTCACTATTGTTGTGGTAGTTCGAAAGACCATACGTATCGTGAGAATAAATGTACTTTTCAGTGGTGGTAGCGGTCAAAGTACCACCACATAGAGACGAATATACCGCTTGGAAACCTTGATAAACATTCGAATGATCTGATTTAAACTTGACGTATAGTTCGTTTTTCGTGGACCATCTAGTGTAGCCTGTTTTAGTACCACAAAGTTTTTCCAAAAGAGGCACCCTTGATGAAAAATCGTCATAAACGTTAATGTAATCATGACAGTTTTCAGTTTGTACATCAAGAAAACTAATTTGTATTCTATGACCAGGTGTAGTTTTAAATTTCCAAGTGCAGTTTGCATTATTGTAGTAGCTACCGGGATAATTAGGACTAAAAATTGTCCCCCCAACAGAAGCGATTTCGTAATGACAATCTTTTTTGCAGTTGACGGAATCCACGGAAACGTACGTTTCTGGACAAAGACACTTACGACCTGTATCCAAGTTAACACACCCGTGGTGACAATTACCTTTAAACTTGTCACATTTGTCTCTAACCATAGAATACCTTAAAGCAAACCCTTTTGTTTCAACAGTACTATCCGAAAAAAACACAATCTTCGTGTTAGTACTTTCAGATATAACCCGATCTGGTAGTCCACTCCCACAATAAGTACCTAAGTGTTTCGTCACATTTTCACTTTCGCTAAAAACATCCAACTTGTCCTTTTCGCACTTATTTTTAATCGAACGTGTCAAATTATCTCCTTCTATATCGAAATGAGTGAAATTTAAAAGTACAACATGCCCGACAGGAGCAACAATTTCCCAAGTACATTGTTTGTTTGAAGGGTACTCATTAGGAAAAGATGGCGACTGAATCACACCATTTAGTGCCGTAAGAGAACCACCACAAGCAACCTCACAGCTTTTCCCGTCAGAGTGTAATTCGTACCCTTTTCTGCAAGCACATTTGTATTTACCAATGGTATTAATGCACTCTTGGGCACAGTCGTGCAACATAGTTGTGCATTCATCAAACTCCGCCAAAATAAAAACAGAAAAACCTTCCTTTTGAACAGAGGCATCTGACACCAACTTAATCGTAAGGTTGTTCGAAGACGAAGTAACATTACCTGGAAGTACGTCGCCACAAAACCTCCCACGAGAAGTACCATTCGAATCGTCAACCTCCACATAATCAAACAAACACTGATCGTGGTGTTCTATTTTGAATTTCTGGAAGCTCAGTACCACTTGGTGGAAGTCCGGTACTATTACTTTCCAAACGCACTTTCTATTAAGGGGGTACTTTTCCTGAGGCTGGCTCGAGTGCAAAACAAACTCGTTTCGCACGTACACTTCACCCCCACAGGTAGCTTCATAGTTTGCGAAAAACCCTCTATAACCTGCTTTGTGTACGTACGAAATTAACATTTTGTTTTTCGTGGAGGTAACGGGATCTAGAGTACCCCGTCCACAGAATTTTCCAAGAAGAGGAGAATCCTCCCAGAGGCCATCTCGTACTTCTACATACCCCGAAATGCAACTGGGTGTCTTTTTGATGTCGAGTTGTGTTATGTTGAGGGTGATTTTTTCATCCGGAGATGTGAGAATGCGCCATTTGCAAGTTTCGGGGTTGCTGTTGTTGGGTTTATAAAATGTGGGTGGAGAAAAAGTTCCCGTTTTTGTGTAGAAAGTGGTACCGCAAGCTGCAAAGAATTTGTTTGAGCACCACAGAGAGTACTTTTGAAAACGAGAATAGGGTGTTTGGTACTTACTGGTAACTGGAAGAAGACAGTCACAGCTGTTAAAAGCAAAGATTAAAGCGAAAACGAGTGTGTATAGCAGACACATTTTCAGGATTGTAATAAGTAATTGGATGCTTCTGTGTATGCAGCGTGTTATCAGGATGGGTTCAAAGGTGCGGTCGGCGATATATAAAGTAAACGGTTTATTTATATCAGTCGAAGATGGGTATTCCCCGACTATATTTTTTATTTTATTTATATTTATATATTTGTAGTTTATTGTTACATCACTACAGCTTCTATATCATTTAAGGCATCATCCAGAATCTTCTCCATTTCCGGGTTCGCTGCAATTTTTGTTATTTCTTCCATATATTCGTTCTTCAATTTTTCCAAGCTTTCCAAGGTGTAGTCCAAGCTTCCAAACTCTTCCAGCAACTTAATAAAGTATAATTTCACGTTTTTATCTGACGTTCTTTGCTTCAAGATGTCTGGACACTGATAAGGAATTCGTCCCTACTGTTGAAATATTATGGATTAAAAAAGGATACCCAGGAGTCGGTGGTCCTCAGGATGCGTTTTTATCCCATGTATGATCGGAAAAGTAAAAATTCCTTCTGTTATGTCGTCTCCGAAAACTTTAAGCTTTGCGTACTACGACCAACTAAAACTACAAGTGTAACAATTTTGAAATTCGCTTACGCTCTGAGACGCCAGATTGACGTAGTCGTTGCAAATTTGGAAAAACAGTCCCATCGGAACCAGAAATGGGTCAAAATTGCTGTTCTTATACTGAGTAGCGAACAACTGCTGCACAGAAACTATAAACGAAATAGCTGAAGTAGTTTCTACAATAATTTTCACTTTTTTAGTTTTCTGTAAAAAAATCAACTCCGACGTACTATTAAAGACAGTTTGTTGATATTCTTCTTCCGTAGGGCATATCCCATTTCTTGCAAAGTACGTTTCCATGGCTTGCCCTTGACATAGCTTTACACCCGTTGCAATGAAAATGTCGACCATCTATGTACAATCTGGGCGTTTATGACTTGTGACGTGTTTGTAACTTACCTTGAAGTCATCAAATTTTTCCATTGCTGAAATGAAAGCATAAATGGACGAATGAATCGTTCTAGATCTTCCATAGACCAAGCGCGATGTCGGAATGCCTCCACGTAGTACCGAATTATCCACCAAATCGTCCATTCTATAAAATTGCGTTTTTGTTTACTGGAGATAATTTTAAGTCATTTACATTAAGCCAGCAGCTCCTAATTTGTTTCCAATGGTTGAAATTTCTTTGAACTTGTCTTCGGGTACTTGGAACCAGTAGTTACACGCTGTCCAGATTTTCTCCAAGATGTGGTTCGCAGGAAATGGTTGTTTAAAGTGGTTGAAAGGTTGTAACAAAATTTTCTAAAAAAAAAAAAATTAGGTGTCGTTGTGTGGTCGAATTTTACTTACTTCGTCCTCTTGGTTTTTATTGTCGCTGTAAACATTTGCGCTGGTCGTCGGATTCATCGTTACTGTTGGTACTAATTGTACTTGAAAGATAAAATAAACTCGTATACCACTTGTTCATAAAAATATAGCTATTAATTTTCATAAATTATATATTATGAGTGTCAATGTCAAATAATAAAAAGTAACGACCAATAAATCCAAAGAATTTATTTTTTTAATCCAGACACATTAATTATGTCGTACATTTATTTTTAAAAGTAGGCTAATGATTACGGTGTCACGTTTCCGTCTGTCAGTCTGTCAGTTTTAAATTAGTCCAAGTTGGGTATTCCCCGAAATGTTATAATTGTAAATATTTTAAATTAAATGCACTAACTAAAAGCAAAAATAACAGCGTTTCTTTTTATAATTTTTGCGAATGTTAGCATTAACTCCTAGTGTGTAAAAAACTTCTCTTTGTTTATTTAACCCCTGTTAAGGTTAATGACGTCATCGTAGAAGTATGAAAAATATGCTTCGATGTGTAAAAAATATAAATATATAAACAAATCCCAATTTCTCAATTATACAAAGGCAGTACCACTTTTTTTTTAGTTCAAGGAGAAGAGAAACATAGTTTGCCGAAGCTACGAGACCTTGGCAGTACCTACCGGGAAAACCAGCTTGACTTCTGCGTGCGTGACGTTACCCGTGCACATCGAACAGTACCTCACAGACATCGCCGACCATCCCAACAATTTCATAACAAATCGGAAAAATCGTGTCGTTTATTCCAAATTGTACACCGAAATGGTAATTCTTCTACGTATCCTGGGCATTTACGTCATCACTGCTTACGTAACACAGGTAGGTGAACCGGTACCACCATTACACATAACGTACACTCTTTTGATTAAGGCCAAAGTGGTTAAACGAAACAGCGAAAATGAGTTAAGCCCAACCCAACTAAAAATTCTATTCCGCGAACTGGAAATGCAATCCCAAACCGAAACCGCATCCAGAAAATACGAGTTCCCAAAACTGGAAGAGATATACATTTCGCCGGAAACAAACATTAATGATACATCGCTGCGACTGACCGCGTGGGGAATCATCAGGTAAACAGGATGTTATTAGAGAATCTAGGGACGTTCGATTTTTTTCCAGCATCTGTTTTTATTTTTTCTTCGGGCTGAATCTGTGTTGTCTGGTGTGCCGCTGGAAATTTTGCAGGAAACATAACGTACGCGTAAACGTAAACAACGTGAGTGAAATCGCAGAAAACCCGGTTGCTACTGCCCAAACTAACGAGGTACCGGTAACACCACCCCCGTGTTACGAGAGTGTGGTGGTGGATCCTCTTCCAACGTACGAAGAACTTATGGAGAAAAGGACGAATGCAACGTGTAGTTGATTTTTGGTATTTTGTTACTATTGGAAACCGTGAAATTACGCAGTTGTGCTAATTAACGATTTGTTTGTCAGTTTTCTATGACACACTGATGTTTAAATTTGACGTTTGATTGATCTCACAATTGAAGAAAGCCTCTTTCGGAATTCTTCACTTCGTTGTCGGAAAGTAAACATTTTTTTCTTGCAAAATCAACATATAGGTAACATGTAATAAAACAGCTTTATGTTCTGCGACAATGTTAATTTATTTATAGTATACTTGTTCATTGTTTGGTTTTCTTTCATAATAAAATTTAGTTATCCATTCGAACGACTCCCCATTACTTTACGGTAAGTCCGATTTGCGTAGAAGAAGGAACTCGGTGTAGATTAAATAGAACTTATGCTGATTAAACTGGAAAAAAATATTTTTTTGTGACATACTCTACGTATGTGTGTATGATTGGTTGCATAAGACGCATTTAACTGATCTGCAAAACACTATTTGTAACTTCAATTTTAATTTTGACGTCGAAACCGTATTATGGGTTATCGTTATCACTCCGGAAATAAAAATGAAATACAAGCATCTTTCTCAATGAAAATAATACACACTATTAATAGTCCAAAAATATCCATTGGGTGTTGGAAAATCCACCTGCTTATCAACCTGCAAAATAATCTTTACCACGACTTAACCCGATAAGGTTTCACCACATTCAGAACCAGTGTGTGGTAGAGTTACGAGCCAAATTTTAACAGTACTGAATTTTTGAAAAATCGACTTTTCAAAAAAAAAAATGTTTTCTCTAACGTGTATAACCATTATTTTTGCAATTGTCAGTAGCGTCTATAGTTTTGAACAAAACCAAAATGCGACAGAAGTTTCCCACCACATGGTTAAAAGAGGAATAAGAGACGTCTTTGACAAAAAAATCATAAAAGCATGGTAAGCAATTCTCACTTTTTTTGACATTTTTAAACCCCTTTTTCAGCATTTATTTAGTTTTTATTATCATTTTTGGACCCATTTATCTGTACTACAAGTACTGTTCCAAAAAAGAGCCTGAAGAAGATCATGAACCTATCGTTATAAATGGTGAAAGACTTGTCGCTGAGGGAAACCATGTTGGTATAATAATGCCATGTAGCTCTCACGGTAATTAATATTTCAGTGATTTTAAGTATTTAAGACTTTATATTTTAGCACACAATCGACAAGAAGAGAATACGTCACCTCCTTGTTATGAGCAAGCACTTTCCCTTCCTCCCCCACCTTATGATAAAAAACATGAAGATAATTTATTGATTTAAATTTAATTGTAGTTCAAAGTTGTGCAACAGATTATCGAAAACTATACTGTCATTGTTTTATTTCACGCAGTCTAAGCGAGCAGCACCTCCTAATAAGTAGTTCACAAAAAATTCGTTCACTTGTTAACAGTAGAATATGCAACCAACTTTACATACATGCAATATTTTATTGAAAAAAAAAAGTTAATTTGAACCGCACCACAAAAACTGCGTCAAAACTACTTCACGTGATCTTAATTCCCACACAATACATCTATTCCCAACTTCGTGAATATTCAACCTTTCTCTTTCTAAGGTTATCTCTCATGTTATCTCATTATTTGTTTTGGTTTTTGCATGACAAGATAAATTTACTCAAATTTTTTAGGTAAACGGCCACTTCATTAAACACTGTTAAAAATAAACTATCTCAATCCTCAACAATTTTCTTTCGGCAGTGTATTAATAAAATGAGACGGCGCTGGAATTACCGCATCGCTATTTTTTAACGCACGTAATACACTTAATTGTTTCTGTGTAGTGGTAATTAAACGAACATGTTTGTATTCATAAGTGTACTTCTAACCATCGGTTTCAAACAGGTAAGTATATTTTAATTATTTTAATAATGCGACTTAAGATGATTTGCGTAGATCCAGTCTGAGCTGATTTGCGTGGATCCAGAGGACTCTTCGCTCACCTACCAGTGTCTAAAAAATGAGCATTATTGCTGCCACGAAGGTTGTTGCATTCAGCCGTTTATTGTCCCCAAAGTCAGGTAAACAGAGTGTCCAAAACGAGCAAATTAATTAAATTAAATTGGTATTCAATTGGCGTCGCATATTTTTAACACACCAATAAAAAATTGTTAATTGTTTCGTTTCAGCCTGGCCTTGGGACTCAACATTTGTGCGTTTATTTTAATTCTTTGTTTCGTGTGTTGGTGCGTACAGTTTTTTATTCAGTTGTGTCAACATTATGGATTTATCAAAAAAAAGAAAGGTATATTTTATGCGAGAATTTGTCCATGTTTTTATTTTCGTTGTAGATGTAAAAATGCCCCCAGGTGACGCCACTGGTGGGATTTGCGGGTCTGCAACCCCACCACCTCCTTACAGTGTAGCTATTAATTGTCCTTCACCCACGTATGAAGAAATCGTTGCGAAAATCAACCAGAAGTAATATAATTTTTATCGGAGAAAGTTACGTTTTTGTAACTTTGAAATAAAATAGAGTTTAAAATAATCTATTGTTTCATTCTTCCCAAAGTCTTTCCACTCTAGTTAAATTTAGTGGCCTCAGTCTACACTGAGACACTTATTACAAACTAAAATTGTCTAGAATGCGCCGCCACTGCACCCGAATCATCCCTTGCCTTGACGAACAGTTATTTATAGCAGAAATGTGAGACGTGACGTTGAGTATCATCCCCTTGGAGGATAAAAGTGAGTCCTTGATTATTTCTAAGATCAATACTGAATTTGCAGTTTTACAGACTCCGAAATGATTGTCACAGTCGTCTTCCTCTTTCTGACTTGGACTGCCACTTCAGCCTATGAAGTAAGTCTGAAAACCACTCCCTCTCCAATCCCACGCAATTTCACCAAAGATGACATTTTTTTGAACCACAATGATCGAAAGTCGTTTGATTCGAACTTCCACACTGACCATAATTATCATTTTCCTTACGTAAATGTGCCCGAGAGCACTTTTCCGAAGACGCGAAGTGGAAGTCCTAAGATTAGCTTAACTGATCAGTACTCCTGGAATGTACTGTCAACGAACACTCAAAAGACTAAAATTCGAGTCAAATGGAAGACAGTACTAAAGTAAGAAAGTATGTGGATTTTAGCCACATTTGTCATTTTTTGCAGAATTGTAGGTGGTGTGGCTTTGTTTATAGCTGCTTGTTACAAGTTCTGTACTAAATGTGGTAAGAAACAAGATACTGAAAATATACTAAATGAAGATGGAAAAAATTACGACATTTCGGTGGTCGTTGAAAGTGGGTATATGTAATGTTAATTGGCGTGTGCTTCTCAAAGTATTGCCACTCTAGCTCAGTTCTAGAGTGAACGTGAAAAAGATAATAAGACAAATATCTAACCACAACACAATAAATCATTTTTATCTAATTTATATTTTTATGCTATGTGTCTTGCGTATACAGCATCCAATCATTGTTTAAATACATAAATAAAATATATAATATCAGGTGATACGAATTTGGTTACTCATAGTTTGCTTGTAAGAAATTTTTGCAAAAAATTAAAATAAAAATCTATCAAATTTTTTAAGTATGACTGAGGTGTATTGCTGGTTGTCTATACACATTCATCATTATCAACTTTTATTTAAAAAAAAAACACAAATTCCATTACGTACGAAAAAATAAACACACATCGCTTAATTGCGCCCGAAATATCCGCCTGTAGACATTAAAATATTTATTTATGTAAATTACGATAAATATTTATCATTTTCGGCGACCGCTCTCTGCTTTACCGGCCGATTCCCCCTCCTCGATCGCTTTTATTTATCTCTGTTGCCTGCCTGCATTCGTCGCAGTGCATCGAGAAGAGAAACGTCAAGTGTCAAGGTTACAAATTTCGCGTTTCCCAAATTCCTGTATTTCCAAGTGTTCTAACAAACAGCCCCCCGAACACTCAAGCGCTCATTCTCCAGTGACCTCCTCGCGATAATGAGCCCCGCAAGTGCGTAGTCAACCCTCAATCATGAATTGTTTATTCGTGCTAGAAGGACCAGTTTTAACAAATAGGTGAAAGAAGAAATGGATGATTATGATGAAGATGAGCCCAACATCGAAGAACAAGAGTTCCACAATAACGTGCGGGAACAAATCGTAAGTTATTTAGAAAGTTTCATTTAAAATGCTCTCGATATCCAATGGCTTTCAAGCACGTATTGTTTAATTGTTGACATGGATTTAAGGGTTTTTTGTTCGAGAATCGAGACGGAGTTAGATAATGGGGCCTGAAATAGAGGAATTGTTTATTCTTGAGTGCGATGTTTCGACAATTATTGGATTGGAGCCAGGGATTGCTACAGGTGGCTAAAAAAGTGTGCGTCTAAGATTACTTTGATTTTTGTTGGGTTCTCCCCTCTAAAAAATTGATGACGTCATCGTAGAATATTTTCAAAATTGCCTAGAATTCTTTGGTCTACTTTGCGGGCGTTGTGTTTCTTATGTCAATATTTCATTAGCACCCGTAAATTTTTTATTAGCTCTTCGGTGTACTCGTTTATCCCATTAGTTCAACGAGGAAATAATTTACTATTCATGGGTCGTTAACCCTATCCCTGGCGCACCCTTTTATTGTTCGTACGAAATCTTCAACCAAAACAAATAAAGTTTGCAAAATTCCAGCCTTGATGAGTCTGGATTCTCTCCGGATAAGTCACAAACCCATTAAGGTACAAGGTTAAAAATTTAAATCCGTTTTCGATACTCGTACGCGATAATTAAGCGATAATTTAACCAAAAATAGCAATACGGTTAGTCGAGATTGTTTAATTTTGATCAAACAGAACTGACCGACCCGATTAAAATAATAGTCGTCATGGTCGATAAAGTTACAGAAACCCGATATTTGTGGAACGCAATTGTGTTTGTCTTGTTGTACAACTGGAAATAACGCATTCCTGTTTTTGTCGAAGCGAGAGATTAGGATTTATTTATAGAAAGTGGTGGCTGAGTCGCCGTCTTTGTCCCAAGAGAAACAAAGTCTTGTATTGTGGTAATGATAAGCAAAATTGCGCCGCGAAAATAACGTTAATAAAGTTGCGTTTGTGAAGTTATCTCACTGTTGAAATTTTGTAAACGCCACTATTTTTAGCTAAATTGCAAACATCCATCATTGCTATGGCTCTATGTTAATAAAAACAATTGCAGGAGCCAAAATTTTATTGCATTTTTTAACCTTTGTCGTGGTAAAAATAGAAGTCCGTGAACGCCAAGTCCCGATTTAAGTAATCTCCGAAACTACTGGACCGATTGCCGTGGGTACTTTACATGCTGCTCACTCGACGTGAATCGAACAATAGATACTTAATCAACAATCTATTCACTATTTCATCATCACGTACAACGTAAACGATAACACAGTAGCTTTGTATACTAGACTCAGTCAACAATTTATTTATTGTATGCACACTTATCTCTTCAGACAAATATAAAACAAAAGCTGCGAATGTAACATTCCGATAAAAACTTGCTCTCGATTGGCTTCAGTAATTTTGTGAATTGTGTGCACCTCAAATATATTTGCAAAAAATTCAATTATTATACGTTTAAACGAGTCACTGTTCGGAGGAATTTTCACCTCAACGTGAAGTAATTTGTAGAAATTGTTCAAAAGAAATAGATAAAAAATTAATCCTGTAATAAATAAAACGTATGAATCTTGTGAAAACTAATATTAAATCAACAATTTCTTCATTGTTCGGTAATCACGTCAGCAGAAATGTAAAAGAACACAAGGTAAACATATTTCATTGAAACAAAAGACTGATTTATAAAATCTCGTCCTCGGTGTAATGTAATTAATGTAACAGACGCCCGGAGGAATTTTCACCTCAACCCGAAAATAATTTAATTTGAAGCGCGGATTCCACGTAAACAATCGAGTTGCCAGGAACAATGTTAATAAAAAATACTACGAAGCGTAAATTATACAAACAACAAAAATCTTCCTAAATGAAACCAAGGTCTCGTCTATCTAAAGCTGGCAGCCATAAATTTACAGTTTTTCCGGTGCACCACAATTCGTGTGTTACGTACGATAAAACAAACGATAACAAGATTAAACAAACTGATGAAATTGAATTCTCCATATGGGAGCGAAATTTTAACGTGGAATTTAATTATTCGCTGACCTTGCTCTTGGATATGGGTTTTTAGGTACCAGTCGGACTTAAATATCGCGAAAAACTGACCATTAAATGTGTGCTTACGTTCGACCAAACAATTACAAAAACCATTATTTTCAAATTGAGCGATATAAGTTTTACGACTTGAAACGGGCTCGTGGGTGTCGAAATAATCGCATTCGTAGGAACTTTGGCACACTTTTTTATGCATAGCAACTGATAACAATCGAGTGGAATCATTGATCTTCGATCGGGAAAATTTCCAGTTTAAAAAAAACCGAAAATCTAAATATTTATCTTCGATGCGCTATTACCGGACGCTGTTTATTATCAGTTTAAATCCACCAACCCTGTGGGCGTCGAATTGCGTACCCTAAATTCCGAGCGACAATAGCAACGACACAAAGTTGTTAAAGTCGTCGGCGACGCGGAAACGTTTGGGCGACATTGAAACTAATCGGCGGTGTTAGCTCATACATTATTAACAAACATCGAAAAAATGCAGACGCAAGTAACTGTAAAAAATTACCGTCGTAGGTATCTAATTGCTGGTACAGGTCATCGGCAATTTCGTACGGTGTCGTCGTGACACAGTTTCGCGGTAGGTGATGTTTACCCGCGTCTGCATGAATGTGAGTTCCTTGAGCATTCCTTTTGTTTTCGCGACATTCCCGTCTGTCCGAGTTTTTATTAGACGAATGATCTGCGAAACTACTGGACCGGTTGTTGCAGGCTGTTCTAAAATTTCATTTTCTGACATTTTTGACATTTTCGAAACTTAACTAAATACATTTTCTTGTAGATTTCGAGCTCTAGAACTCACTTCCGGCCTCGTTTCTTTGATAACTCCGACGGTTTTTTCAGAATCGACCGTTGAAATATCGAATTTTTTAGAAATTTTCAAAAATTTGCATTTCGTACCGATTATTTCGAAAATGTTGCTCCGTGACCAGCAACATGCTATATTTTTGGAATCAGCGTGTCGAGATCTACGTCCCTGAATTTTTTCAGAATTTTCAGACAACTTTTTTAAAAACGAATTTTTTCCCCTTCAAATTTCGGCAAATTTTTGACATTTTCGAAACTCAACGAAATACATTTTTCTTGTAGATTTCGAGCTCTAGAACTCCTTTCCGGTTTCGCTTTTTTGATAACTCCAACGGTTTTTCCGGAATCGACTGTTGAAATATCGAATTTTTTAGAAATTTTCAAAAATTTGCATTTCGTGCCGATTATTTCATAAATGTTGCTCCGTGACCATCACAATGCTATATTTTTGGCATCAGCGCATTTGATACGTCCCTGAATTTTTTCAGAATTTATAAACAACTTTTTTGAAACTGAAATTTTTCCCTTCTTCAAATTTCGGCTAATTTTTGACATTTTCGAAACTTAAATACATTTTCTTGTAGATTTCGAGCTCTAGAACTCACTTCCGGCCTCGTTTCTTTGATAACTCCGACGGTTTTTTCAGAATCGACCGTTGAAATATCGAATTTTTTAGAAATTTTCAAAAATTTGCATTTCGTGCCGATTATTTCGTAAATATTGCTCCGTGACCATCAACATGCTATATTTTTGGAATCAGCGTGTCGAGATCTGCGCCCCTGAATTTTTTCAGAATTTTTAGACAACTTTTTTAAAAAAGAAATTTTTCCAATGGTCCCCCCTTTTTCAAATTTCGGCCAATTTTTGACATTTTCGAAACTTAACTAAATACATTTTCTTATAGATTTCGAGCTCTTGAACTCACTTCCGGCCTCGGTTCTTTGATAACTCCAACAGTTTTTCCAGAATCGACCGTTGAAATATCGAATTTTTTAGAAATTTTCAAAAATTCGCCTTTCGTACCGATTATTTCGAAAATGTTGCTCCGTGACCATCAACATGCTACATTTTTGGATTCAGCGTGTCGAGATCTACGTCTCTGAATTTTTTCAGAATTTTTAGACAACTTTTTTGAAAATGAAATTTTTCCAATGGTCCCCCCTTCTTCAAATTTCGGCAAATTTTTGACATTTTCGAAACTCAACTAAATACATATTCTTATAGATTTCGAGCTCTAGAACCCCTTTCCGGTCTAGCTTTTTTGATAACTCCAACGATTTTTCCGGAATCGACTGTTGAACTATCGAAATTTTTAGAAATTTTCAAAAATTCGCATTTCATACCGATTCTAGTGAAAATTTTGCTCCATATCCATCAACATGCTATATTTTTGGAATCAGCGTGTCGAGATCTACATCCCTGCATTTTTTCAGAATTTTTAGACAACTTTTTTGAAAATGAAATTTTTTCAATGGTCCCCCCTTCTTCAAAATTCGGCTAATTTTTGACATTTTCGAAACTTAACTAAATACATTTTCTTATAGATTTCGAGCTCTTGAACTGACTTCCGACCTCGGTTCTTTGATAACTCCAACGGTTTTTCCAGAATCGACCGTTGAAATATAGAATTTTTTAGAAATTTTCAAAAATTCGCTTTTCGTACCAATTATTTCGAAAATGTTGCTCCGTGACCATCAACATGCTATATTTTTGGAATCAGCGTATCGAGATCTACGTCCCTGAATTTTTTCAGAATTTTTAGACAACTTTTTTAAAAGTGAAATTTTTCCAATGGTCCCCCCTTCTTCAAAATTCGGGTAATTTTTGACATTTTCGAAACTTAACTAAATACATTTTCTTATAGATTTCGAGCTCTCGAACTCACTTCCGACCTCGGTTCTTTGATAACTCCAACGGTTTTTCCAGAATCGACCGTTGAAATATCGAATTTTTTAGAAATTTTCAAAAATTCGCCTTTCGTACCGATTATTTCGAAAATATTGCTCCATGACCAGCAACATGCTACATTTTTGGAATCAGCGTGTCGAGATCTACGTCCCTGAATATTTTCAGAATTTTTAGACAACTTTTTTAAAAGTGAAATTTTTCCAATGGTCCGCCCTTCCTCAAATTTCGGCAAATTTTTGTCATTTTCGAAACTCAACTAAATACATATTCTTGTAGATTTCGAGCTCTAGAACCCCTTTCCGGTCTCGCTTTTTTGATAACTCCAACGGTTTTTCCGGAATCGACTGTTGAACTATCGAAATTTTTAGAAATTTTCAAAAATTCGCATTTCATACCGATTCTAGTGAAAATTTTGCTCCATATCCATCAACATGCTATATTTTTGGAAACAGCGTGTCGAGATCTACATCCCTGCTTTTTTTCAGAATTTTTAGACAACTTTTTTGAAAATGAAATTTTTTCAATGGTTCCCCCTTCTTCAAAATTCGGCTAATTTTTGACATTTTCGAAACTTAACTAAATACATTTTCTTATAGATTTCGAACTCTTGAACTCACTTCCGGCCTCGGTTCTTTGATAACTCCAACAGTTTTTCCAGAATCGACCGTTGAAATATCCAATTTTTGAGAAATTTTCAAAAATTCGCCTTTCGTACCGATTATTTGGAAAATGTTGCTCCGTGACCATCAATATGCTATATTTTTGGAATCAGCGTGTCGAGATCTACGTCCCTGAATTTTTTCAGAATTTTTAGGCAACTTTTTTAAAAAAGAAATTTTTCCAATTTTTCCCTTCTTCAAATTTCGGCTAATTTTTGACATTTTCGAAACTTAACTAAATACATTTTCTTGTGCATTTCGGGTTCTAGAACACACTTCCGGCCTCGTTTCTTTGATCACTCCAACGGTTTTTCCAGAATCGACCGGTGAGCTATCGAATTTTTTAGAAATTTTCAAAAATTCGCGTTTCGTACCGATTATCTCGAAAATGTTGCTCGGTGACCATCAACATGCTATATTTTTGGAATCAGCGTGTCGAGATTTACGTTTTAAAGAATTTTTAGACAACTTTTTTAAAAATGAAATTTTTCCAATAGTCCCCACTTCTTCAAATTTCGGCTAATTTTTGACATTTTCGAAACTTAACTAAATACATCTTAATATATATAAATCTCGTGTCACAATGTTTGTCCTCAATGGACTCCTAAACCACTTAACCGATTATAATAAAATTCGCACACCATGTGCAGTTCGATCCAACTTGAGAGATAGGATAGTTTAAATCTCAAATTATAGATGGCGCTGCTATGGTAAATCTACGAACGTGTCATATAAGCTACATTTTAACAGCATAATTACCACGTGTTGTTGACGCTATAAAATTAATTAAATTTATTTTGTAGTGAACGAAATATTGTGTTCAACGTACTTCCCCTTCAAATCTCAATCCAGTGAATTTGTATACCAACATCAACATTTTCGTCTTTGTTCGTAAATAATTTCATTGTACTAAAGGGTTATAGTAGTAGAAAGTCAAATAAGGAGATCACCATATTTTTTTACAAATACCATCTGTGTGAAAAAGCATAGTGGACTCCGTGACTGATGTTCTCTTATTGTTCCTCTTAGATTGTTTACTATAATGTAATATAACAAAAACTTTAGCCACAGCAACGCGTGGCCGGGTCAGCTAGTTTTCTTATAGATTTCGAGCTCTAGAACTCACTTCCGGCCTCGTTTCTTTGATAACTCCGACGGTTTTTCCAGAATCGACCGTTGAAATATGGCATTTTTTAGAAATTTTCAAAAATTCGCGTTTCGTACCGATTATTTCGAAAATGTTGCTCCGTGACCATCAACATGCTATATTTTTGGAATCGGCGTCCCTGAATTTTTTCAGAAGTTTTGGACAACTTTTTTAAAAATGAAATTTTTCCAATGGTCCCCCCTTCTTCAAATTTCGGCCAATTTTTAACATTTTCAATTTGACAAGTTTTTACAAGAGTAATAGTATGGGCAAAAGCAGTTTTATCTTAACAAATACTAGGCCCGCCCACCCGCCCCCTGTTTTCCCAGAGGATGTCATTTGCCAAAATCAGTCTTATCTTACCAAGTACTAGTCCCGCCCACCCGCCCCCTATTTTTTCAGAGGATGTCATTTGCGAAAATAAGACTTATGTTAACAAGTACTAGCCCCGCCCACCCGTTTTTTATTTTCTGAGAGGGTAGTACTTGCTAAGATAAGTCTTATTTTGGCAAATGATATATCCTCTGAGAAAATAAGGGCGGGTGGGCGGGGCTAACGCTTGCTCAGATAAGACTAATTTTGGCAAACGCCATACTCTCTGAGAAAATAGAGGGCGGGTGGGCGGGGCTAGCCCTTGCTAAGGTAAGACCGATTTTGCCCCTATTGATCTTATAAAACTTGTGTTCACTTTTACAATATTTGATTTTTCGATTATTCATTTTTTCCATTTTTATTTTTTATTGGAAATGTTGAAAAATCGAAAAATTGAAAATTCTAAAAAATAAAAAAATTCGTATGGAAAAAATATATATAAAATCAGAACAATCAAAAACGAAAAAAAAATCGCAAACATTTTTATAGTTTTTCATAGGCGCGGAATTTGTTGGGCTGCACGTCAAGAAGAGGGAAGTTCTGTCGAAGTAAGCTTGAACCAATTTTTTTTTTTGTTTTGTTTTAGATCTTTCTGCTGCTCTTCCTCCTCCTGTACCTGCTGAGCTTCGCCCTCCTCGGCCGCTTCAAACGCAAGGGCCGCGAGGACTACTACAGTACCGACGAGGATGAGGTCACTGTCTACCGCATCAGCACCTGGTTATGCACTTTCTCGCTGGCCGTGTCCATCGGGGCGGTGCTCCTCCTCCCCATATCCATCATTTCGAACGAGGTGCTCATCATCTACCCCAACAGCTACTACATCAAATGGCTGAACAGCTCACTCATACAAGGTACGTGGTAGAAATTATATTATTATTATGTATAATATATTTTTTGGTTGCAGGACTGTGGAACTACATTTTCCTTTTCTCGAACCTCTCCCTATTCGTCCTTCTACCCTTCGCCTACCTGTTCACCGAGTCGGAAGGGTTCTTTGGACACCGGAAGGGACTGACTGCGAGGGTGTACGAAACGTTCATCGTTTTGGCCCTCTTGGGGATGGTTGTTCTGGGGATGACGTACGTCATTTCGGCACTAATCGACAGGGATAAGTCGAGCTTTCAGACGCTACTGAGTAAGTCCCGCCTTACCCACGAAAAAATTTTTCATTGATCGAAAATTCCAGATTTGTGGAGCTACTACTTACCGTTTCTGTATTCCTGCATAAGCTTTCTGGGAGTGGTGATGCTTCTCGGTAAGTACTTACTAGTGGCTAAGTTAGACGATCTGGCTCACCTCGACCCCATTTTCTGTTCAGTTTGCACCCCTCTCGGTTTCGTCCGCCTCTTCGACGTCGTCAGTCAGTTCCTCATCAAACCCCAGTTCCTCCGCGACATCAACGAGGAGTTCTACGCATGCGCGCTGGAAGAAGAATGCCTGCGAAGAAGACTGAAACATGCCCAAAACACCGGCAAGTACTACGTCAGTCCGGCGCCCATGTCCACGGGAATCAACGGCCCCTTCGTGGACGACAACTTCAAGCTCCCCGACAACCTTCTGCGACTGCGCAACGGCGAACTCCAGTCAGGACTCGGTTCCCGTCTCGTGGAACTCGAAACGCGACGAAAAATATTGGGTAAATAACAATGCTCGAACCACCTCTCTACTAAATATCGCCTTTTCGTCGTTTTCAGACAAACAGCGTCACACTTCGTTTTTGCGAAGGAACGTCTTGCACCCCGTCGCCATGATCCTCCTAATTGGTCTGACAGTAATCGCCGTTTTATTGGTAGTCCAGAACACGCTGTCTCTTTTGATAGGCATCAAAGCCCTCCCGCTGAGCTCGAAGCAATTCACTCTCGGTGTGAGCTCGCTGTCTAAACTGGGCCCGTTCGGAGCAGCTCTGGAAATCGTTCTAATCTTGTACCTGATAGCGACTTCGTCGATCGGCCTCTACACAGCCCCGGTCATGTCAAGAATCCGACCTAGGCCGAAAAGCACGCCATTTTGTCTCGTCATAGGAAACTGCGCCGTCGTGCTGGTGCTCAGCTCGGCGCTGCCGCTGCTCGCCAAGATTCTAGGTGAGTTGTACATTTACCCGTACATGCTTGAAACTGAGTTCGTTTAGGTATCACCAACTTCGACTTGCTCGGCGACTTTGGCAGCATCGAGTGGCTAGGGAACTTCCAGATCGTGCTGCTGTACAACCTGTCGTTCGCCGCCGCCTCCACTCTGTGCGTCGTGAACAAGTTCACCGCCAAAGTGAGAAGAGAACTGTACGCTCGGTTAGTTGAAAATTACATGTTATTGATTAACTGTGTGACCTTTCTCAACTAACCATCGCAGCTTGTAGCGTGCATAACCACTAGTTTGAATAAGACTGATTTATATTGATTGCCCCTGACCTGTTTTATTCGCCATTTTCTTTACTTAAGTCGGACGGAGCTAATTTTTTTCCTGTTTCGCTTCTCATCGTTAAACTCGATCATTCCATTCTCATGAGTGGCCCCCGCCGCACTTACTCACGCACGTTGTTTGAACAGAATGTCGGTTTTTCTGGGAGTGTGTGAACCACCCGTATCCGTCCCAAACACACCAAGGCCATCTGTGGTCAAGTTTGCCTAATGTCCAATATTTGGATCAGCTGTTTAGTTTTAGCCAATGATGAGATATATCAACGTTTCTGTGATTGTAGAGTAGAATCTTCGAAAGGCTGAGTACACGTGTGACGTTGTGGATACTGCACACAAGTCTGTTAAATGTTTGTATTTCTAGTCTAAGATGTAGGTTAGATGTTATACATACATATTGTGTATTGCCTTATTTATGTATTACTTCTAAGGGATTTTATCAAATATATTAATTTATATGCAGTGGGGCTGTTTTTGTTTTGTTTGTAAAAGCTCGGGCGCCAGTTTTCTTAATAAAAAAAAAACAAAATGTTTTAAGTACGATTTTATTATTAAAAGGAGTCAAACTCTTCTAAAGCACTTAGACTAGCAACATTGCTGTCAGATTTGATCATTTCACAGAAATGGACATCGGGTATGGGGTAACCCGATCTACTACTAAATTCGTCTGTTTTCGAAACCCGAAATACTTTGGAGGGATGTTTCTTCTTGTAAGTATTTAGAGTGTCTTGAGCCATTCTTCTGGATTTTTCCGTACAGCTGCGTATTAAAAAGTACAGAAATACCAACTGTGGATTCATTTCTAAAAGTTGTTTCAAAGGACCAGCACTAAAGTTGTCTGTTTCTTTACAAATAAGTACAATTCGTTCCAGTTTTTTGGATTTAATGAGGCACAAGTTCTCTATTAACTTATCCAGCGGGATTCGATGGTTTTCGTACCTAGGAACACATGATGATGACTCAGTTACAACTTGTTAAACTTACCTAAAGTCTTTTAATGAACTAGCACTCGAAATCGCGTTACATATGCTGAAATTTAATTTCTCGTTCTGAGCAATTGACAATATTTCCAGTTTTTGCAAATTTTGACACTTTTGCAAAACCTGAAACGTGTACAATTAGTAAAAACTATTTTTTTTTATATATACGTATACTTGGGTTAAGAAACTACCATCTAAGGTTACAGGAATTTCAAGAATCAAACTTTCCAGGTGTTCAAACAATGAAATTAATGGATAGCCCTGGATAGCACTGTGGTGTGCAGTTCTTAAAAACATAAGTTATTTCATAAATCAGAACAAACGTGAACTTACTCATGGCACACATAAAGTTCCAAGTGTTCTAACCCTAGAAAATTTTTGAAAATATTTTCAGCCGGGTGTGTGGGGACGCAATTTTCTATCCCTATTCTTTTTCTTGAAAAACTATGAGGATCTCTAACACCAACGGACGCGGATGCATTTTTATCTAAACTTACTTTAGTCTTGACGGATTTATATTTTTAACTACCTACTTACTGAGTAAAAGACACATCATTACACACAACTTTTTCACGCGTGTGGAACAAGGAGATCTAAGTATATCTTCCACTGCTTCTCTACATCGACTGTTGCAAACAGGGCCACTGTGATAAAAATTTAATTCTTCGAAAAATATAGTATCTACAGTACATTCGTTCAAAATTAAACGCTACAATATAGCATGAAAATTTCAAAAACGAGCTCAGTTTACAACTTACACGTGCGTCTTTCGGACCATATGGTTTAGAGCAATGCAACTCATCTAGAACTTGCCAACTTCCTAACTTACCTTCAATTTCAAAAATACTTTTGGACCGCAACTGCTTAACACTAAGTTTTTCTAAAACAGTATAAACAAACTTCGTTTTGTGGCAGACAATACCTACCACAACACATAACATATGGCTGACGAGCCCTCCTATTATTATAATACGTAGTCAGCCAATAATGATCAAAATTAATAGAAGGAACTGGAGCATTCACTTGACAAAAAATCTTACTTTTGCTTTCACCATTCAAACAATGGAGGATAATTTCTCGTCCAGACGGTTCTTCCACATCTATCTACAAAGCTAATCAGTACCTACGTTACAACGCTGGAAAAATCACCCACCCAAAGCTTTCTTAATTGTGGAAAAATCGTCTCAAGAGTAAAAGGACTAATTAAAGTTTTCACTTTAACAACGCTAATGTAGAGTGTTTCAACCGTCGGCATTCTATGATTACCTACTTCGTCACGTCTGTTCACCGATATTCCTAATTTTTTAATCTATAATAAGAATAGTCAAAATTGTTTACACTTATCGCAAAATACGTACGTTTAATTTACTAAAAGCCTCAGTGTCTACAGACGCCAAACTCAAGTTTGTGTGAATGGCGTATAGAACTTCTAAATTCACCATACTTGTCACAAATTTTCGTAATTTGGCGGCTTGAATCCAATATATGCAGTTAATATTGAGCGTTGTGACGCGCTCGAATGCAATTTTCTTCGATATTTGAGACAAATCTTCCAGTTCGTATTTTTTACACAGATCGATTTTTCTAAAATTTAAAATGCAGTGTTTTGATTGGTTGAACTGTCACAATCGACGACCAATCACACATGCGAATCAGGCGAGCCCACCTTTCATTCTAATATTGGTTTCAACGAGAACAACTCTGCATTTGTGTACCTTGCCCACAAATTGCACTTTTTTTTTTAATTAATTATGTAACAAATACTGACCTGATAACATTTCTGTCTTGCAAAAAATAATCACACTGGTAAACGTCACAAAAACTTAACAATGTAAACGTGTCGATGTCACTCAGTATTTTAATTAAGACTTCATTGGGTAAAGAATAAAAGTACGAATTTTTAAATGATTCGGACATTCCAGATTAATCAATAAATTAAAAATGAAAACGTATGTTACTTGAAATGTTGGGTTATGTTCATAGAATATCGTCACTCGGTAGAATTTTCAATGGTTATGTTCATAAAAAAACTTGTCGTTATGGTGGACTACGATTACCGGTTTCATTACCAACATAAAAAAGTGAATCAAACTAGAGAACATATCAAACCATCAGCGTCAAAGAAATTGTTAATGAAATTGCGTTGTATTGAAGAAGCGGGAGTCAGTGGCGGCACTTCAATTCTTAATAAAAAAAAAATCAAAAATGTTTTAAGTACGATTTTATTATTAAAAGGAGTCAAAATCTTCTAAAACACTTAGACTAGCAACGGTGCTGTCCGATTTGATCATTTCACAGTAATGGACATCAGGTATGGGGTAACCCGATCTACTACCAAATTCGTTTATGTCCGAAACCAGAAATACTTTGCAGGGGTGTTTCTTCTTGTAAGTATTTAGAGTGTCTTGAGCCATTCTTTTGGTTCTTTCGGATTGTTCTGTACAGCTGCGTATTAAAAAATACAGAAATACCAACTGTGGATTCATTTCTAAAAGTTGTTTCAAAGGACCAGCACTAAAGTTGTCTGTTTCTGTACAAATAAGTACAATTCGTTCCAGTTTTTTGGATTTAATGAGGCATAAGTTCTCTATTAACTTATCCAGCGGGATTCGATGGTTTTCGTACCTAGAAACACATAATGACGACTCAATTACAACTTGCTAAACTTACCTGAAGTCTTTTAATGAACTAGCACTCGAAATCGCTTTACATAAGTTGAAATTTAATTCCTCGTTTCGATGGAGTGAAAATATTTTGAGTTTTTGCAAATTTTGACACTTTTGCAAAACCTGAAACGTCTACAATCAGTAAAAAATAAAGTTTGACACATATTACTTATACTTGGATTAAGAAACTACCATCTATGTTTATAGGGATTTCAACAATCAAACTTTCCAGGTGTTCAAACAATGAAATGAGTGAATAGCCCAAGACAGCACTGTGGTAGGCAATTCTTAAAAAAATAAGTTATTTCATAAATCAAAGCAAACGTGAACTTACGGATTGCATACATAAACTTCCAAGTGTTCTAACCCTGGAAAATTTTTGAAAATATTTTCAGCCGGGTATGTGTGGACACAATCCTCTCCCGATATGTCTTTTCTTGAAGAACTGCGAGGATCTCTATTACTGAGTAAAATACATATCATCACACACAACTTTTTCACGCGTGTGGAACATGGAGACTTAAGTATATCTTCTACTGCTTCTGTATATCTACTGTCACAATCAAGACCATAACCACTGTGATAAAAATTTAGTTCTTCAAAAAATATAGTATCTAGAGTACATTCGTTCAAAAATAAACGCTACAATATATCAATGAAAATTTAAAAAACGAGCTCAGTTTACAACTTACACGTGCGTCTTTCGGACCATATGGTGTAGCGTAAAATAACTCATCTAGAACTGCCCAACTTCCTGACCTACTTACAATTTTAAACATCTTAGTACTCATTTTTCCTACAACAGTATAAACAAACTTTGTTTTGTAGCAGACAATACCTACCATAACACGTCACACATGGCTGACGAGGCCTGTTATCATAATACGTAGTCAGCAAATGCTCATTAAAAGAAATAAAATGTGGTGCACGCACTTGACAAAAAATCTTACTTTTCCTTCCAACATCGAAACAAAAGGGGAAAAATTCTTGTCCAGGCGGTTCCGCATCTATCTACAAAGCTAAATCAATACGTACTACGCTCGAAAAAACACCCACCCAAAGTTTTCTCAGTTGTGGAAAAATCGTCTTAAAAATATCACGATGAACGAAATATGTCAATCTGGCAAAGCTAATGTAGAGAGTTTCAACCGTCGGCATTCTATGACGATGTAATTCGTGATCGTCGTTCACCGATATTCCTAATTTTTTAATCTATAATAAGAATAGTCAGTCAAAATTTTTTACACTTATCGCAAAATACGTACCTTTAATTTACTAAAATCCTCAGTATCTAGAGACGCCAAACTCAAGGTTGTCTGAATGGCATATAGAACTTCTAAATTCACCATTCTTGTCACAAATCTACGTAATTTGTCGGCTGGGATCCAATATATGCAGTTAATATTGAGCGTGGTGACGCACTCGAAGGCAATTTTCTTCGATATTTGAGACAAATCTTCCAATTCGTATCTTTTAGACAGATCGATTTTTCTAAAATTTGAAATATATTAATGCAGTGTTTTGATTGGTTGAACTGTCACGATCGACGACCAATCACACATACGAATCAGGCAAGCCCACCTTTCATTTTTCATTCTAACATAGGTTTCAACGAGAACAACTCTGCATTTGTGTACCTTGCCCACAAATTGCACTTTTTTTTTAATTAATTATGTAACAAATACTGACCTGATAACATTTCTGTCTTGCAAAAAATAATCACACTGGTAAGCGTCACAAAAATTTAACAAAGTAATCGCGTTGATGCCACTCAGTATTTTTATTAAAATTTCATTGGGTAAAGAATAAAAGTACGAATTTTTAAATGATTCGGACATTTCAGATTAATCGAAGAATTAAAAATGAGAACGTAACGAGTGATCAAATAAAAAACGCGTCCAGTTGCTTCTCGATGCTCAAATGTTTTCTGAACGTATGGCGTAGAGCGGCTAGCAAACGGAAAGATGACAGCACGTGACCAGCGCAGATCGCACAATTTCGTTCTGGTCGAGTCCATTGTGAGCTGAAGGGGGAGATACATTTAAAACACAGTGGCGCGCGTCTACTCGTTGTTGATTAGGTTTTTTCCTACGAGCGGTTGGTGTGTTCTCGAGTTGCTTTGTGTTTTCCAGTGTATTTTTTTATAATAACTAAAACAGTATTTTTAAAGACAAATTTAATTAATCAAATAAAAAATAATTCATAAAAAAAATAAGAAATGTTGTATGATGGTACGACACTGGTGACTTGAAGCCGCGCACCCTAAGCTCCGCCCATGTCATCTTCTATTCTGCCAGCCGCTCTAGCTACCGTCGTAAGAATCATTTCCGGTTAGATCGATAGATCGAGTTTTGTATCGCATATATAGTGTTCCTGTAGAGGAACACTACACATATACAAACCATATTAGGTATATAATACAAACCCTCTCTGATGATGTCAGCTACGCGATACGTTCAAAAAACATTTGCGCATCGAATAGTAACTAGAGGTGTTTTATTTTTGATCGCACGTTATGTTACTTGAAGTGTTGGGTTATGTTCATAGAATATTGTCACTCGGGAGAATTTTCGATGGTTATGTTCATAAAAAAACTTGTCGTTAAAGTGGACTGCGATTACCTGTTTCATCACCAACATAAAAAAGTAAACCAAACCATCAGCGTCAAAAAAATTTTTAATGAAATTGCGTCGTATTGAAGAAGCGGAAGTCAGTGGCGGCATTTCAATTCTTAATAAAAAAAAATCAAAAAAGTTTTAAGTACGATTTTATTATTAAAGGGAGTCAAAATCTTCTAAAATTATTAGACTAGCAACGGTGCTGTCAGATTTGATCATTTCACAGTAATGGACATCAGGTATGGGGTAACCCGATCTACTACCAAATTCGTTTATGTCCGAAACCAGAAATACTTTGCAGGGGTGTTTCTTCTTGTAAGTATTTAGAGTGTCTTGAGCCATTCTTTTGGTTCTTTCGGATTGTTCTGTACAGCTGCGTATTAAAAAATACAGAAATACCAACTGTGGATTCATTTCTAAAAGTTGTTTCAAAGGACCAGCACTAAAGTTGTCTGTTTCTGTACAAATAAGTACAATTCGTTCCAGTTTTTTGGATTTGATGAGGCATAAGTTCTCTATTAACTTTCCCAGCGGGATGCGACAGTTTTCGTACCTAGGAACACATAATGACGACTCAGTTACAACTTGCTAAACTTATCTAAAGTCTTTTAATGAACTAGCACTCGAAATCGCGTTACATAAGTTGAAATTTAATTTCTCGTTTCGACCGAGTGAAAATATTTTGAGCTTTTGCAAATTTTGACACTTTTGCAAAAGCTGAAACTTCTACAATCAGTAAAAAATAAAGTTTGACACATATTACTTATACTTGGATTAAGAAACTACCATCTAAGATTATAGGGACTTCAACAATCAAACTTTCCAGGTGTTCAAACAATGAAATGAGTGAATAGCCAAAGAAAGCATTGTAGTAGGCAATTCTTAAAAAAATAAGTTATTTCATAAATCAAAGCAAACGTGAACTTACTGATGGCATACATAAAGTTCCAAGTGTTCTAACCCTGGAAAATTTTTGAAAATATTTTCAGCCGGGTATGTGGGGACACAATTCTCTACCGATATTCCTTTTCTTGAAGAACTGGGAGGATCTCTATTACTGAGTGAAATACATATCATCACACACAACTTTTTCACGCGTGTGGAACATGGAGACTTAAGTATATCTTCTACTGCTTCTGTACATCTACTGTCACAAACAGGACCAGGACCACTGTGGTAAAAATTTAGTTCTTCAAAAAATATAGTATCTAGAGTACATTCGTTCAAAAATAAACGCTACAATATATCAATGAAAATTTAAAAAACGAGCTCAGTTTACTATTTACACGTGCGTCCTTCGGACCATATGGTGTAGAGTAAAGTAACTCATCTAGAACTCCCCAACTTCCTGACCTACTTACAATTTTAAACATCTTAGTACTCATTTTTCCTACAGCAGTATAAACAAACTTTGTTTTGTAGCAGACAATACCTACCATAACACGTCACACATGGCTGACGAGGCCTGTTATCATAATACGTAGTCAGCAAATGCTCATTAAAAAAAATAAAATGTGGAGCACGCACTTGACAAAAAATCTTACTTTTCCTTCCAACATCGAAACAAAAGGGGAAAATTTCTTGTCCAGGCGGTTGTTCCACATCTATCTACAAAGCTAAATCAATACGTACTACGCTCGAAAAAACACCCACCCAAAGTTTTCTCAGTTGTGGAAAAGTCCTCTTAAAAATATAACAATCAAGGAAATATGTCAATCTGGGAAAGCTAATGTAGAGAGTTTCAACCGTTGGCATTCTATGACGATGTAATTCGTGATCGTCGTTCACCGATATTCCTAATTTTTTAATCTATAATAAGAATAGTCAGTCAAAATTGTTTACACTTATCGCAAAATACGTACCTTTAATTTACTAAAATCCTTAGTATCTAGAGACGCCAAACTCAAGCTTGTCTGAATGGCATATGTGCAGTTAATATTGAGCGTGGTGACGCTCTCGAAGGCAATTTTCTTCGATATTTGGACAAATCTTCCAATTCGTATTTTTTAGACAGATCGATTTTTCTAAAATTTGAAATATATTAATGCAGTGCTTTGATTGGTTGAACTGTCACGATCGACGACCAATCACACATACGAATCAGGCAAGCCCACCTTTCATTTTTCATTCTAACATAGGTTTCAACGAGAACAACTCTGCATTTGTGTACCTTGCCCACAAATTGCACTTTTTTTTAATTAATTATGTAACAAATACTGACCTGATAACATGTCTGTCTTCCAAAAAATAATCACACTGGTAAGCGTCACAAAAATTTAACAAAGTAATCGGGTTGATGCCACTCAGTATTTTTATTAAAATTTCATTGGGTAAAGAATAAAAGTACGAATTTTTAAATGATTCGGACATTTCAGATTAATCGAAGAATTAAAAATGAGAACGTAACGAGCGATCAAATAAAAAACGCGTCTAGTTGCTTCTCGATGCTCAAATCAAATGTTTTCTGAACGTATGGCGTAGAGCGGCTAGCAAACGGAAAGATGACAGCACGTGACCAGCGCAGATCGCACAATTTCGTTCTGGTCGAGTCCATTGTGAGCTAAAGGGGGAGATACATTTAATACACAGTGGCGCGCGTCTACTCGTTGTTGATTATGTTTTTTCCTACGAGCGGTTGGTGTGTTCTCGAGTTGCTTTGTGTTTTCCAGTGTATTTTTTATAATAACTAAAACAGTCTTTTTAAAGACAAATTTAATTAATCAAATAAAAAAAAAATCATAAAAAAATTAAGAAATGTTGTATGATGGTACGACACTGGTGACTTGAAGCCGCGCAGCCTAAGCTCCGCCCATGTCATCTTCTATTCTGCCGGCCGCTCTAGCTACCGTCGTACCAGAGAACATAGAGAAGCGACATAGAGGCTGATTTTGCAAAACCACCCTTATTGACATTGGAGTCCTCAACCGCCAAAGGCAAGCGCCAAATTTAAATAGTCGATGCCAATAAAAACCTTGCTTCACTATAATTGTAATTCGTGTGACCTGAATGAAAGTGAAGGAAACAGTAAGCAGCTTGTAATATTCTGGTAAATCTAGTGTCAATCTGTCGAAAATAAAACGCGTCGTTAAAAATATGATGACATTTCTTCTAGTTACTTTTATTTCTAGTTAGAAACAAACACTGCTACCAACATAAATTGAGAAGTCCTCAACCGTCATTTGATTTAAACTATGGCGCTTCTCTATGTTCTCTGCATATATAGTGTTCCTGTAGAGGAACACTACACATACACAAACCATATTAGGTATATGATACAAACCCTCTCTGATGATGTCAGCTACGCGATACGTTCAAAAAACATTTGCGCATCGAATAGTAACTAGAGGTGTTTTATTTTTGATCGCACGTTATGTTACTTGAAGTGTTGGGTTATGTTCATAGAATATTGTCACTCGGGAGAATTTTCCATGGTTATCTTCATAAAAAAACTTGTCGTTAAAGTGGACTGCGATTACCTGTTTCATCACCAACATAAAAAAGTAAATCAAACCATCAGCGTCAAAAAAATGGTTAATGAAATTACGTCGTACTGAAGAAGCGGAAGTCAGTGGCGGCACTTCAATCGAGATATGGGTTGACACAAAAAAAAAACATTTACTTTTACAACTTTTTTCCATATGGGTGTACCATGACTCATAATTTCACTTATTGCTGTGCTTTCACACATGATAAACCGATAAGAAAAATCAATAATTTCCCAAAATAAGTAATCAATGATCAAATAAAACACTACACCCCTGCAGAAAACTTTACAAATGCGTTTATCGCCAAAACAAACATGTTGTGTAAAAACGGAATAGTCAGTTTTATAGTTGATAGCAAACCATTCCAATGTATTCGCGGTGGACTCCTGTGATATTAGCCGCCCATATTCAAATGGTAAGTAAAAATTTAGTCCAACCCTCACTTTATATATGTCGTAGGTCATGTCAACCAGATTAATATGTCGCTCAACCCACCGCGACGAAAAAATCCAGTCCGGCCCTGTATCCTACCGCACAAATACTTGTAACGCAGCTTTCGAGAAATGTTGCTCTGACGGATGTTGCTCCATTCTATCAGAGATCCCCTGGTATGTATGGTAAGATGGCCATTTTGAGCCACCCGCTGGCACTAAATTCAAATTTCAGGGCGATTTTAGTAATGGCGGCCGTCGTTGTATTCCTCGTACTGTGCATAATCTTTTTTTACTTAAATATATTTCTGGAAGTGATGAAAATGCGTCGTCAGAGAAACGCCGCTCCTGTTAACCAAATTTGTACGATTTCCAGCAGCCGTAAGTCGTGTGTGTGCGTGTTTAGGGTGTTTTAATTGTACAGTTGGTAATGTTGTAGAAAAATGCGAACGACCCCCTGCTTACAGTGTCGCTATAAATTTGCCTCTGCCACAACAAAATTTGGATCAAGTGCCCACGTATGAGGAGGCGACTGGAAAAAAAATAATTGGGGGGGATTAAGATTCGGCCAGAAAACTCTGCTTGTAAATATAATTAGTATAAAAATATACATGAAGGTACATAACGACAATAAAATAATATCATTCCATAAAAACAATTACACTTTAAGTAGTGCGGCTTTCACCTCATAGATGTCGCTTCTTCGTAAGTAGGTGGCGGGGTTACAGGCACGGCGTTAGTGTTACCGTTGTTTACGGGACGAGCTTCTGAAAAAACGCATTTTCACACAATAAAACCAAAATAAGAGTGATGTTACCATTCGCCAACACCAAAGTCAGTGGAGAATCGACTCGATCCTCGCTTTGCGGTACGCTCCTATTGCGCCCTCTATTCTTACAACAAGTTAACCAACAACCAAAAATGCATATACCTATGATGAAAGAAATCCCAGCTGTGAAAATCCTACAAAAAAATATAAGTTAGGGACTTTCGCTTTCCAGAAATATTACCAAATGTGAGCGTGGCTAAATCGGGGGCAACAGCCTTCCTCACAACACTTCTCAAAGACAGGATTACAATCGACAAAAGTTACGAGATTTCCGTCGGTGCGTGTATGGACTTCTGTAGTGCAAATGTATGCATGGATTATGGGCTGAAAGCAATATGGTAAAACACAAACGGTTGCGTTGCGGTAACTTACCACGGTGATATGTAGAAGGAAAAGTCGACGATAAAATGCCATTTTGATATGTACAAAAAAAAAAAAAAAAAAAAAAACAGGAAGGTGGTAACCGTGTTCTACAAATTAAGACATTCCTGTTTAATAGCCTCCAGGGCCTCGTGCTTTCATTTCCATCTTAGGTGGAAAAAAACTGAAACAAAAAAATGTTTTCAATTTTCCCCATTAAATTAAAACCCGTGCCGCCTATGGTGTGCACACCCAGAAAATTGCTATTTTCCGGCAACCCACTATGCAACAGGTGATCGCTCAATGACACGTGATTTATGGGTTAATGTTTACGTTATTTTCACACCAAATATTGCAAATTAACACAAACTAATATTTACCTTCAGCTGTTTCATGATCAACCAAACAACAACAACCAATATTGTAAAATTTACAACCGCTAAAACAAGTTTGGACGTGCTCAGTCAATGTCACGGTAAAACGTGCAAACGACAGTGGCGTCGAACGTCAAATGTCATTTTTTGACAGTCGTCGGTCACAAATAAGTTTCAAAGTACTTATTTCGATCCCATTGAGCTTTTCTAGTATCGCGGTAAACGCGAATTGAGCGTCAACATTTCTCGTGTTTTTTTCAACGAAGCAAATTGTGTTAGTGTTACGAGTCGCCCCTGCGTAGGAATTTTCGTGTTTAGGTTTAGTAGGTGGTAACTTGAGCAGCTGTCAACGCACGTGCCGCCCTCTACAGTGTTTCTTTCGTGTTTAGCACGTAGTGAGTACACATTTATCTATTTTTTTTTAAATAATCATCCACCTTTTACCAAAAATACAACCCCGTATGTATAAATTAAGTCTTCTTGCGTCTCCCTGGATAAAATTTTTGCCATTTGTGTACAATTTTTGACTGGATGACGCCAGAATTGCCAAACACGATTGACATTTGTCTAAAATAACCTCAAACTAGTTTTGTATAAACAGGCAGCTTCACTAACTCATAACTGGTCGAATTGTAGGCTACAATGGCACCTAGAAAGGGGAAAGTACAGAAAGAAGAAGTCCAAGTCTCTCTTGGACCCCAAGTTCGAGAAGGCGAAATCGTGTTCGGAGTGGCCCACATTTTCGCCAGCTTCAACGACACTTTCGTACACGTTACGGATTTGTCGGGTCGGGAAACCATTTCTAGAGTGACTGGAGGCATGAAGGTGAAAGCAGACAGAGATGAAGCTTCTCCGTACGCTGCTATGTTGGCTGCACAAGTAAACCAGAAAGTGAGGTTAGATTGTCCAATTATGAGTGTTTTTTTTTTAGGATGTGGCTGAAAAGTGTAAATCTTTGGGAATTACGGCTCTTCATATTAAGTTGAGGGCGACTGGAGGTAACAAAACCAAGACCCCGGGACCTGGGGCTCAGAGTGCGTTGAGGGCTTTGGCTAGATCTAACATGAAGATCGGAAGAATTGAGGACGTTACGCCTATTCCATCAGACTCGACCCGCAGGAAGGGAGGTCGTCGTGGTCGCAGATTGTAAACACAACGTTTTTATAATATAATTAATACGAATTTTTCAGTGTTTTATTATTTTATTTGTACACCTCATTGCTTACAAAGAATAATATAAACATGAATTACGATAAAGTGGCTAAAATTATTAACAACGATGTTTTCTTATTGTAAATTAATGTAGTTTAATTGTATTAGAGAGTGGAAAATAATTTATGCCTGAAGCGCTGGACGTTCTTGCTTGGCTTCCAACTCTGCGTTGGTTTGAGCATATCCAGTGCCACCTCTTTGCATTACAATAATATCTTTCTCCTTCAATTTCTGCTCCGTCAACGGATGAATCCAATCCTTTTTGATAATTTTCTCCACACATTCCAAAGTGACGACGTCTCCAGTGGGTTTGAGAACAGCACACGGGACTGAATTACTCAACACATCGTGAGTAACCGCGCACATGTACCTACTCTCCTTCGTAATCAAAGACTTCGCTTCCGAATCCTTAACCGGCGTAAACTTCACATCAATCAAATCCTTCACTTTCAACGGCTTCTCGGACATGGGGCACGGAATAACACTATCCGGTTTCTGCAACTTGGCTTTCTCAGCTGTTGGGGTCTTCGACGGTACCCAAAAACTCGGCAATTCTTTGTCCCTTCCAACTGCCATATTGGAAATCGAGGAGGGTTCTCCCCGCGAAGATTTCCCTTTACTCACGATACTATTCTCACCCTTCAAGAATTCGTCGACTTTTCGACTGGTTTCAGCAGCCGCTTTGTCCAAATTTAAGTCATCTTCTTTCCTTTTGAGTCGTTCGTACTCTTTGAGTTTGCGGCTGTTTTCGTTCTTCTTGGCGATGATGTACTCAAGAATGACTTGCTTGTCGAAGAGGAAGCCCTCTTTCGTGATTACGGGGTTCCGGCAGGGCTGCAGGGAGAGACAGCAACAGTCGAAGTCTTTGATGGAGTCTTTCCCCAGTCTTTGGGAATTGGTGCCGTAGCCGGAGGCCTGAGCATCCTTTTTCTTCTCGTGGTACGTATAAACAGCCCCCGCTGTACAATTACGGGCATGACGAGTCATTTCGGAACGACTTTTTTTGTTTTTACTTTTTAGATCGGGTTTGAGGTTAGGTTGTGACAGAACAAATTCTGGGATTTTGTTTTCGTGATTACAGTAATACAGGGCTGCCAAACGTCAAAACAGGCAACCCACAATACAACTACTATATTTTAAAATTAAAACCACTTTTTTTACACCAATTTAAAAACGAAATAGAATTTTATTGTACAGATGTAACAAAAATTAAATAAATTCGACGACTCACTGTGTCCCTTCCACTTGATGTATTCTTACTTTATGCATCCTCAAGTTTGACTTCCACTTAGTACGAAAAACACAGCGTTCACATTGAAACCACTTCACCTCCTCTGGTTTCTGATGCTTCAACTGGTGCAGCTTCATCTCGCCTGTGGTCAACGTCCGATGCGGACAATACCCACAATAAATCCAGGAAGCATTATCCAAACATTTGTGTCTTCGCAGCATATGTTGTTCGACTTGATACTTAGTCTGCCCCCCATACTCGCACAACTGGCACGTGAACCAAGTCACATTCTTAACTGAAGAATGCTTTGTTTGGTGGTGCTGCTTCACTGAGTGCTTCGTTTTACCCCGATATGAACACAACTCGCAATAAAACCACGAAATTTCTTCAGGATCTGTATGCTTGAAGAGGCGATGGATGGTAACGTCTTTCTTAACTTTGCCTCGGTAAGAACACTGGTCACAGTAGAACCATGAGATTTTCTCCAGAGGTGTGTGTCTGCGAATTTGGTGAACGTTGAACGCTTTTCTGTATTTGGTTTTGTAGGTGCAGTGATCACAGCTGAAGAGTTTTGGCGTCTTTTTACCGATGTGACGCAACGTGTGTTTGAGATACATGAGTTTCGAGTAGGTGGTGAAAGAGCACTTCCTGCATTTGTTCAAGTGTTCATTGAGTGGTTTGTTTTGGGAATGGAGACGAAGTTGGACGACGGAATCGGTTTCGAAGGAGCACTCTGTACAACGCAATTTTAAATCGAGGCTTGTACAATGGTAAAATGGGCTTTCGTGGACGCAGTGTGTGTTCCATAAATATACGTCTGTCGGAGCTTGATTAGTACGACTGCAATCCAACTCGCGTAATTCGGTGCTCAAAAACTCAAACAATATGCTCATTTTGTTTTAAAAAGAAATTACATAATCAGACATTTTAATCTAAAAGTGAGGTTATGTTATCAGGTTTTATATAAGAAAATACTTGCGAGATTATACACAGAAAGTGGGATTAAAATATCAGCACGTTAGCAATGGGTGAAAATAACAATGTTATCATACTTTATTTAACACAGCAACTTTTTTAAATTAATTCAAGTGACAGCTGTCATTCAAATTTTAGTACAGACAACCCGTAATACACACGTGTAACGTTGGTGTATCTTTATTAAAAAAATAAAAATAAATATGACTTTATTAAACAAGATATTTTTCAATTCCTACAAAACTTCTCATGTAAAGTTGTGTATAGTTTCTTCGCTTTAACAGGTCCTAAACCTGGACACTCTGATAATTGTGATTCAGAAGCTTTAATTATTCCCTCTAGTGTAGTAAACTTGGCAATTAAATTCATAGCGTCCGTTTTATTAATAGGTTTGATGGATGTTAAAACCTGTAATAACTGCAACAAAACATCATCACCAAACTCTGATAAACGTTATAAATATTACCCTGATGTAGGGCGACGATTCGCCCCTTTCCATAATATTATCAGCTGGTTTATTCTCATAAATTTTGTATGTTTCTAAAATTTTTCCAGCTTCCTCTGCACTCCACGCTAGAACTAAAGTTAAATCAGCTAAAATACAGATTCTGGTGAGGTTTTTTAATATGTGGTGAGGGTCAGAAATATCCACCTAAAAATAAACCACTATATTAAAAAAAACAACAACAAAAGTGTAACCAAACCTGGACTAGTAGGATCCTCAATTCATACATTTTCCCTAGAAGCTTGAGTCTCTCATGGATATAATCCGGATTTAAATTGTGATACCGTAAAGACAGAAACAAGGCACATGTAGTTTTGCCCATTTGGTAGTCGGGCACTATGTCATCGTACTCCCACGGGACGTTACAAATCGATTTTAATAAAGGATTCCCTCTCTGCTTGGGGCTTACTAAAAGACAGTGAGTTTTGGTGGAGGGCTGTTTGGACGTCTGGGCCTCCGCGTCGTCTTCTACAAAGAAAAATCAGAGAACGAATTTCCAAAATAACATTGTACTTTTAGTGGGGTCATCAGGAGTGAGCTCGGAATCAAATTCGGCCGCTAAATTTAGAGATTCATCTAGCATTTTTGTGTTTGAAACTAGAGGTTATGTTTTGTTTTGACAGTTAGTTGATGGTTATGCAACCCAAAATACACCACTCAAGTTACAAAAAAAAAAAAAAAGAAATTTGTTGTGACAAAATAAAACCTAAAGAACTGCGCGTCTGATGCACGCTCTCAGAAAAATATTGCGTCGAACACATTTTCTGTATTCTTAAAGTTCAATTTCCGGTCAAAATGTCGCACGTTTTTAAACTTCGCTTTTGTGTACTTGTTCTACTAAAAAAAAACAACCCTAAAGATGTTCGAACCTCTTCGATAAATTATGAAATCGGTGCATATTTTAATTAAATTTTGCGACGACGGTATCAAATTTTTGGTGCAGCAATGACAATACATTTTCTTGCGAAAACACACTTGAATAGATACAGTTTTAGCATTAAGAAGATTTCAGGTGTGAGTTTTGCACGTTTTACGGATGGCTGCCTTGCAAAATCACTCCGCTAATTAGCAGAAATGTAACTGAAAATAGCGACTTGTTGCCCCCACAAACTGCAAATGCAGCTGGAATATGTTGCGAGATAATTAATAAACTCGCTCGCATCGAAATCGCTTTGCTAAAAAAAGATCAACAGGTTCGTGCTACCTTGACGACGGTGAGATCCCGATGCAAGAGACTTATTTTTTTTTGTTTAAGCTCAGCACTTAGCGAAGCTGAGTCTTGAGCTATGATTAATTTATTACATGATGTATGGTTTACCCCCACCGAACAACCGATGACATCATAGTAAAACAATTAACACTTGTAAATTTTATCTTCAAAATCTATCCGTGGAATGCGCATCACAAGTATTTACTTGTTACAGTTAAATCTCGAAAATAAAAAGAAATAATATAAATACAATGTCAGGCATCCTCGCATCGGATTTAAATCTGAACATTTCTGCTATGCTGTTATCGATAAAATATGCGCCGGTTTAAATTACCCTTGTCTTGGATTTCATGTTATATTTTATAAAATGATTTACCTAGACAATTTAACAAAATAAGAGTAGGAAACATTCAGTGGATATAAAGTAAGCAAACAAGGTAGTACTCAATAATTATTATAATTACGACCAATCCAACACTAAATTATGGATTATTAAAATTTCTCTAACTCGGCTATTATGTAAATTTAATGACGGATTTTGCATAACGCCCGGTTGTCTTGACAACTGTTGCTACTAGAGTACGTTCAATTTAAATTACAACCACTTGTCTCTTATTGTATTGAAATAGTTAAAGAAATTAAAATTGTTTTGTGGTTATTAAAACAAAAATTAATTAAAATGTACATTTATCCCGTCCAAAAATTTGATGACGTCATAGCATTTTTTCCGCAAATCTCGCTTGACCGTTCGATATTTTTTTTAAGCAGATGATACAGTTACACTTTTTAACTACTTAATTAGCTTAATATTAGCTTGCATAGAACTCGCATTAGTCGATTTCCACACTGCTGCCTGTTTAATCTGTGTTCGCGACATTTCAATTTCAGCATCCCCACTCCAATAGCTGAAACAGTCGCGACTGAAAGCTTCAGAGCGCCAGTTTGAAAAACGTTATAACAACTGTCTATCAACATTGTTGCTGTTTTTGTGAAGTTCGGTGACTTAAGGTGGAATAAGTGTTCAGTTTAAACCCCACGTAAGTACTTAACAGTGTTTTTAAGCGACATTTTATAATTTTTGATCTCAAAATTAATAAAATAAGCAATATCCTGGCTAAAAACTCAACACGGATTCATAAGCTACACGTATTTTAACCAAATTTACAATGTGACGTGACTGAAACATTTTAGGGTCATATTCACAAATAAAATGCAGTAAATGAATTATACCGTCATTGTTTGATTAATCTTAAATGTTGTTACAGATATGATTCAAATGACAAACTTCGCCAGTTGCAGCGCTCTGTCTGAACAAGAAAACCAATCTAGGCGGAACAGGAACGACTATACTAATTATTATAAATGTTACATTCCTTGTATTATGTTAATTATCTTGTTTCTGCTTATAGTGGGTTACCACCTCTGGGCTGGACACCCAAAAACCAATGGTTAATTACCTATTATTAACGTATGTCTGTCATAAACTACGTTCGGCAACTTTTAGTAACTATTTTGTTGAAGACGGAGTTTTTGCTGTTGTATTCTCTATATTGCTGTTTGTTGTGGCATGTCCCAAAGTCCAGTTATCGGCAGTAGTCTGTAAAATTAGCTCTACAAATTCAATGGACCAAAGCGTATTTAATATTTTTTTTATCTTGAGAATACTTTACAGGGCAAGAAGTACCTACAATACAAATAAATGTTCCCCTGACTGTGATGACAAGATTTGTATTAAAAAAAAGATAGATGGAAGTGGAGATCGTTTTGATTAGATTCATCCCTATGTTCAATGTTGAAGAAATTTGTGTATATAAGATGTAATAAAACTAGATAGATTAACACGTCTGTGGTATTGTTACATCTTAATGTCATTACTGTACCATGTACCCTCTTGTATATGTTAAAATTTCTCTCTGAAACATTATTACTTGCATTTATTTAAAAGTCATACTTACATCTCCACGTATTTATTTTTTTATTGTCATGTTTAAATAGAATCTACGTTTTTAACCACCAGTGTTTTATTTCCATATTCCTTGTTTCTGATCTAAACGGTGTGTAAAGTTAAACTCTGGATGTTTTTAAATTGCTTAAAATATTATAGCGACATCTTGCGGACTCTTTGTTCATTGCGCTATCCATTGCTAAATTTTTGATTCACTTCGTTTCTGTGACGCCATCTATGACAACAGGTATTATAAGGTCGAAATGAACAGAATACAAACCACCTAGGATTCTGTCCTGATTACAAATTTTCTTGACGTTTAGGGCGACATCTTTTGCATACACTTTACAATAATAAGTGCAAATAAAATTCTTGAAAACTGTTATTTCTTCTCGGTTTGTTCTGTTCGTGGTTTTATTTCGAAAAATAAATTCGGGCTAAAATTGCGTGATCAAATACGTTTTATTTGATGCTGTCTTTATGTTGTGGGTCTTATTGATTTTTACGTAATACGGCTCATGCGCATTACGAAATTATTTGGGTAAATAATAATCAGAATAACTAAAATTTTCATATTTACCCGCCAAAACTAAGGACAACTAATAACGTCAGCCAATAAAATAAAAGAATTTACCCGCGAAATTTGAAAACTGTTGTAGTTTAAATATAATTTTTCAGCATTTAAGATCTTTCTGCTTGCACTTTTATAATTCCCTCGAAATAAAGTCTTCCATGCGAGAAAGAAACATTAGGCTGATGTAAGAATCAACTCTTCATTCCAGTACACAAAAAACTGATTCCTGCACGAATCCAAAATTCCTTCCACAGCATATACCGGATGTCCTAACGTTTCAAAATTTTTAAATAAATTCAGAAAATCGAACAAACACATCAAATATACAATGGCTGCAGTCAAAAAGTTAGACTGACGAAAGTCACTATTCTGTTTAATTTGCTATACAAAAAAGTAACTTCCAAATCAGTCCAACATTCCTTTAAAAATCCCAGATTTCTTTAATCCACGTTTAACATAAGCAGTAATTCTAGTGTAGATGTGGAAAAATTTCATTCCAAACAAATGCGGAAGTTTCGATTTAATATACGACCAACCACTACATTGTTCGAAATAAAATAAATCACGTTTTCCAACCAGCACAAACGGTAGGTTGGTTGTTCACCCGTTGATTTTGTTAATATAAAATACAATTTTCTGAATAATGATAGTAGTAACAACGTAGCCTAACTTAATCGGTTAATAAAAATAACAAATAAACTAAATACCTCTAATTTTCGGTGCCTCAGAAAAACACCAAAAGTTCCAACAAATTTCTTGTTTAGTAAGGTCGTCTTGGGGATTTTTCAGGCTGTGGATTTTTTGTAGAGATACGATTATGACAGAGTAAACTACAAGTAGCAGAAATTAGTAATTTAAAAATCCATAAAATTTGTACTCACTGTTCAAACCGTTATTTTGTAGTAATGCTAAATACATTTTTATTGCTACGTTACACAAAAGCTACAAAGTTATATACTTCTATGTTCTAAAAATTTTAATATAGTATAGCATATACTGGTTATTTATTATTAGATATACAATTAGATTTATACTTGTGAACACACATAGGTAGTACTACATTAAAAATACAATTTTCACACAACTATGCTACACTACTACCTATATTCTAAGTCTACATTTACATTTAATACTGTGCTTGTGCACATAATTGCCAATCCATTTTCAGTGTACGAAATTCACTTTAGACTTGTCTTCTCATAAACCTGCAAAATATTTACAAACTTTTTACGTGATAAGCTTTTTTTGACGTTAGTTACGTTGTTATTACTATCTTCTATATCTGTTTTTGTACATACAATATTTCCGTAGCAGTGTACGTGTATTAAGGATTGCCTATACCATTGTTCCGAATTTTCAGTTTTCTTTTCAAATATTAACGTTTTTCTTTCTTATTAAAGGAAAAAAAAGAGTGCCTTGTCACACGACCTCAGCTTTCGGCTGGGTTCTTTTCACCTTCATTCCGGAATCCTGCGTCGAAATGAGGCGCACAAAAAAGATTTTCTTTTCCTTTAACCATGGTAGAAGGAGACATGGTATAGGCATACGCATCGGGTGTGACGTCAAGTGGGGTGAAATTAGCGCGAAATTTAAAATACAATTCGTTATCCGACAACTAATTGACGTATTGGACAGAGCAATGACACAGGCAATGACAACTCAAGCTGAAATTCCCTAGACTTCCCTAGCGAAGCTCACAATAGTCACAAGGTCGTTGATGCCACCTAACGTCACAAATGGATGCGCAGACCATTTTTAAATTGGTACATCGGATGCCTATACCATGTCTCCTTCTACCATGCCTTTAACCAATTTTCATAATTTCACGCTTTTTCTCTTTGAATATTTTTTTAATAGACATTTATTTTATATTTTTTTTAAATGACAAGCGAATAAGAACAGAAAACTTAAAACCCAAATAAATCAAACTTTTGGTCAAATTAACAAAAGATTTCTTTGTTCGAGCTTCAAGTAGCCTGTCAACGGTTTGTGACCATCTAGTTTTTTGAAGTCTGTTGGAAAGATAATTTTTACTCGATAATTTTGATAATAATAGTAATAATAGAGATATTGTTGATAATAAATTAATTACCTTGATTTTTCGTTGTATGATCTTCATTGTCTTTGATTGTCTAGCTTCTTTATAGTTCTTAACTTTCTTAACTAAAAATTTTGTATGTAGAAGATGTACCTATCCTATTTTGGAAAAAAATTACCTGCGAAATAATTTTGTGTAAATAGGGAACCATCCCTGAGGTAGATAATAGAAATTGACGTTTCGAGCCCATAATGAAACGTCAAAATCTGGGTAATGAACACAATTAATTTCTTTCTTTGTACAATACACACAATTGGTGTTTCGATTTTCGATGTATAAAAGTGTACATAGGAGTTTTTAAAATCAGTGTCAAATTTTAATGTTTAACTTAATAGGAACTACATAGTTACTGTTATGCTTGTCAAAATAAGAAGAGGCAGATATCTTTTTTTGAAAAGCACTAACACTAAGGCAGTGGAAGGCGCTTTACAAAATTTCATACCGAATTTAAGAACACCTATATGTTGTCCAATTGAAGGCAAATTTGTGACCAGCAGTGTGGAATCCTGCAAAAACAGATTATAAAACTTACAAATAAATTACAATTTGACTGTCTCTATTATTACTATTATTATTTTGTTCCTGTAAATGGTGAACAATAATCAAAGAATACAAATTATCTTATACAGAAATCACTATAGTGTTACTTCGCCGAAATTCCATAGTCTTCCTTTCTGTTGGTTAAAAACAACTAAATTTATGGCCCCCGAAAATCTTAAAATTCTTTTCTATTTAAGATAGCCGGCGACGCGTAAATCTAGAGTTTTTAGTGTTTGTGTTTCATTGACTACATTTTTTACAGAAAACTCTGAACACAAATAAAAATGTCTTTTTGGTAAATTACAAAAGGCACTCTTACTTGCATTGTAAGTAATCTGCAATAGAAAACATTTAGTTGATGCAAATGAAGAAACAGTGTGGTGAAACAATGCTTTTAAATTAATTATAAAAACATTTACTTCGCCATTCTACAACATTTCTACGTACTTTCGTTTTATCAACATCGTAGTTAAAAAGTTTTGAACTTTATTTGTCATTTTATGTTTTTGATACTTTTTATATCTGTAATTTTAAGTGATAATAACAACTAGTGACCAAAATTTCAATTTTCATCAAGTTTGTCATCATGAAATTTTAAATATGTTGGCAACCTGACAAAAAAAATCACCAACACTTATTAATTAATTAAATTCATTTAAAAAGTGGACCTCGGGTGCCAGCAACAGGTTAAAAACCACCTGTTAGACGTAGCGCAACAAGTAGTTTAAACATACTCATTAAAGCGGGATACACTTTAATCAATAAAATAATAATTGATTAGAAATTTTGTAAGTTAATTTTACATTTAACAAAATCATTTTTATACCAAAAAATTAATTAGAATCGTTAAGTTTGTGTGTCAATTTGTTTGTTTTTTTTTTCTAATATTAAGTATATTGAATACAAATAAAACATCTTAAAAATAATGTGAAACAACAAAAAAGCACCTGAAAAAAATTAACCAGTATTTTTCGTAGGAGATTTCATTGCCGGGCTAAGAAAGAAACACAAAACTTAAAAAAAACAACAACAAATTGTACGAAGAACAAGAACTATTAAATACACAAAATAGTGACAGATTTCTTACTGTTATTACCAAATTTTAAGAGAATTCAATTCGTGATTCGTTTTCAGAGTCAATTCGTGATTCGTTTTCAGAGAAAAAAAATCTGTTCAAAAATTTAAATATGTATTATAATAATGTTGAAAGTACTCACAAATAATGCTGTTTTGTCTCTTCCGGCTTGTTGCAAGACACAGCATCAACTCCTTCGGGTTGCAACAGGGTTGAAATTTATAGATTTAAAGTGGAACAAGCTCCTCCTACAAATACTAAGCTTGCGCAGAACTGTAGACATAGTGGTAAATAAAATATCAACAAATCTAGCTTTTTTAAAAAGTTATAACTGTTTTTAATTTAAAAAGTCAACCATTTAGGAACTTTTTTTTTAATTTTTTTCAGTTGGTGAATTCTCATCATCCTGAAACTAAAAATGATGTTATGTTGCGTTTATACTTTTCTATATTTGAAGTTTCATAATTTAGAAAAGCGTAATTTTAAACTCTTTTAAAAGTTAAAATTAGGGAAAACATTAGCGAACAGAGAACTGTTGCCTTTAATGTTTAATATGATTTAAAAACCTTCGGGAAGCTAATTACGACGACCGGTATGGTAATAAATTGATTTTCTAAGAGCGCGTTTGTTGGGTTTGATGTGTAATAGATGCTTCAAAAGCGGCGTATAAAGCTAATTTATAACTGACTGAAACTAACCAAAACCACTATATTGCATAAAACTGCTTGATGCACTAGGCGGCAAAGTTAATTATTGACAAACTACACTTAAAAGCTTGCAAAATTAGATTTACCTGGAAGCAAGCGATCGACCAACAGATTGAATTAAAACCGAGCGATTTTTGGGGTCGTCACCCAATTTCCTCACATTTTAACATAATTTTAGATACATTTTTGTTTTTAAAAATGCGTTTTATTTATTATTAGTATCCTTTACAGCTGCAATTTGATCAATTCTCTATAATTTTTTTTACGTGGTTTTGAGTTTTTTCGTTTCTGTTTGTCGCCTCCACAAATCAAATCATTTATTATTGTGTTAATTTTCTCCTTTCTCCGTTTCGTCGCGCCACCACTGGTGGCGTCCTGTCACCTGTCAATCTAGGGACATTTCGCTTTACCCCAATCGTCCTAAAGTTGGCATCGATGCTTGTAAGAGTTTGTTTTTAATTTCTCAAAAATAGCAAAAAAAATCAATTTTATAAACAAAATCGCAAACTCGGAAGAGCATAACCCAGAAAACACCCACCAACAAAAAATCCGCCATCGAAACCAGGTCGGAACAGTCAAATTCAACGATAAACCAAGCAACAACAAAATGGGTTAGAGTAAATACAACACTAGTACCATGGCAGTGAGAATTTACCTAGAAATAGGGCACGAAGCGTCAATTCGGACGAAAAAGACCCAGGAAGGGTTCACCCATGACTGGGAGGTATTTGTGCGAGGATGCGACGCAGCGGAGATCCACTACTATATCGAAAAAGTTGTGTTTTATTTACACGAAACCTTCCCCAAGCCGAAGAGAGGTGAGACCCCCAACTTGGTAAAACACGTCACTAACTTGACGGTTTCAGTTGTGAAGGAACCCCCATACTCGGTGAAAGAATCTGGCTATGCCGGCTTTAACCTACCCATCGATATTTACCTGAGAAACAACAACGAACCCAAGAAGATTAGGTTTAACTATGATCTGAATTTGCAACAGTCAGGGCCTCCCATCATCAAAGTGCAAAAAGAAAAGTACATTTTTAATTCCCCGGCCGAGGACTTCCGGATGAAGTTATTAAAAGGGGGCGCTATTGTAAGGCACGTTTTTCACCAAAAATAGCTCGTAATTTTTTTGATATTGTAGATTGGAAGTTCGTCAAGTAGTCAAGACATGAGTGATAGCAGATCTTCACTCGATGACAAAAATCAAATGACCAACAAACCCAAATTGAGCGGGTGTGATTTCGTAAAGAAGCAGAAAATGAAAGTGGGGGAGCCGTGCAGAGACTTCCAGGAGCTCTTTGGGTCCCCAATTAACATGTCGTCGAAGATGTCAGAGCAAAAAATGCCAATTCCAAAACCGGAAAACAAAGGTAACGAATTTTTGTTTGGAACTCCAAGGGGGTGAAATTTTGAAATAATGGGTCAAGTTTTCGCACAAATTGTATCAATTTGTAATGATTGTTTTAGAGAAATCTAGGACGAAACACAGCCCCCATAAAGAAACCCACAAAGACAAAGAAAAAAAAGATAAAACAGACTCAGACAAGAAAAACCGGGATGAGAAGAAACAGAAAGAAAAATCAAAAGATCGCGAAAGAAGTAAAGACAAGAACTTGAAAAAGGACAAATCGCCACGTCCTAAAAGTCCTAGTCCTAAAAGATCACCGAAACGAACAAGTCCAACCCGTTTTTCTAGTCCCCCGGTTATCAAACACAAAGAATCTAAACACGATAAAGAGAAAAAGGACAAAGTTGAGGAGAGAAAGCCAAAGAAAGAGAAAAAAAACAAGGAGCATAAAGAGAGCAAACACATAGAAGAGAGAGAAGAACACAAAGAGAGTAAAGTACGGAACGAGATAAAAAAGGATGAAAGTAAAGTTAAGAACGATAGCATGTCGCCGCCCCCACCCAAGGTAATATAATAAATTAATAATATAACAATTAATAATTCGTTCTTTCAGTTATCTGAGAAGAAAGACAAATCAAATAAAGAAAAATCGTCAAAAGAAACCCCCAAAGAAGATAGATACTCAGAAAAGTACAAACACAAGAAACGAGACAAAGAAAAGAGGGAGAAAAAAGAGGAAAAGCCGTACAAATCGGAAAAGAAAATAGAAAAACCACCCCCTGAAACCAAACCCAGTTTATTTAAACCTGAACCTCACGTGAAAAAGGAAAAATTAAATTACGTCAGTCAACCCAACATTGATGACGAATCCTCGAATAGTTCCACGTCGAGTTCAAACACTTCATTGGTCGAACGTCCGTCAGAAAAGAAAAACAAACCTGAAATGATCAAAGCGAAAGAAGAAAAAAATCAAAAACTGAAGAAAGACAAGGGCTATCAAGACAACACGATCAAGTGTAAGCGAAAATCGAACTCTGGCGAAGGGGAAGAACCTCCAGAGAAGGTGGTGCTTAAGGACCAGGTTATGAATAATAATTCGGACGGGGAGCTAGAAACTCAAAAACCGGTGGTACCGATAGTACCGGAAGGAGTGGTAAGTAGTAAGCGACGCATGCGCATCGAAAACAGTTTTTTGTGTGTAGGAGGACGACTACTTTGGACTGCTGCGTGGCCTCCAGACTAAAATAATGGCACTCAAGGACAACTCAGATCTCCAGAAAGTCGTCAAATTGATAGCTGAGACCGGTCGTTACGAAGTTTCAGCTCACACTTTTGATTTTGACTTGTGTTTACTAGATAGGTCAACAGTACAACAACTGCAGGACTTCTTTTCAAGTGAAACTTAATTTAGTAAATCGCTTTGTGTTGCAATATTGTTGACATGAATTTGTATTTAGGTTACAATTCACTTTTAGTGCATGCATTTTTGCAGTATTTTTTACTGTGTGTGTTTATTTTTGTTACGTTTTGTACCTGTTGTCAGATTTTCCTTCTTTTATGTTTCTTTTCTTTTAAGCGTTGCATTTGCGTTGACTGTTGCCAGTTTGACTGCTGTTATTTGTACACATTTTATTAATATGTACAGGAATTGTGATAAATGCTATTATTTTTGTAATTTTAACTTTATGGTCGTGTTATTATTATAAAGATGTATTGAGTCACCATTAGATAGAAACTGTTATTCTGCATGTTTTGTATATCTTATTTCAAGCCAATAACGTTTTGTTTAAATCCAACACCGTTGCTTTTGCTCAAGTTGTATGAAAGTAAGGAACAAGTGAGTTTGTTTATAACTTTATAGCGCCCGCAAAACACAGACTTTAAAAAAGTACAGGTTTGAAATAAGATCTCAGTGTATAAATCATCTGTAAAAGAGTTAATGTCATTATATGGAGTCATGGACGAGTTTCTTTGATTAATTTATTCAAACAACATCAGTCTGAATAGAATGACCACGAGTATATAACGGTTTAAATTATTTACGTACTAGGGATACTTATACATTTGTAACTTATTTAATTTTATCTGCAATAAAATGGATGTATAACAAGCGAACGTCTCGGTTTTATTTATACAGATTCGCACGTCATGAGTTTCAAGGGCACACCTTATCATTTTTATTTTTCATCTTCAATTGACAAGCATAGTGACATTTTACGTTTTAGTAACTAAGTCTGACACAATATTGAGGTTATGTTGATTTAATCGTGTTTTGATACGTGACATTCTTTTGAGAAAAACCCACAAACTGTTACTCGTTTTGCAAAAATGGGTGAACGCAAAGGCACCAACAAGTACTACCCCCCTGACTATGACCCCAAAGCCGGGGGGCTCAACAAATTCCTGGGCACCCATGCCCTTCGAGAAAGAGCCCGCAAAATCCACCTCGGCATCATCATCGTCCGTTTTGAGATGCCCTACAACATCTGGTGTGAAGGCTGCAACAACCACATCGGAATGGGGGTACGCTACAACGCTGAAAAAACCAAGATCGGAATGTACTACACCACCCCTTTGTACCAATTCAAAATGAAGTGCCACTTGTGTGACAATCACATCGTGATAAAAACGGACCCAGGGGTACGTAGACAATTTAACAAACAGCCCCCTTAATTTTGTATCCGGTTTGTAGAATTTGGAATATGTGATAGTGTCAGGGGCCCGTCGACAAGAAAACCGGTGGGACCCCACACAAAACGAACAAGTGGTTCCAGAAACCAAAGAAACCCAAAAACGGATGTTCGATGATTCCATGTTCAAGTTGGAACACGGATCTGAGGATAAAAATAGCTACGAAAGCTCAAAACCACGGTTGATACAGTTGTTCAACCGGAATGAAGAGAAGTGGTCGGATGATTACAGTGCTAACCAGAGGTTGAGGCAGATTTTTAGGGTTTGTTTTTGAGGTGACTGTTAGTTTGTTTGTAACGTACGAATTTTAGAAACAAAATTCTGAATTGAAACGATCCGAATCTCAAGACAGCGCGCTTTTGAAGCGAGTGAGTTTGAGCATCCCGCTTCTCGCAGAGACCGAAGAAGACAAAAAAATGGCGTCTTTGTTAAGTCAGAAGTTGAAACCTATGAAGAGTGTCGGTGAAAACAGAGATTTGGTGAGGAAGAGGATAATATCGAGTTCGTCTCTACCAACTGCGAATTTTTCAACGACAAAGGAACTGAAAGCTGTTAAAATTTTAAACAATTCGGCTAAAAAAGATCTGGGGATTGTTAAGAAAAGCAGCACTTGTGTGCAGCCTGAAACGAAGAAAGCAAGACTAAGCAATTCTTTGGTGGGTGCTTATGGCTCGGGGAGCGACTCAGACTAATTGTAAATAAATGTACAGAGATGGTGAAAGTTGTAAATAAATATTTCTATTACAATCCGAATTTGTCTCAATACGACCCTGTGTTGACAGTTACCAGCTGACACTTCTAAACATAACCTCACTTAATCGTTTAAAAACAAATCGAAAAACTTCTTCATGCCTAGTAGCAACCGACGCATTCCGCGTACTCTACGCAACCCCATTCCTTCAATGATAGCAGGATTTGGGAGTGACCCCTCCAGCAGGTACCCGTCTCTGGGGAACGGTCTCCCCACACTTCCAGTTCTGGAGCAAGCAGCAGCCCCCAAACACTTCCCGTTCCCTAATACCCCCGTCGACGATGACTTCTTCTTCGAAGCTCTGATGTTTTCGTTCACTATAGTGTGCGGGGGGCTGCAATTCCTCCATTTATACCGAACAATATGGTGGCTGCCTCATTCATACAACCGACAAGCAGTGGTAAGTTCGAAAATCGTTGTAAATAAAGACACTAGTCACTACTTTGCAGAACTTTTATTTAATTGATATAAATTTAGCCACTTTTATCATAATCATGCTGTCAAGAAGACTCATCTATATCGTGGGTTGTCGAATCCTGGAGAAGTTAATCAAACCCAGGTGTCTGGACTTGTCGTTTATGTGCTACAGGTTGATTTTGTTTGGGGCGATATTTACCCTACTCACGTGGTGTGCCTACTATATAATGCAAAGCCACCCATTTGTCAACATCCTGTACTTATGTTACCCGTAAGTTTGTGGTTGATTGAAATTCCAAGACACGCTTTGTAGAGTTCTAGTGTATCTCATCTTATTCGGATGCAAAATCACCCCGTTTTTTGAACTTGTTACTTGGAACACGTCGTCGATTCCTCCACTTCACGCCTGTCGTTCCAATGCCACTGAAGTCCGCCAAGAAGTGGAAAATCTAAAAACTAATTTCAACAGTCGAGTAAAACAAATCCTTTTTAGTTCAATAATCAATGCCTATTATGCTGGTTTTATACCGTGTTGTTTTGCACAAGTGAGTTTTTTTTAACCAACTTGATAAAAAAAAAAGTTACTATTTTTGTTTCCAGAACCACCTCCACTATGACGTCTATTGGGCTACTCAGCACGTAATTTTCATTTTTTTCAGCAGCTTCATGGCTTTTACTTCTCATATTTTGTCGTTACGTTACTGTGATATTTTACACCGGTCTGCGCTACATTTAGGGACTTGGTATAAACTAGAAACTCGGAGTATGTTACTGGTTAATAACAACTGGAACGAAGACACTTTATGGCCATACGGGGCTCTAGTCAAACACGGCAAAGATGTGTATCGCGCTCTAGGTGAATGCAACGCTAGTGAACCCGGCAATGCCACATACGCCAGATTTTATTCATTATTTCGCAACCCCAGTAACTCACTTTGTTGCTTATCAGTAGGCCATGGTGTCATGGTGTTAGTGCAGTTGGTACTACTGTTTTACACCATAGCGTGGCACAACGTAATCTCAATCACCTTCATGTTGTTTTTTAACTATTATGTGTTATACAAAATGGGGAGGGACTGCTTAGTTAGTGTGAAAATGTACGAAGAAGAGAGAGCCATGCACAATAAAATGAATCTACGCTAAATACACTTGTTAGTTTAATTAATTAAGCATTCATTTGTTTCAAAAACATGAAATACGAAGCGGCGCCTCGTACAATCTGGAAAAATAGAGGGCGCTGTTTTGCTTTTCGTCACTAGGTGGCGTACTTACGGTCATGAAGGTTTGCAACGACAGGAGCGAAAATTTCCCAGCTGTGAAAAAATTCGGTCTTTGACTTCTCATCATGATAAGGAGGAGCGAATTCTTGACAGATTCATTCATAACTATCCAATCAATATCAAACACGTTGGACGCAATTTCTCCACTGACTAGTTGGACTTCGTTGCCGTGCCAACAGTAACACAGTAGTTGAAAAAGCATTAGTACTAGATACATGGACATGCTAAAAAATTCGACGCTGTTTGGCGACAACTGCAAATCGACTCGTTTCGGTCTATATAAACCACCCTCAGGTTACTTACCACACTCAACTGAAACAACTGGAAACACAGAATTAATAGGCTTGATATAAACTGCAACAACATCAAGTAGCAGAAGTCGTCTTCTGATTGGTCACACAAGGTGATTAGTTCTTGGTGGTGAAAAGCACACTCGTTTGCGAATTTAGAAGCGTACACTTGCGTCTGCGGGTTTAAGAGTTCGACACGTTGTATCCCGTGCGGTAATCGTACTTTTTCTCCCTCGTCTACGGAGTTTTTCGCTTCCGCTTTAGCTCTGTCGATCAAAGTTTCTAGTTCTCTTTTAAGAATAAGAAACTGTGCTTTGATGAGAATTAGAAACCCACAGATGACGGCATCTGCAGCACCTATATAGTACCCATAAACCACGGTACTGAATATTTGGAAAGCAAAAATTAGTTCGTACAGAGGGCTATCGTTGTAGTCAAAAGGCATCCAAGTGGTATAAGGCATTATTTTTTTGTTTACTATGATAGTTACGTTACCTTCCACGTAATTGTGTTTGTCGTATGGTAAGTTTGCTAAGGCTGCGTAAATCGTTCGGGCACCAATTATCACGATCACAAAAGTGTAGAAAAAATAGCCCTGAAAGGTCGGTTATAATGTGGAAACGATATTTTAAAATCTTACTTGTCGTTTACACAGATTTATGGCGTCTCGAACCAATTGGATTTCTTTAACTCCGCCCCTTTTCACGTTTGGTTTGAAAATACCAGTTTCTAGGGTTTCTAAGTGGTGCCACAGCTTTTTTCGCAGTGCCAACATCAAAAACATTTTTGCGGTGCCCAGAACGTGCGTGACGAAGTAACATAAAGCGAAAGTCAGTTTATAAATGTCTTCAAAATTTACCACCATGTCGATAAATTCGGTTACGGTGAAGAGAAACATCAATCCTATTATAAATAGAGAGTAAATGTGGAAAAGGATGCTTCGTGCGGTGGTTTCAATAGGGATTATATCGATACCTAGATAAAATAAGATTTTTAAGTGGACTTTGAAATACATGGGTGGGATTTCTTCGACTTGAGGTGACACACGTGCAGACATTTTTAGTGTTTGTGTGTACTTTACAGTGTTCCATTTACTTAAATACATACCCAGTGATATAAAAACGAACCTCTAATTTCGTTACATTGAAGTGGAAAAGTTTGAAAGTTGTAATAACCGTTGATTACACTGATTGTGTCAATACTGGAACTGGGGAATTTGCTCCTAACATTTGTAAAATATTCACGACTTTAACACTTGTTCTTTCCTTACGGTGGAAAATGATTACCGGTTGGGTTCAAAAGTGGTGGTGGGATTTTTTTTTCACGGAAATAAAAATCTTGAAATAATATGGCAAAACTGATTTTATTGTCTGTACAGTTACATACATTTGTATCAACAGACTAGAATACAATAGAAACATCAAAATTGTATAAAAATGTAGGTGGAGATTCTGGTAGATCTGTTTTAGCAATTAACCTCAAACTGATCGTTGACTTTTGAATTTCCGACTTTTTGAAAGTCCTAATCAACAATCAGTTCGAGTTAATCGCGTGTTCCACTAGTTTAATTCTACGGTATAGAGAAAAAGACGGGGTTTACGTCTCGTGAAAACCGCCTACAAACAGAAAGGAGACTCTAAAACAGCGTACACCGCTCTCGGAACAAAAAAAATTTGGTCCCTAGCGTGAACATCGTAACAAGTATTTGGTTCGGGAAGACTAGTTAGTTCAAGGATACTGACTAAACCAATGTTATGCAACAGAAGAAGCGCAAACCGCCAACAGGGCGCAAACAACCCCCAATTCCCCCGGTGGGTCCACGTGTCCAGCGCAGCGCCGCCTCAGAACTGTATGCGGTACTTGCTGTTGGCCGAGTCCGTCGACGACTTGCTCTCCCGCCCCAGCGAGCCGCCCCGGCGCGCGGCGCCGCCCCCGAACAGACGCACCTTGGACGGCGGCGGCAGCGAGTTGGCCGAGTTGTCGCTCAGCGTCGAGGCCGAGTCGCGCTCCCCGGCGCGGCCGCGCTGCGCCGGCTTGCGCAGCGACGCGCTCGAGCCGCTCTCCGACAGCCGCCCGTACTCCCCCAGCTTCTTGGGCGGCACCAGCGCGCGCGCCGGCGACGCGCGCCGGCTGCTGGCGGTGGAGCTGAGCGAGTCGCCGCCGTCGGACTTCTTGCGCGGGGGCGGCGTCTCGCCCTCGCCGAGGCGGTTGTAGTCGCCGAGGCGGCGCGGCAGGCCGCTGCGGTGCGAGGGGCGCGGCGGGCGCGGCAGCGAGCTGGGGGCGGGACAGCGCGCGCCGCCGCCGCCGCCGCTCCCCAGCTCGCCCGCCTCCTGCATGCGCTGCTGCTGCGACGCGCGGCCCTGCTTCTCGAGCAGCAGCATGGCGCCGGGTTCGTACATGGCGACGCCGCCGCCGCCGCCGCCGCTCACACCCGCCAGTAATGGCTTGGATATTTTTCCTTTTCTCTGCGCAGTGACTGGATTAGTGAATCCTGGAAAACAGCAAAGACCCCGCTGAAAAGGAGAAGAGAAAAGACACAGTTGGGATGTTGTCCGGGACCTGCGTGAAGTGGTGTTAGTCACACGGCACGCCACAGGGCTGGCCATGCACGGGAGGGGCGGGGCGCGGATTAGTAGGAGGGGCGGACAAGCGAAATGTTGAGTAACACAAGGGCATTCAGATCGAAAACGATGTTTATTGGTGCACTGCATGCGAGCTAACAAACGTACATGCGGAGTTACGAGTGCGCATACGCCCCGCCCCAACGCGCCCACTCTGCGCGCGCGCACACACTAAATCAGACAAGTGGGCGGGGTTGAGGTGGGGCGCGACAACACACCGAATAGTTTTCATCTTTCACTGAACACTATTCAGAACCATCATAGAATGAAACAAGTTCTTACCGGCGTTTATGAAAAATACATCATTCGGTTTCAGAAGGACGTAAACGACTTTCAAGGTCGAGTTTCAAATCAAAATTATTCTTTATGGGCGTGATCACTAAACATCTGCACAAAGTTGAGGCTTGAGTTTTTCTTCGTTATTGATTTTTTCAGTATTTATTTTACATTTGAAACGTAAAAATAAATATTACTCATTATTTTGACAATATTTGTCAAATTTACAATAGTCAGCAGTAAACAATTCATCAACGTATATTTTATACTATTTTTTTTCTGCTTCGCACCTATTTTTTAATTTTGGGGAATTTTGTGGTGGTTGGTACGATAACTGTCACATTGTAACATCTGAAGTTGAAATTTTCACAATAATAATAAAGGCCCCATCCATCCCGGTCCCGATCTCAATTATCAATTGTGATGACTTTTCATTCGTAGTCAGAACGAGGGGCAAAATTCATTTTTCCATACAAAAATTTATTATTTTAAACGTATTTTAAGTTTCTAAGAATAAAAAAAATTCATCACAATTGAGATGGGGTGGGTGAGCGGGGTTTCTATATTGTGCTTTTTTTCTTAATATACATAGTCTTCTTTGAACAACACGATACTCAAAAACATGTTTTTAATTTCTTGTAAAGAAATAAGTATTTGCAGTTAAGCTCCGCCCCCTTGGTTCTCGACGAATAAAAAAAAAATCATCACAATTGAGACCGGGCGGGTGGGCGGGCTTCTATTTTGCCTTTTTGTTTTATTATGTGTACACTTTTTTTCACAAGAAACTTCCATATTTTCTTGCAAAAATGTACCATTTTAACCATGTTTTAAGTTTCTTGTTGTGAAAAGATGTATAATATAAGCCCCGCCCCCCGCCCTATCTCAATTCTGATGTTTTTTTTATCGTCGTGAGCCGAGGAGTGGAGCTTAATTGTAAAATCCTTTTTTTCTACGAGAAATTACCATGTGAAAAGAAAACTGAATGTTTTAAGCTTCTCGTTGTGAAAAGATGAGTACACATATTAAGAAAACAAGGCAAAATGTTCTGAAAAAACGACTATGTATATTAAGAAATAGGGAAAAATATAAACCCCGCCCACCCACCCTATCTCAATTGTAATGATTTTGGGGATGGGGTGGGTGGGTGGGGTTTATATTTTGCCAATTTTTCGCAATTTACATAGTATTTTCTTAACAACACGATACTCAAAAACATGTTTTTAATTCCTTGTAAAGAACTAAGTATTTTGCATTTAAGCTCCTCCCCCTTGGTTTACGGCGAATGAAAAAAATCATAACAATTGAGATCGGGCGGGTGGGTGGGCTTACATTTTGCCTTTTTGTGTTAATTTGTGTAGACTTCTTTTCATAACATGAAACTTAAAATATGTTTAAAATGGTACATTTGTCTTAGGACATATAGTAATATATAATAGGCTCTGTCCCATAATTGCAAAATCCATATTTCCCTGAAAAAAAGTACCATTTTAATGATGTTGTAAGTTTCTTGTTGGGAAAAGATGGCTATGTATATTAAGAAAAAAAGGCAAAATATAAGCCCCACCCACCCGCCCTATCTCCATTCTGATGATTTTTTTTATTCGTCCTAAGCCGAGGGGCGGAGCTTAATTCTAAAATCCTTATTTTTGTACGAGAAATTACGATGTGAAATATGTTCTTAAGTAAGTACAAAGAAAACTAAATGTATTGATTAAAACAGAAAACCAAAAGAGAAGCCCCACCCAGGGGCGGAGCGTAATTGCAGCATCGATATTTCCCTATACAAATTTGCCATTTTAAACATGTTTTAATTTTATTGTTGTGGAAAGATGACTGCATATGTTAAGAAAAAAAAGGGAAAATGTAAACCCCGCCCACCCGCCCGGTCTCAATTGTGATGATTTTTTTATTCGCAGTTAACTAAGGGGGCGGAGCTTAACTGCAAAATCCTTATTTCTCTTAAAATAAATAAATCTTGTTACTACTGGACCTCATTATCCCTATCAAAATTTGATTTTCGTGGAATTAGTGGTGTCAATCAGAAAATGTCCCCCCTACTTTAGGGGATTTTCCTTCCAATTGGCAGCACTGCACACCACCGCAATTTGATTGATTGAAAACCCAACGTCAACGGCAAGTTTATAAATCGACCTTTAGTTGTTGCTGTCAAAAACAGGCATACCAAAGACATAATTTATAATACACTAACTACTCCATCGGGAAAAATTAATTATTTTATGAACTTTATACAATAAGCTGTCATAAATTCCAAACAAAGCATCATAAAAATAAGAAAAATAGCTAGAATAAAGATAGGTGAGTGCTACCTAAAGAAATAGCGAGTGACTACTAATGTATTTTTTTTGTTAGGTTGGCAACCTAATTAAAATTTTATGATGGCATACCTGGTTGTCAAAGTGACATTGATGACAACCAATCAACGTGTTTCAGAATTGCCAACACAAAAATTTGCTTCATTAATAGTCAATTCAAGAGAAAGAAAGATAAAATTAAAATAAAAAGTAGCTACAAAAGCAGAAGACAAAATAATCTTTCAATTGTGCATATTTTTAGTGATTACAACACAACCGTTTAGACAAAAACGTAATTTGTTTTCAAAATGTGTCATTTTGGGTATTGTAACGAAGAACGTCCTCCGCCCTTCCATAAACTAGCCACGCCTTTTTCATAAACGTCCGTCAAACACACTGTTAACAATTTGGTCAATGAAATCCACACCTGACACTACTATATACAAGTCGCCGTGAACTCTTCACAAAAAAAAAATCCAAAACTGAACAAAAAAATCAGAAACCGACTCACTATTTGACTCGAACATTGAAAATCGTTCTGTACTTGGTGAAAACTTGAGTTTTCGACACCGTACAGAACTCCTAAGCGTGTTCAGTCAACAAAATGTCTCAGTCTCTCCTACCTTGCTAAGAAGTTGCGAATCTAACTGGCTGTCGATCTCTTTCAGCTGATTATCCAAGCTCTGCTTCGTCGAGTCGAAACTCTTGTTCGTTTCGTATTTACTGTACGACGGCATGTGATAGGACGAATCGCTCCCGGCGTACGAATTCCCGGATCCGAATCCCGTCGAGCTCGTCAGGACGCTGCTCACTGCACACACACAAAAATAGATCGCAACCTAGCCACTCCTACATCATTACCTAGCTCCTCCCTCGACACGGCCGTCCCCAACACGTGATCGATGTCAGTCCCGCCCAGACTCGGGTGGGGCGTATGGTGAGGGGAGCGCCCCAGCATGCTACTCACGTCCTTCTCGTACGTATGCTTCTGCAAAACTTTAATCATGGCGTCTCGCTCGGCCAACTTCGACTCCAAATCTTTAACGCGCGACTCCAAATCGGCGACTTTTTTCTGCGCAGCGTGCACTTCGTCCATGTGGCGGATTTTCTCGTTTCGCGCCTCGGCGATGATCTTCTCAGTCTCCTGGCTGGTTTTTTCCAAAGCCGCGATCTTGGCGTCTCTAAACCCACCATTAACACATTGGCGAACTCACGAACCGACAACTTACTTTGGAATACTAGCTGCGTCGATGGCCGCCTGGCGCAGAGCGCTCTCCTCCAGGTACCTCTGCTCCCACTTGCTGCAGTCGCCTTCCAACCTCATGATCTTCTCGTCTTTTTCGCGCAGGCGTCTCTTGAGTTCTGAGGGCGATTCGTTACCGGAACCGTTCGGGGAGTCCCAGCCAGTCTTGCCCTCGTCACCTTGGGCTAACTTAGCCCTTTGGAGTTCCCGTTCGAGTTGGAGGCGGAGTTTGCGCTCGGTTTGTTCGCGCCGGTCGCTGGCGAGTTGCAGCGACGACAGCGCCCTCTGCAGCTGAGCGACGCGTTCTACGTAGACTTGTTTCTTGCGACACTGGAACATGCGTCCGATTAGAGATATAATCAAAGTACGTGTTTTTAATGCAAACCTCTTCCTCCAAGCGGACGACGTTGGATTGTGCGTTCGTCAAAGCTGTGTCGAGGATGTCGATGTGCGTTCTTTGCTCCTGGAGGGTCACCCTCTGAGCGGCTAATTCGATTTCTTGGCGTTCTTTGGCAGCAACGTGCTCTTTGTCTATTAAAAAAAAAAAATTATAGTGACGCGCTTCCGCAGCTACGCTGTCTACATACTTTGTTGAATCAACTGGGCTATTAACACTTCTCTTTTGTTTAATTCTCGTCGCAAACTATCAGGCGAGTTCGAATCCGGTCCTGGAGACCTGGACAACATCTGCGTCGACAACAAATCGACTTGCTCCCGTAGCGCCCTATTGAGCTCCTGGAGTCTTCGATTATCGTTCTGTAACCGACTTCTGGCAGCCCTCTCCAGGCGTTCCTTCCGATCGCACGACTGTACCAACTCCTCTTGCGCCTTATGTACCTTCAAAATTTCTTGCTCCAGCTACAAATAAAAAACTAATAAAATTATGTGTACAATCGCACGCAAATGTTTTGAGCCTATGAGCGGATCGTTTTTGCCTGCCGAAGAAGGCGGTCCAAATCCTTCAAGGGCAGAATTTGTAGGTAGGCTCAAACTACAACGAAATTCATATTTTACCCTATAAAATTTTATTGACAATAACGGGGCGGACAGTAGTTATATATACATTTGGTAAGAAATATTTATGGCTCACACCAGTTCTCTCGAATTTGTCGGAGAAGATTTAGCAGGTAGTTGTTCCCATAAAATAATGGTCACTTTCGTTCGTGAGTAACGATGGTCCGGACATGAATTATTTTGCTTTCTAACATCTTTCGACCAATTGTTCCGTATAAAAAATTTCATCACTTTTTCAAATAAAATACTCTTAAAAAAAAACGATATTGTCGTTGAGTGACATGTAACTGGCATAATAATAAAAACGTGCCATTTTTGTTAACTGATATGTTTTTCATAAATGTCGCAAAATTATTAAATTTGTCTAATCATCCCCACCAATAATGTGATGACGTCACTTCAAATTTATGCATAGTAAATGGGTTTTAAATTGTATACAGTAACATAGTCCTACACATGTAGTTTATGACTCCGTGTTGAGTTTTTATCCAAAACGTCCAGATTTTTGGAAAAAAAAATCAAAATTATAAAATAATATTTTGCAATTTAATTTTGAATTTGCAAAATCGAATACTTTGAAATCTTGCAGATGTTTTAAAATCATGATAAACATGATACATTTTTAATTAAAATATATTTGCTTATCCCCTCTAAAAAATTTTTGACGTCACCTCAAAATTTTGCAGAATAAATCCTATCTTAAATGTATAAAATATGATGAGTTTTATACTTGTGATTTATCACTGCTTTAATATTTTTTAGATTCGGTTATACAGGGTGTCTCAAAAAAGTTAATGACTGAGTCAATTTATTTTGTTGAAGAAATCAAGAATAGCAAAACTGAATACTTTGAAATATTGTAGATGTTTTGAAGTTTTTGTAAGCAACAATATTTGATTAATCAAATATGCGCAAAATCAAAAATCGGAAAAACTGAAATTCACTAATGCAAAAAACAGAAAATCGAAAAATACAAATCGTAAAAATCGAAAATCTAAAATTGGCTAATCAAAAAATCGAAAATTCAATGAAATCAAATACCTAGGTCGATCGAAAAGTGGAAATTCACAAACCTCAAAAATCGAAAAATCGAAAATTGAAAAACAGGAAAACCAAAAAATCGAAAAGTCAAAAATTTGTAATATTGAAAATAAAAAAAATCAAAAACAAAAATAAAAAAAATCGGAAATTAAAATAATCAAAATATATAAAGTAAAAAAAATTGCAAAGCCTAAGAACTGAAACGAACAGAAAAATCGAAAAAGCAAAAAATTGGAAAAACAAAAATTCGAAAAATCTAAAATCGAAAAAGTGGAAAATCGAAAATCTGAATAAAGAAACTTGGAAATTCTGAAAATTGGAAAATCGAAAACCAAAAAATCGGAAAGTAACAAAATTGAAGTCTTAACAGTTGAGAATGAAAAAATTGAAAAACCGAAAATTCTAAAAATCGACAATGGACAAATTGGAAATCGCAAAGTTTAAATTGAAAAATCATAAAACTGAAAAATCCAAAATTCTAATCATCGAAAGTCTGAAAACTGAAAATCGAAAATTCTGAAAAGCGGAAAATAGAATATCGAAAAATTTAAAAGAAAGAAAATTGAAGTCTAAAAACCGAAGAATGCAAAAATTAAAAATCAAAAATTCGAAAAATCAAAACTGAAAAATTCAAAGAAAATCGAAAAATCAAAAATCTGAAAATTGAAACTCAAAAATTTGGAAAATCGAAAAGTAAAAAAATTAAAGTCTAAAAGCTGAAAAATGGAAAACTGAACAATCGAAAATTCGAAAATTTGATAAATCAGATATGCGAAAAACAGAAAATCTGAAAATACAAAACTGGAAAATCAAAAATCTAAAAATGGAAAAACCGAAAATCGAAAATTCAATGAATCTAATACGTAGGTCGATCGAAAAACTGGAAATTCACAAATCTGAAAAATCGAAAATTTGCAAGATTGAAAAATCGAGAATTGAAAAATCAAAAAACCGAAAAATGAAAAAATCAAAAATCGAAAAATAGGAAAACCGAAAGTTCGAAAGTTCATAATATTGAAAACTCTAAAAGTCGACAATTCAAAAATCAAAAAACTGACGAACAGAAAAATCGAAAAATCGGAAATACAAAAAGTGGAAAATCGAAAACTGGAATTTGAAAAATCGAAAATCGGAATATCGATAATCGACAAATTAAAAAACCGAAAAATCGAAAAATGAAAAAATCGGAAATCGAAAAATGAAAAAAAAAAAATTTCAACAATCGAATAATCCGAAACTAAAATAAGAGAAAAGTGGAAAAGTAAAAATTGCAGTCTCAAAACTGACGAACAGAACAATCGAAAAATAAAAAAAAATCGAAAAATATCTAAACATGGAAAATCGAAAAATCGACAATGGACAAATTGAAAATCGCAAAGTTTAAATTGAAAAATTGAACATAGAAAAATCGATGAATTGAAACTACTCAAATTTTCTAAAAATCGAAAAATCATAAAACTGAAAAAGTCAAAATTCTAATCATCGAAAGTCTGAAAACTGAAAATCGAAAATTCTGAAAAGCGGAAAATAGAATATCGAAAAATTTAAAAGAAAGAAAATTGAAGTCTAAAAACCGAAGAATGCAAAAATTAAAAATCAAAAATTCGAAAAATCAAAACCGAAAAATTCAAAGATTTAAAAAGAAAATCGAAAAATCAAAAATCTGAAAATTGAAACTCAAAAATTTGGAAAATCGAAAAGTAAAAAAATTAAAGTCTAAAAGCTGAAAAATGGAAAACTGAACAATCGAAAATTCGAAAATTTGATAAATCAGATATGCGAAAAACAGAAAATCTGAAAATACAAAACTGGAAAATCAAAAATCTAAAAATGGAAAAACCGAAAATCGAAAATTCAATGAATCTAATACGTAGGTCGATCGAAAAACTGGAAATTCACAAATCTGAAAAATCGAAAATTTGCAAGATTGAAAAATCGAGAATTGAAAAATCAAAAAACCGAAAAATGAAAAAATCAAAAATCGAAAAATAGGAAAACCGAAAGTTCGAAAGTTCATAATATTGAAAACTCTAAAAGTCGACAATTCAAAAATCAAAAAACTGACGAACAGAAAAATCGAAAAATCGGAAATACAAAAAGTGGAAAATCGAAAACTGGAATTTGAAAAATCGAAAATCGGAATATCGATAATCGACAAATTAAAAAACCGAAAAATCGAAAAATTAAAAAATCGGAAATCGAAAAATGAAAAAAAAAAATTTCAACAATCGAATAATCCGAAACTAAAATAAGAGAAAAGTGGAAAAGTAAAAATTGCAGTCTCAAAACTGACGAACAGAACAATCGGAAAATAAAAAAAAATCGAAAAATATCTAAACATGGAAAATCGAAAAATCGAAAATTCGATGAAAAAAATACTCGAAAAAGCGAAAAGTAAAAAAAATTGCAAGGCCTAAAAATTGAAAAATCAAAAAATCGAAAAAACGACGATAGAAAAAAAATCAAAAAATCGAAAAGTGGAAAATCGGAAAGTAACAAAATTGAAATCTAAAAGCTGCAAATTGCAGAACCATAAAAACTGAAACAAACAGAAAAATCGCAAATCGAAAAATCGTAAAATCAGAAAATGGAAAATCGAATAATCGAAAGTTGAAAAATCGAAGGTCGAAAAATAAAACAACCGAAAAATCGAAAAATTTTATGATTAATGGAAAATCGAAAAATCGAGAATAGGAGAATTAAAAAACCGGAAAATTGAAAAATCGGAAATCGAAGAATTAAAAACGTAAAATCGAGAATTCAAAAATCAAAAAAATCGGAAAGTAAAATACAATCGAAAAATGCAAAAAAATTGCAAAGTCTAAAAACTGACGAACAAAAAAATCAAAAAATCTAAAAATGGAAAGACGAAAAATCGAAAATTGAAAGAATGGCAACTTAAAAAATCGAAACATCGAAAAATCAAAATACCGCAAATTTGAAAAATCAGAAAATTAGAAAGTAATAAAATCGAAAAGTTGATAGAAAAATGGAAACTGAAAAATCTAATTCGATGAAACTGTTGGTCGAAAAAACGAAAAATCGAAAATCGAAATGACCTTTTTTTGAGACAGGCTGTATAAGTAAATCTAAAAAGATTTATAGGTATAGACACATCATATTCTGAACATTTTAGATAGGGTATTTATAAAATTAAAACTAATTCAGGGTAAGAATTTGGTCAACACGTAAATTTCGTTGTAGTTTGAGCCTACCTACAAATTCTGCCCTTGGACGATTTGGACCGCCTCCTTCGGTGACGACCGGCAAAAATGATCCGCCCATAGGCTCAAAACATTTGCGTGCGTACAAAGCGACCCAACTACCTTTTGTGTCTTCGCCACCCTCTTGTAACAATTCTCCAGCTCCGCCTTCAACGCGCTGTTCTCCTTGATGAGGATTTCCACCATCTCCCCCGACGGCCACAGTTCTCCGGGCTCCGCCTCTTCTCGCCCTTTCGTGGGCGGTCTAGGCGCCGACACGCCCCTCCGGAACCCGTCGAAGTCGCTCTGGCTTTTCGGAACGCCCACTTTCGACAAATCGGGTTGCGATTTCGACAGATTGAGTTTCTCGCTGGTGATTTTGCTGCGATGTAGGGCGGCTTGCAGCGGAGATTTCTCCGCCCATTTTGGGTACTCGGGAGGCGGGGGGAAGTTGTTGGTTTCGAAAAGAACCAAATCGACGAGGTCGTTCGTCCCGCCGGGTGACGGAACCTTAACCTCTTTGGCTAGGTGTTTCAATACCGACGACTGACTCAAGTAGTCGTCGGGGATTTCGGTGATTTCTTGCACTCCTGTGTCGTAGATTCGAGGATTTCCTTCGAAACTGGCTCGGTTGATGGTCTGTTCTTTGGTTAGAGAGGGGGAAGGGGAGGAGGAGCCGCACTTTTGCATGGGGGGGAGCTTGGAGTCGTGGTAGAGGGTCGAGGCGTGATAGGAGGGGTTAAGGACGTCGCTTGAGTCCCGCGCGCCGGAATTGCGCCCTACAAACGTGTCTGATTAAAGCCAACTCTAAACCAACAAGTTTTTGACCACTGACCTGTCCATGGCTCATCCCCGGCGCTGTGTATGATCAAGGTGTTGTACGACGACGACGAGACGTCCAAAGAACTGCGATTCGAGGGCAGACTGTCTCGAAGTGAGCTTCGGTTGGAGACTTGTTGATTTTCTTGGCCTTGAGGTTCTTGGCGTGCTGTATGACGTATCACATATTTTTCTTCATTGGAGAGATTTTCGTTCGACGTTGAGATATCCGTTTCGCTTCCACTTAAACTCTGCGAGAAGTTGCTTTGTGCGGTTTGATTAAAAGGCCGAAATCGATTCGACTGCTGCAGGGAACCCATCAGTGGTGACTCGTTTAAAATGCACAATATCGACGTGATCCAGAACTTTTATGAATAACATCTGTTCAAGGAAGAACGAAAATTAGTAAATAAATGCAATCTACAAGAAAAAGACCTCGAACTTGTTTTTTTACGTAGCATGAATTTATCTGTTTGGTTGTTAATATATCGTTTGATCCGGGCAAGAGGTTAACAACAATGTTTACTTTTAATTGCACGTTATTGATGCTGTAATGCAAAAAATATTTGAGGAATTTAGCATTCAGCAACCATTACACCCAATTTTAAGATTTTCGTCAACCATGGTCCTAGGAGTCTCCCGAGTACTATGAATGCTCAAAAACACATCTTCGGCGGTGTAAACGCGGAATTTTACGCGAAATCTTGAGATTTGGAACGGAATGCGGAGCAAATAAATAAACTTTCACAAAAAAAATAGGGCGATTTAGAGATTGAAAAGTCGGGTCTAAACCTACACTGGTACTTACAGAAGAGGGAACAAACACTTTTCGCTCGAAGTTTTTAGATTTTGTGCATTTTAATTAACAAAATAAAGGAAAATTAAAATAAACACCAAACGGCGATCCCGGACGTACACTCCACTGGTTACTGCATTCTTCGTAAGGGGGCGCACGAGTGAAATTCCTCACATATTTCACATTCTTGGTTCGTCACGGTTCAAGAAATATGAAGTTTCTGATAAAAGATCACACTGTGTGAATTCTGTTTCGTATTTATTTGGTTTAATGCGTAATGGAATTTTTTGAGGTTATATCAATGGCAAGGAATTGGGTTGGTAGAAGTGACACGCCAAAGTTGGCACGAGTTTTGCAACAAAGAAAATCATTTTGTTGCATAATAGTTTATTATTATGCAACAAGAAGTTCTACAAGCTCTTGCAAAGGAATGAGTACCCAATATGTCGTGTTAAACAGTGAAATACACGATTTTTCTCCCATGGGCATGATTTTATAAAATAAAAAGAAATTCTAGTGTCGTTGTACTTAGGGTTTTTTACACGTTATGGTTGATACGATCTTGGTTGCATTGGTCTAGTTTCGGGGTTTGTTTACAACAGTTTGTGAGGTTAGGGTTGACAGCTTTCATTGATTCGGAGTATCGATCTTTCCCCCCTTATTAATCGATTTGGGTATTTCGGACCGCGTATGCCAGAGAAAGTAAAAAAGTCACTGGTGTGTCTTGTATAAATTTCCAACAGATGTCTCTAGTCGATTTCGTTTCCTTGACATCATGTTGACAGCTGTCAACCTCCAACCTCAAAGGAAAACGTTTTAATATTTATTTATTATTTTCCCCAATTGTACCACCATGAGTACGTACGAAATCAGCAAGTCATCGGTAAGTTTCTTTCTCCACAATTTTCGTTGCTCATGTACCACATTCCAGCTCCTCAGTTTGAAAGCCGAAATACTAAGAAAGCAAGAAGAGTTAAGTAAAGCGAAAGCGGAGAACGATGTGAAGATTCGAAACTTGAAGAAGAATTCTCCTTTAGATTTGAAAAATAAAGGGGTTGAACAACGACAAACGCAGGACACAAGCGAGGACGAGGACTTGTTGAAAAAATCAAGGTAAGCAGAACTGTATTTTACCAAAATCGTGCAAGAACAAAATGTCAATTGAACATTTTTCGTCCGCTAGATGGCGCATGAAGTAAATGTCATCCACGGCCAACTGTATTAATACATATGGCCATCCCAATTCGTATAAAAAGTTGATTCTTTGACGTTTCAAAAATCGTTAATCAGGCAACGACATCTGTTGAGTACAATTATGAACTTGGTTGGCAAATAATTGTCAAAATGACGTTTTAAAATATCACGTTTTTCTGAAAATGTAGATAATGGCACAAGAACATTAATGATATTACTCCTACTATTTAGTTTTGAAATAAAAGATATATTTTTACAAAACGAAAATTATTTAACAAAAAGGAAAGTACATATTCATAATTTTAAAACTTTTCTGCTGGTAGGTTTGTTACAGATCGTTATTTTCTTCAACCAGTCTGTTTGTTCCAAACAAATATTACCAATAACTGGTTTCACCGTTGCTCGAATAATTATATCACAAACTCTTGACTTATGTTCCAAGCAACAAAATAATGGATTTTGGTCCAAAGAAGGATGGAGCAGATTACATATTTGTTGACATGTCTTTTTAGAGTTTAAAAACGGTGGTATTAGAAAGTTTTTTAAAAAGGGTAACATTTAGATTCAGTTATTTGAAGACAAATCGTGAAAAATATTTTAGATTCGTAATCTGCGAAAAATTATCTATAAGCCAACTATTTTCCGTTGGATCAGATCGTCTTTTAACTGTTTCAGACAAAAAATTTTTGGAAATTACAAAAAAATGTCTTCAACTAATTTTCTGAAATAGTTGAAAATGTCAAAAGTGCGAAAATCAGTTTTATCTTATCAAATACTAGCCCCGCCCGCCCACCCTCTATTTTCTTGGAAGGTATGTGATTTGCCAAAATCAGTATTATCTTAGCAAGTACTATTTAATTATTGTTTAATCATTTATTTTGCCATTTCAATATACAATATAGTACTTGCTAAGATAATACTGATTTTGGCAAATCACATACCTTCCAAGAAACTAGAGGGCGGGTGGGCGGGGCTAGTACTTCCTAAGATAAGACTAATGGTGGCAAATGACATATCCTACAAGGTAAGAGAGGGCGGGTGGGCGGGGCTAATATTTGCTAAGAAAAAAACTGATTTCAGTAAAAAACATCCCTAAGAAAATACAGGGTGGCTGGGTGGGGCTAATACTTGCTTAAATAAGGCAATTTTTGGCAAACGACATACTCTTTAAGAGAATGGAGGGTGAGTGGGTGGGCGGGGCTAGTATTTCATAAGGTAAATTTGCGATTAGTATTCTATAAAACTAGAAAGTCAATGTTTTCCTCTCAAATAAAGCCATTTGGAACGGTTTTAGAATTTTTTGGAAATGTTGGGAATTTTTGGACTTCTTTTCTCGCATTTCTCAGTTATTTGAAGAGAAATCGTGAAAAATATTTTAGATTCGTAATCTGCGAAAAATTATCTATAAGCCAACTATTTTCCGCTGGATCAGATCGTCTTTTAACTGTTATAGACAAAAAATTTTTGGAAATTACAAAAAATGTCTTCAACTAATTTTCTGAAATAGTTGAAAAATAGTTGAAAATGTCAAAAGTGCGAAAATCAGTTTTATCTTAGCAGATACTAGCCCCGCCCACCCACCCTCTATTTTCTTGGAAGGTATGTCATTTGCCAAAATCAGTATTATCTTAGCAAGTAGTATTTAATTATTGTTTAATCATTTATTTTGCCACTTCAATATACAATATAGTACTTGCTAAGATAATACTGATTTTGGCAAATCACATACCTTCCGAGAAACTAGAGGGCGGGTGGGCGGGGCTAGTACTTGCTAAGGTAAGACTAACGGTGGCAAATGACATATCCTACAAGGTAAGAGAGGGCGGGTGGGCGGGGCTAATATTTGCTAAGAAAAAAACTGATTTCAGTAAAAAACATCCCTAAGAAAATACAGGGTGGCTGGGTGGGGCTAATACTTGCTTAAATAAGGCAATTTTTGGCAAACGACATACTCTTTAAGAGAATGGAGGGTGAGTGGGTGGGCGGGGCTAGTATTTCATAAGGTAAATTTGCGATTAGTATTCTATAAAACTAGAAAGTCAATGTTTTCCTCTCAAATAAAGCCATTTGGAACGGTTTTAGAATTTTTTGGAAATGTTGGAAATTTTTGGACTCCTTTTCTCGCATTTCTCAGTTATTTGAAGAGAAATCGTGAAAAATATTTTAGATTCGTAATCTGCGAAAAATTATCTATAAGCCAACTATTTTCCGCTGGATCAGATCGTCTTTTAACTGTTGCAGACAAAAAATTTTTGGAAATTACAAAAAAATGTCTTCAACTAATTTTATGAAATAGTTGAAAAATAGTTGAAAATGTCAAAAGTGCGAAAATCAGTTTTATCTTATCAAATACTAGCCCCGCCCGCCCACCCTCTATTTTCTTGGAAGGTATGTGATTTGCCAAAATCAGTATTATCTTAGCAAGTAGTATTTAATTATTGTTTAATCATTTATTTTGCCACTTCAATATACAATATAGTACTTGCTAAGATAATACTGATTTTGGCAAATCACATACCTTCCAAGAAACTAGAGGGCGGGTGGGCGGGGCTAGTACTTGCTAAGGTAAGACTCACGGTGGCAAATGACATATCCTACAAGGTAAGAGAGGGCGGGTGGGCGGGGCTAGTGTTTGCTAACAAAAAAACTGATTTTAGTAAATAACATATTCCTAAGAAAATAGAGGGTGGGTGGGTGTGATTCGAGCAACGGTGAAACCAGTTATTGATAATATTTGTTTGGAACAAACAGACTGGTTGAAGAAAATAACGATCTGTAACAAACCTACCAGCAGAAAAGTTTTAAAATTATGAATATGTACCATCCTTTTTGTTAAATAATTTTCGTTTTGTAAAAATATATCTATCTTATTTCAAAACTAAATAATATGAGTATAATCATTAATGTTCTTGTGCCATTATCTACACTTTCAGAAAAACGTGATATTTTAAAACGTCATTTTGACAATTATTTGCCAACCAAGTTCATAATTGTACTCAACAGATGTCGTTGCCTGATTAACGATTTTGGAAACGTCAAAGAATCAACTTTTTATACGAATTGGGTTGGCCATATGTATTAATACAGTTGGCCGTGATGTCATCACAATTACTTAATTTTTAGGGAAACCTTGGAAGCCAAATCAAAACTATATGAAAAATTATCAAAGAACACCAGACTAAGCGCCCACGAGTTGGAATTCAACAGGCGTTACCTTGTTAGATTTGACAGAAAGTCGCGCGTTCCCGATTTACCCCCTGATGATTCAGAGGAAGATCGCGATGACGACGACTTTACTGATGACAACTATGATCCCCCAAGAAATCCAGATGAAGAATGGTAATAAATAAATAAATTTTAATATCGTTTTCAAAAAAATATTTTTAAATAGGGTCGAATACGTGGATTGTTTCGGGCGCACGCGCACTTGTCTCCGCAAGGATTTATCATACTTAAAAGAAAAAGACAAAGACCTGAAACTCATCGTCGATTCGAAACGCAGCCGCAAAAGTAGGAGCCGCAGCCCCCCGCCTCCACCCCCGGAACCCAGACCGAAAACCCCCGAGCCAGAAATCAGCGAAGACAATGAGTTATTATCCCACGATATGCGACGAGAAATTTTGCGCCGACAATGGGAGAAAGAAGAAGAAGAACTCAGAAATAAGGACAACATCCACTACCAAGACATCCTCTTCAACGGTAATCTAAACATCACATTATAATTTATACCAACCGTTTTTTTTTTCAGAGGCCCGCTCGCACGGCGTCGGCTACTACAGCTTCTCCAAAGACGAAGACGTCAGAGCAAGACAGCAAGAAAACTTGAAGAAATTGCGCGAACAAACGAAAGAACAGCAGAAAAAGTCGCAAGAATTGAAATCCATGAGGGAAAAGCAGCTAGCGGCGAGAGTACGAGCTGCGAAAAACCGAAAACGGGAAAGAATGGGGCTTCCACCTGTGGAAGACGACCCAGAAGCGGCTCCAGAACCCGAGAAAGTAGAAGAAACTCCAGAAAAAGTCGACGAGAAGGAAGCTAAAAAAGAAGAGAAAAGGAAGAAACATGTGCGACCTTGGGATATAGGGAAGGATGGGGTGAAGAGTCATTATGAACACACGCAGGAGGAATGGGTGGATAAGAAGCGGAGAGAACGGCCGTCGGAGTTCGCACCACCGTCGTCGTATCAAAAAGACAGGAAGGGGAGGAGAAGTAGCGACGACGATGATTATAGACCCAAAGAAAAACGAAAAGAACGTGAATTCAGATCATCACCGATAGTAAACGAAATGAGCGACGAAGAAGATAACCTTCTTAAAGATTATCGAAAAACGGGAGAATTCAGTAGGAGTCGAGGTGCGGAGGTTGCGCCCCCTCCAACTTACGATTATTACGGTCCTAGTGACAGTAAACGCAAGAAACAAGACAAGAGGCCAAACGACGTGAGTGAGTCAATTGAAGCAGGTTTGAAGTATCTCCGCGAACAAATGGAGAAAAAACAGTCTGGGAAACGTTATGAAGACATTTTTCTTTCTTAATAAAATAAAATCAAGGTTTTTTTTACATTTATTATAAATTGTTTAAACCTATACATTATTGGGGCGCTCCATCGCCTGCTGGCATGGATCTAATAATGTCAGAGTCTCCTGGGTCGGTGATGGACATGGCGCAAACCCTGAAGTATTTACCACAGGCTGTGCCCAACTCCACATTGTTACCAGTGTAATGGTGCACTCCGGTTTTAGCCAACATCGCGTAATATTCAATTTCAGATTTCCTCAAAGGAGGGGTGTTGTTGGCAATGATGATAAGCTTGGCTTTGCCTTGTCTCAAAGTCTACAAGTAGTCAAAATGTAGGTGTTTGCTTATAGTACACAAAGTACTTACTTTGAGGGTTTGTTTGTAGCCCAGACAGTATTTGCCCGACTTCATGACCAAGGCCAAGCGGCTGTTTATGCTTTCAATGGCCTTTTTCTGCTTCTTTTGGGCCACCATGTTACCTGAAAGAGGTTATGTAGTCAGATATCCAAAATCTCTCAATATAAGGGGGTAATTTTTTTCATTTTATTCATTACACGACGGGTTATTTTATTCCATAGTTGTAACGTTTCTAATTTAACGAAATTAGGGTAAAATTTACCTGTTTTTGAGTTCCACGTGCACTACAACGACAGCGGAATGAAAAAGAAAATGGAGGTTTGACATCCCCCAAACGTCAAGTAGCTGCAGTTGCGTTGTAGATGTCACCACTGTCGATTTTTCATTAATTTATATTAAAACAAAAAAAAATAGATTTAATAAACCTGAAACACAATCTGTGTTTTCTTTTTTCGTGATTTATTATCCTTTGTGTTTCGTTTTCGTAGCGTTTGCGAAACTTTCCCTTCATTTTTCTGTGCGGTTGCCCGGCCGGTAATGCAGATTCCTTCGTGCGACAGCCAGTGGCGTTTGGTGTCGGCGCGTTTTTCCTGTATTTCTCTGTGTTTTCGTGTAAAATTTGTCGGATTTTTAACAAAGAACCTCATGTTAGAGTGCGTTTTCCGCAAGTAAACGCCGTTTCCGTCGATCGCAGCAGCTTTTCTCTCATGATTTCGAAATAAAAAGAGCAAGTCAACGACATCTCCTTCCAGCCAATAGGTTGGATCGATGTTTGGCTTCTCGTTGGCCGCACAGCTATTTCAAGGTTCCGCTCAACGAACTTGGAATTGTGTTACCCAATTTACGAATCAACTGTGGTACAAATTCAACTATTTTCGATATCCAGTGGTGAGTATTGCGCACATTTGTCGTTAGCTTGAAAAAACGCGGATAAAGTAGGTGTAGGGACGGATCCAGGAAAAAGCAGATGGATGTGGCGCCATTTAACACCAAAATGGCGTCCGTTGCATCGAAAATCCTGCAAAAATGCGTTTAATCCGCGATTTAGGGCGACCCGAGTCCGGGTTTTGTTGATAGGAAAATCCGCTTTTTTATCAAGTTGCCGTGTTTGTCAATATGGCGTCAAAAAACTAAACTTCAGTTCATCACCATTTCAACTCAAACTCAATTTTTTTATAAATTAATTAGTACAGTTCTGCGATAGAATCAACGAAAATGTTTAGCTTTTTTAATCGATTGGAAAATTACGATGATGGTTTCGGTGTGGCGTTTCATGTGAGTTGGGTTTTTTGATAGGGTTGTGACCGATGGATGCGTTTCAGATGCCACGTTCAAGGAGAAGACATCATTCCCGGTCCAGGTCGCGGTCCCGATCGCATTCTCATGATAGAGACCGTGACGCCAAGAGGAGGAAAATCGACAACGTGGACAGCCCCTCGCATAAGAGATCAGTCAGGTTAGTTGACTTTGATTTTTGAGTGGATGCTGGGATTTGAAATACAAAAGTTACATTCTAAAAGTTTCTCCAGCATAAAGGATGCACGGCTGCAGCTGGATGTAGTAAAAAATCGGCGATAGATGGCGCTGGCGTCGATTTCTTTAATGAACACATTAAGGTTTATCTACATGTCACACCCGCGAAGTGAAAGTTCCATCAAACACCAAAACGCTTACAAAATCGATTATTTTCACTCAGAAACTTCATACTTTGAAAGTGGGTATTTTTGGGTTGGTAGAATGGCACATTGACGTTTAATTTTTTTCGTCAGGTCTAGATTCATGATTTTACGTGTAAATACCAGGTCTTCAAAATTAATTTGCTCTTTGAAGACTAGATTCTTAACGTTTCTAGAACGGTCTTCCGTTTCAGTAATTTTCCGTACTCATGTTTCAAAGATCCAACAACACAGCAATTTATTTAAGTTATACAGCTATGAGGAAGTAAATAGTTAAAAGCAGCGAAAAATTGTATGTCCATTTTATTTTATTTTTCGAAATACGTCGTACTTGTGCTTTCGCAATATGCTTGACATTGAAATTTCGGTGCTTTATCTCAAAACGAAGCTTTTGTGATCGATTGTTGCATAATTTACCGCACAGGAAGATAGCGTGCAAAGTAAAGTTCTTTAGACGTCTGGATTTGAATAATGAGGTGCTTTAGTCGATTATAGCTCTCGTAATTTTCTAGATTTTTGTTCTAGACCGTGCCGCATCGCAAAAGAATTGAACGTTTGTTTAAAACCATCAACAACTATTATCATAATTTTAAATGTTGGAATCGGTTTATGCAGATGGAGAATTTTCGCTTGTCATTGCCTTATTGTGAGGTTATCGCACCGATCGTTTTGTTTGCGCAAATCTTTCGACTTATTTGAATAACAGACGCATCTTTATTTCCGAGTGGATTACGTTTTCGATTTAAAAATAGCAAGAGAGAGCTTAAATGGACTACAATGTGTTAAAAAGCAATTTCATTTCGCCACGAGCGTTGACTCAGATGGATGTTTATTTAGCACCTAAGTGTAAATAAAACTAAAAATATGTAGTTGCCAAATTGAAAGTGGGCTACGGTTGACATAAATCTCGTCAACGTTACAATTTTTTGTAAAAACCGATCAAGAAACCTACGCGTTAATGATTTTTTTTCGTTTTGATGTATTACATGCGGAAGTCGTTGAACAAGGTCGCATTCAAATGCCACGGCCGCAAAAATCAAGCACGATCGGTTTAAAAAGTGCAATCAAGGGATGATCCGCTTCGATCTAAAAATACAGCCGTGGGCGTCGTTAATTTTTAACTGTTCATTACTTATCCGGTTGGTATTTGCACCGTTAGAACGGATCACACGAACATATGTCGCATTTGATATTTAGATCGCGTTTCAGCCGTCGTTGTGTTACACACGGCTCAAAAATTTTACACTGGTTTCGAAACCGATCTTTTTCCGATTATGGCAAATCAAATGGCGTTGACCGACGGCTGTTCAGCCCACTGACTTATCGATAATCCCACGGTTGCGGCGAGTGGGTACCGTTTTTTCTTTTCTTTGCAGTCTCATGCAACGTCCTTGCTGGGCTTTGGGTCGTTGCGCCTCATGGACGATGCACCTACGCCTACATTTGTTATAACGGTGGGTTTAGTCATCTCGGAGGACTGATAAATTATTAGGTATTGTCTGGACGAAAACTGTCAGGAAGAATGACAAGCAAGATAAATGTCACTCAACTCAACTCATTACAAATTTTCGTTCATTCTTCTAAAAAATTGATGACGCCACCTCGACAGGTTAAAATTCGCTGCTATTTTTAGCCCAAAAAATATTTAAATGTCGGCATGATGATTAATCTTGACGAAAATCGCACTGACATTCTATGGGCAGAAATACCAATCGAAGTTTAAAGTCGCAGCCAACTCCGATTCTTTGTATTTATTTTGAACGCGCCGCACTTAAAAATGGTGTTATGACTGGGATTTTTCTGAAGTAATAAACGCGTTAGATTCCGAGAACCCCCACGTAAAAAAATCGACGTTGTTGAAAAATCCCGATTTTAAATTACGGTTGTAATTTCCTATAAAACCCATCCGATTAATCTAATTTTCGGGCAGTGGATCATCCGTAAATAGTCCTTGGCAAATGTTTCATGCTTTATTTCTGGCACTCTTAAAAAATATCGTCGCCTTCGTCACATTCCGCATACAAAAATTTCACTGCGACTAATTTTCGTAAAATTAGAACGCTCGAAAATAGTCGCGAATTTTGCCGATAGCAGAGGATTTTTTTTTTAATTAATTTGTGGCTATTTCGAAATTTTCGGATCGCTGAAAGTAGAATTCGAGTTAATGGAACGAACTCTTGCCCAATAAATTTCTTTAATTTTGTAAAAATAGGTCAATGCGAAAATGTTTCTTCGCAATGTTGATCATTTATTCGGATTTAAAATAAGCAAGCCGTTTTGTCGCTGTTTATTGTACGGTTATTGATTTATGTTTGAGCAAAATTGCGTTTCAACTAATAAATGACGCATTGTTTAATGCATTCGTGCTTTTCGGCGGTTTTTAGGCTTGAGGAAGGACGGAGATGGTCCGAAACGTTCGCAAAAGCCACTTGAGTACAGCTCCTGTTGTTTGCAGCTGTGGGTTTCATCAGATAAATATGTATCGATAACGACAACTTAAAAATAAATTAATTATATTAAGCATTGTTTGTTACAGTTTGAGGCACTATCTCTATTTTCCATTTTGCGCCACAAACATGAATATTAATCATCGCTAACGGATATTAGTGTGCATGCAGGCATTTAATTAAACACTGCGAACAATTTGAAAGCATTGCGCGCAATTATCATTGACTCTCTGAATAATTGGGTCGTAAAGTTGTAAATTTGCCAACGCATTTATGGTACTGGTCACCGGGAGTCCAGTTCAATTAAATATTGTCACGACGGTATTATTTTTTAAATAATTTTAATAAACCCAAACCGTAACAATAGTAAAGTTGTCGTAATGCAAAACTGTGTGTCAGCTCGGTTGTCTGTACTTTCACTGGTGGGATTGACTCGATTATTTTTCTACCACCACTACAGAAGCGGCAGCTTCCATCAAGACTTGTCTCCCGTTTCAGTATTATTTTTCAGTCGGTCGTGGTCGGTTGTTGTGTGCTTGTATTTATTCATATGTGTGTGTGGTAGACGTGATGAGGCAAAGTGTGTGCTTAATATAATTATTTTAATAACGGTGCACTTTAACTCACTAATGCCATTTACTTTACCGATTTAGAATTATTTTTCTATGTTATTCAAAGCGCAGTGATTTGTAACGATGCAGGTTATTAATTTTGCTGTATACGTTCTAATTGTTCATGCGTGCAAACCTTGTTATTAACATTCGCAATAATTCATAGTTTACACGATCTCGAGGGTTTCATGCTCAAGAAATCAAGAAATCGTTGTAATTTTTTTTTTTTTTTTTTTTTTTGTGCTTGAGTCAACAAGCCATTTTCGTCCTAATATGGTATATTGCGTGTTTATATCGACCTTCCACAGAATAATAACCATCTTATACATGCTGTGAGTACCAGCAAGAGTCTAACCTTGCCCCGAATGCGAGACGAAGGTCGCCCACTTAAAATTTTCACCTCCAAGAGTGCTTTTTTTAATGCCTTATACGGACTTGCAAGGGTCGAAATATCGCTATTCGTAGCGACGGTTTTAAAAAATGGCAAGGTTAGAATCGATCCAGAATCTTATGCATGATTTTGAAAACAGGAGCCAAACTTAAACCAAAGAAGATCGTGATGTTAGTGCTGTACTAGTGACTGACTGTGATGTAGTGTAGTCAATTTTTTTTTTTATTAATTTTGTGATTATGGCAACATCTGGGATGTCGTACGCCGTTCATTACGATCTGAGCGACGCCATCCTTCAGGATTTTTCCAGGATGCGAATCGAAACGGTTCCAGAACCACCTGTGCTGTATGTTGCAATGGCAACTTGGATACCGAAATGCAACATGTACCATCACAAGTACGTTGTCCGTGTTTGGTTGTATCTTTTTGGCTGGTTTTATGCGTTACGTTACGGTTCTGGAATTTGGTTACGTTTTTGGATTAACTGCCTATTTACGAGCGCTGTTAAATCTGCCGTTTATGTTTGCTTTTATATATTTGTGTTCTTGTTTGGATTAGTGCAGACGTTAAATATTTGACTGGGAAAATTGTGGTTTTACCAAACATGATAAACAATTATCTGTTTGTTTAGTCGGATCGATTTGCTTTGCTTGAAACAACACTACAAGAGCAGAAAGTGGCTGCAAATGCGTCCGACTTTCTGTTCTCTTGTAATAATAAGCGACTACGATCATCTTAACCGATCGATAAATTGCTTGAAAGCCGGGTTCGGAATTAGTTACCACGAAAATGGACGAAGTGATTTGATCTATTAGTTAAGATGAATATAATAAAGTGCGCATGTAATCTAAACGGTTGCACAAATTCTAGTGTATGCGTGTGTATCGATATTAGTTTGTCATAGACCACCTAAGACCGAAATATACCTTTGGGGTAAGTAAATACCGTAAAAACCACACAGTATATATTTTTTTCACACTTTAACAGTTAGTTAGTAGTTGTCTGTTTAAGGTTGCGATATTTTGGTCTCTGGGATGGCGCTGATGACTTACGCAATTGCTGGAAACCCCCCGATCTCTCATGAGAATGTTTTTTCCAGTTCTGAGCCGGATACACCCGAAGAACTCTCACTCTCTCAAGAAGAACAAGATCTGAACGAGAGCGAGAAATCAGCGCCCGAAGGCGAAAACCCAATCAAACACATCGAAGAAAAATTAACCATCACTCCGAAAAAAACCCTCAGTCCTAAACAGCTCCAAAAGAAGGTCGAGTCGGAGAAGAAGCGCCAGCAGAAGCAGCTGGAGCGCGAAGAACGCGAACGAAAGAAGCAAGAGGAGAAGGAACGCTTACGTTTGGAGAAAGAACAAATGAAGAAGGAGAAAGAAGAACTGAAAAATAAAAAGAACGAGCAGAAGGCGAAAGAGCGCGAGATGAAAGAAGAGCAAAAACGCAAAGAGAAAGAGGAGAAGGAGGCGAAGCGCAAAGAGAAAGAAGAACGAGAGGAGGCCAAGCGCAAAGAGCGCGAGCAAGAAAAGTTGCGCAAGCAGCAAGAGCTAGAAGAGAAGAATCGCGAAAAGCAGAAGATCGAAGAACAGAAGCAAAAGGCGGCGCAAGCTTTCGTTAACTTTTTCGTTCCAAAGAAGACTGATGTGAAGATGGAAGAGGGTAAAAGTGGCGTGGAAGAAGGCAAGACGAGTATGTTCATGCCTTTTGAAGTAAAGTCGGATATGAGGTTGGCGCCTGCGCGAAGAGCTTATTTAAGCGAACAAGAAAAGGAAGCTTTAATTGAAAAACTAGATACAGGAGAAGGTTCATACTTGAAGGAGTTGAAAGAGGGGAAAAGCACGGGCAAGTGGGCGAAAACGTGGCCGTACGAAGAAGACGTGATTATAGTGGAAGAGGACGTCGGAGAGAGTATTTGTGAAGATAAGCAAAAATTGAAGATAATGAGGGTCAAGTTTTTGAAGTTCCACGAGAATAAACGACCTCCGTATTACGGTACATGGCGGAAGAAGAGCGCCGTTGTTAATCCAAGACGACCTTTTGGAGAAGATAAGTGTTTCTTTGACTATGAGGTTGATTCAGACGACGATTGGGAGGAGGAGGAGCAAGGAGAGTCTTTGAATGGTTCGGACGATGAAGAAAAAGAGAACGAAGCAGAGAATGATGATTACGAGGTTGATAATGACTTTTTCGTGCCACATGGTCATCTTAGCGACGACGAAGTGGATGACGAAGAGTCGGCGAAATTGTCCCCAGAGTCTCACAAGCAGAAATTGAAGTTGTTGAAGGACGAGTTTGATCAAGATATGCAAACTAAGACTAATAGAATGAAACCGAGGTCTATTGGGTGTATTTGGTACAATAAAGATCGCTCGAATGTTGATGATGCTATAGACAGACACCTTCGACCTCTAGCGATGATTACTAATGGACATATTATTATTAATAAACGGAAGGAGTTCATAGCGATTACTCCAAATAGGAAATATAACACTAAGGAATTGCGACAGGAACTTCTACCGGCATTTTTGAAGTTGATCCACGGGAACGTGAACAAAAGGACGACCGTGGTCGAGGAGTTCATGAACTATATGAGGAATAATGGTCACGTGGTGGAAGTCTCGAAGGCATATCTTGGTAAATGTTTGAAACAATACGCCCAGTGGAAGAAGTGTGCTGATGAAGGTCCTTTGTTAAATAAATACTGCTGGTGTCTGGAGGATGACGTTAAAAAGAAATACAACTTAGAGTAGGGATTGAAATTTTGTAATGTAGTGTGTTTATCAAATAAACGATTGATGAATTTGTGTTTTGGTTTTATTCCCCACCTGAAATTTGATGACGTCACGTTGTAATCATCACCCAAAAAATTGCACGAATTGCAAACCCGACTTTTTTGGATTCTTTCAATGTTGAGTTTGGTCTTGTGGTATTGCAGCAGCCAGAGGGCGCATAGGTCGCGTCAGTACGAGCGGGGCTCCAGTGCAGAGCGTCGTTACAAGCGCAGCCACCGCCGATCCCCCACGTCCAAGAAACGCCACCGCCACCGTCATGAGAGATCCGCCTCCAGACGGAAGCACAGCCGCCGTTCCTATTCCTCAGATCAGGTCAGTATTAAGTCAATTCAGGCGGTAACGAGTGGTAACGACCGACAACGGTAAGACCATAGACTGTAATATAACATTTAATTAATTTATCAAACTAATTTCCGTCCTTGCGGAACGCCACCGCCATTCCCTAATCGAAACCCCCCTAATGCACAGCCTAGGAAGTTAGATGACGTAATCCGCATGATTAAGGACGTTTTTCGAGTGTCCCGAGTGCACTAACTGTCGCTTCGAAAAAAATTCGAAATAGTTTTTTGGCGCCTTCGAGTGGTCATTTTTGTCGCCACATGGCAACATCACAATGGGATCGGAATGCCGCATTGTCAGTCGACAGTTTTGGCCTGAATGGCGGGGTGGCAGGTGGCCGCCGCCAGAATTTTTGCACAGGCACTGCCTTTCGAACCTCGGAAAAAACAAGCGCCTACGTATGGTCGTACACAGCGCGTGGAAGTGTCTTTACGGTGGTCGACCTCCACGAGCGAGGTGCGCCGGCCGTAAATAGCTTGGTTTGGGTGTTTTTATTTATCTTTTTTCTTTCTTTACATTTTTGTTTATTTATTTTATTTTATTTTTGTCTTTAATCATAACCTAACACACTACTAACTCGGCTCGCGGTTTTTTTTTATTTCTCGCAATGAATGAAAGAAATGAAAATGATCTTCTTGCAGAAACGGCGACGATGATTCGTGTTGTGGGTATTATTAGATGCACGCGAGGTATTAAGGAACAGGGGCGGGGCGAGGAGGGGGGATTCATGCGCTAAGGCAGATTGTGTTTAAAATGTATTAGAATAGCTTTCTCAGAAGTTGTACGTATTCCGATCGCTCCCTACAACGATGTGATGCAAATGTTGTTGGCGAGAAACGTTGGCGTGTGTTTTATTTAATTCGTTTGTTAATTTAATGTTAGTGTGACATTTTTTTTCTTGCGCGGTTCGAATTTCAGCATCTTCTTGGTCTGCAAAGGTCGTTCGTGTGTTAATCTAGCAGGCGCATTAAGTTGAAATATGTTGGAAAAAAAAAATCTTGACGCAGATGTTTTTATAACAGATGCGGCTGTCTTTGGAAAAAAAATCATGGCAGAAAGTTTTTCATTCATTGATAAAATCTAGCTTTGCTTCCAAAAATTACATAGTTGCATAGTTTCATAACCGGTCCGGTTCAAGGCACATCGTAATATATCGTTTTTTGTTTTTTGTTTTTTTTTTGTTTTTTGTTTTTTTTTCAATTTATTAATTTGTTCAATTAAAAATGGGCAATATTCTAACAGAAACACATTTACATTTTTTTACTAAATAAATAATGCTGAAAACTTAAGTTGTTTTTAAATATTGTTATCATTTGAAGATACGAAGTTTAAAAATTAATTGAAGCTTTTGGGGAATGAGTTAACTTTATTATTATTATTATTATTTGAGTTTATTTATTTACCTTCGTTTTGACGAGTTGCGAATGGTCTCTGAAGTGCCGAGTCGTATTTATTTGTCAGGATGACCGGTCGCGTGATCCGCACGCAACCAGAAGCCCCAAACACACTCCCCGACGTTTGTTTGAGAACTATAATTAGTCGTAAGAAAAATCGATTCATCTACGCCACTGCTTCCCTCCACTTGCATAAACCAGAAGAATCGGCTCAAGTAGAGCGATGTCTGTTCACCTCGCACGGCCATGGTGTTTTGTTGTGCTTTTTCAAGCTATCAGTATATTTTTAGAACGTTTACGCATTTCAAAATAAAAAGATAAGAACCAGAGTTATCCGACAATGTGCAAAGTAAATTGTTGTTAATTTTGTAAATTATATCGTCCGAAAAACGCGCGCACCGCCATGAGGCCTAAACCCGGCACGGATTTCATGAAGAAAATCGCCCGTTTTCTAATAAAGGTCAGTTATTTTGTTGTTGTTTCTGTGTTCCCGCTCGGCGCGCTTTACGTAACGCCGCCGTCGATTCCGTGGACAACGTCAACGTCGGTCTAATTTTAGAGTTTGGCAGTATTTGGCATCACCAGGGGGCAGGCGAGTGCTCAGTCGTATCCCGGATAGCGGCGTCAGCGCGTCACCGTGGTAGCGCGATATGCGTCATGTACGGCCTGTCGTACACTAGGTACCATCGCCCGGAGGACCGGTACGGGACGAGTGCGGGATGCCCGTGGGGCGACGGCGACGCCGCCTCCGCCGCCCCCAGCGCGATGGCGTCGAATTCCTCGCGGCCGGACGCGCCGATCCGCAGGACCAGGTATACGCGATCGTCGACCACCAGCGTCGCGCAGCTGCTGAGCGAGTCGTGCACCACGCTGCTCCAGAAGCTCACGACGAAAGTGAGGGGGCCGTCGGAGGCGACGGCGCCGAAGGCGGCGACGCCGAAGAGGACCTTCAACCCGCTGGCGACGAGCAAGAGCACGGCGACGATAGGTCGGGGAGCGGGATGTTTTTGGCAAGCGGGGTGCGCTCGGAAGGGGTCGTGGCGACTCCAGGGGTGTTATAGTGTTTGTGAAGTGTTGTGAGGAGAATTCATACGTTACTTGCTAAAGTTAATTGTTGTCGCCGAAACTATAAAATATTCTGCTTCGGGGCTATTTTAAAAAATGTTTATTATTAAGAATGGCTACTTTCCAACATTTCTTTAGTGTCTATTCGATATTTGGCTCATTTTCGTGATTGCGTTCGGTTAGTCATTCTGGAATTCTAGGGACTATTAATTTCGTTGTTAAGTCAAATGTTGTTAACTGCTTGATAAACAAAAAGTTGCCGTTTTATGGTGGAAACGAGCACTGAGTGTTTACAAAGAGATGGTCTAATTTAATTGTTATAAGATGATATCAGCGTGTGATCAAATATATGGGTAAAGCTTTTATATCACGTGATTCAACATGTTACGAAAATATTTACAAAATGCACTTTCTTGTTAGAGAATCTTTTTTAACGTCTTGTTGGCAACAGAAAGTTGAATTCATGTCAAAGAGAGGAAAAGTAAAGAAAAAATCTACAAAGTGTACACAAGGGTGAGTCACTTGGCTCACGTCCCTGGTTATTTCATTAAATACACTACTTCACAAATTTTAGTGTAGTTTTATCCACAGAGGTGAGAAATTTCGGTTTTTTGAACTGCTGAATTCTGATTCATTCATCAAAAAATTAAATAAAATTTGCTGTTGTAAATTTTGAAGACGACACCATCCAATTGACAGTGATCTTCCTAATATACATACTAAATTTGACAGTAACCTGTCCAGTAGTTTCGGATATTATCTGTCTAATAAAAATCGACACAGACGACAGACAGACAGATAGGCAAGGAAACCACTTTTTTCGTACTATAGGGGTTATTATATTATCGTTTTTTTAATGGCACTTGGGCTTTATAACCATAGTTTGTTTTTGAAATTCCAGTGGGACGTTAATCAAATTTTCTAGAATTTCTTTAGCAGGGCAAAAAAATTGTAATAAGGTCTTTTGTAACATCTGTTAGTATTCTATAGACAATAAAAAAAGTGCTTTGTTGTCTGAATAAAATTTAGTTTTAATATACAGAGTGTTCATAAAAATTTTAGCCTAAATACTTGTAATTTTCGTATGTCGATATTTCTTTCTTTTTTTTTTAATAGAACACCCTGTATTTTACTACAATTAAAAAATAAGTTGTATGTTATGCCGCCAAAATAGAACACTATACAGCCTGTTATTGAAAGGTACGTACAAAATAAAATCGGCAATTGGTCTCGAAGTATGGGTGCTAAAAGTTAAAAAAAGTTCAGGTAAAAGTGTTCTCCTTTTAGAGATAAAAATTATTAAAATTTATGTCCAAATTCGTTGTACGCCTCTGATAAAAAGATCATCTTTCGTTTCTATAGCAACATTTAGTCTTGACAAAAGTTTTATTGTTACAGTTGCTAGGATTTACTAAAATTAATTAATTTTACCTATTTATCCTTCAGTAGCGTCTAAAAAGATTGGATAGGGGTTAATTTTCCCCTTAAAATTTTGATAAGGCAAAATAAGTTTTTCCGACTTCTTAGACTTCGCGAAGAACTGTCCATTTTGTTGTACGTACCTTTCAATAACACCCTGTATACTTGGAATTTATTTTCTGGATATCATTCAGTAAATGCGATTTTAGTCTTTTAATTTTTTCTGTCTCTAATTATTAATGATATCAAGGAAGGCGTATTTATTGACTCACCTTGTATATACATTGAATTAATTCCTTAATTAAAACATTGATTAAATTTCATAAAATTGTAAGTAATTCTTATCTTCCAAAAAAGTATGTTAGATTTCTCTCTACTTTTCCGTTTTCTTGACCTTTCATGACCGCTAGAGTACGAAGAAATGGGTCACCCGTTTCCGTCTGTCTGTCTGTCCGCGTATCGTCCCGATTTTTATTGGGCAGATAATCTCCGAAAGTACTAGGCCGATTGTTGTCAAATTTTGTATTTATATTAGGAATATCATGTACATGGTAAAACGCTGACCAAAAGCATGGTAAATTTTTGATCAAAATGTATTTGCTCATCCCCCCTAAAAACATTGATGACGTCACCTCAAAATATTGCTTAATAAATCCAATCTTAATTGTGCAAAATATGATGACCCTACTTGTGATTTATCACTGCATTAATCTTTTTAGATTTGCTTATACAAGGTGGCTCAAAAAAATAATGAATCACTCAATTTATTTTCTTGAATAAGTGAAGAATTGCAAAACTGAATACTTTGAAATCTTGCAGACCTTTTAAAGTTATTGTAAGTATGGTAAATTGTTAATCAAAATATATCTGTTTACTCCCCCCAAGAAATTGATGACGTCATATCAAAATTTTGTCGAATAAATTCTACCCAAAATGTGCAAAATATGATAAGTTTTTACTTGTGATTTATCATGGTATTCTTATTTTTTAGGTTTGCTTAAACATGTGGTTCAAAAAAATTAATGAATGAGACAATTTATTTTATTGATTAAATCAAGAATGGCACACTCCATTTTCCCAGAAAATTTTGAGAATACAAGACTGTTATTTTTCAATTTCCATTTTACACTAAATAAAATAAGTCAGTGAAATGACAAATAAGGTGGGCGGGGCTAAATTCTCTTAATATTGTTCAGTTCTAGCTTAGCAAGTTATAGCCCCACCCACCCACCCACCCTTTTTTTTCTTAGAAGATAGTGATATGCCAAAATCAATCTTATCTTAGCAAGTACTAGCCCCGCCCACCCACCCTCTATTTTCTTAGTGGATGTGTCGTCTGCCACAATCAGTCTTATCTTAGCAAGTTCTATCTCCTCCCACCCACCCTTTTTTTTCTTAGAGGAAATATCATTTGCCAAAATTAGTCTTATCTACAGAAAGCTATTCTCATTATAACGATTTTATCTCTCTTCAATTGAGCTCCACTTTTAATTCGAACGAGACAAAATGAATTTCTGAAATGGATTCAGGGTGGGTGGGCGGGGTGAATTATATGTTCTTTTGTAAAATAAGAACGTAGGCTGTTAAAAAAAACGTTAATGGTAATTTTTTGTTATATTACTACTTGCTATATAATTATTTCTTATTTCTGAAGAAACAAAATAGAGAACGGGTGGGTGGGCGGGGCTAAGTTTAACTTTTTCACACAGAAACTTTTATAAGCAAGCGATAGCCCCGCCCACCCACCCCCTCTTCATTCCAGTGATTACTCTTAAAGTTGTTCAGTTATTTACCAAAATCTAATTTGCCACAATTAGTCTTATCATAGTAAATACTACACTGTCATCACAAAATTGTGTAAAGTAAAAACTCAACTCGAAAATGCTGGATACGTTTATCATATTAAAATTTGAATAGAAATCACGATTTAGACCAATTTTTGACGAATTTATTTTAATTTTGAAATGACGTCAATCAATCTTATCTTAGCAGATATTAGCCCCGCCCACAAAGCTGTTCTCATTATAACGATTTTATCTCTCTTCAATTGAGTTCCACTTTTAATTCGGACTAGACAAAATGAATTTCTGAAATGGATTCAGGGTGGGTGGGCGGGGTGAATTATATGTTCTTTTGTAAAGTGAGAAGGTAGGCCGTTAAAAAAGCGTTAATCGTAATTTTTTGTTATACTACTTACTTGCTATATAATTATTTCTTATTTCTGAAGAAACAAAATAGAGAACGGGTGGGTGGGCGGGGCTAAGTTTGACTTTTTCATACAGAATCTTTTATAAGCAAGCGATAGCCCCGCCCGCCCACCCCCCTCTTCATTCCGGTGATTACTCTTAATGTTGTTCAGTCATTTACCAAAATCTAATTTGCTACAATCAGTCTTATCATAGCAAATACTACACTGTCATCACAAAATTATGTAAAAACTCAACTCGGAAAATGCTGGATGTGTTTATCATATTAAAATTTGAGTAGAAATCACGATGTACACCAATTTTTGACGAATTTATTTTAATTCTGAAATGACGTCATCGGTTTACTGGAGGGGGTAAATATAGATTTTAGACAATTTAGAGTAATTATTAGATCAGTGTTATATGTTATCAAAAATTGTAAGATTTTTACAGAGGAGATCTTTGCGTCTTCAGTGAGATTTACTTAATAATTTCGAAATGACGTCATCGTTTTTTGGGAGGGAATGTTTTCAATGTCAAGGACTGGAACCCAAAATTTGTACTTTTTATTAAATATTGTTTAAACTTGTTTCCAAATGGGAGTAACTTAAAGTGGTACGAGATCTGCACGTGACATGCGCCTTCCGAGCAATGGGGTAAACTATATATATTTAAAAAAACGGATCAATTTCATATAATTTATGAGTTAATACACATATACATTACCCGTACACCGCTTGTCAAAAACATTTATGTATACTTTTTACTTATTTTGTTCTTGCGAAGCACTGGCAGACCTGTCTAGGTGCGCGCGCATCTCCATTTTAGCCGTTTTTGTAGAGTACGTCAAGTAATAAAATGAACAGATCTGCTAGTGTGCGTCCCCCAAAATGATTAAAAAATCAGTATACATGTATAAATTTGCGATAACAGCCAACCTGGGCTCCACCCGCACCCGCCTCGAAGACAAATACGCCAGCGTCCTCGACCGCATCTACGGTCGGAAGCGCGACACCGAAAAGACCGTGGAGCCGTCAGCAGGTCGCGGTTTATCCAAAAGCGCGACCACCTCTAACGTCCTCCTCGCCGAAAAGTCCTACCCGTACGTGAGCCCCCCCAGCGTGTCCACCCGCGAGAAAACCCCCTACCGCAGCGACGGCAAGAGCCACCACTACCACAAAAAACAGTACCAGGAGCCGCCGTACGCGTACCTCGACCAGGACTCGGCCTACAAGGCGCGCTACCGAACGAACCATTCCGAACTGCGTCCTAGGCGCTCGGCGAAGCCGCTGCGCACCGGCCGCAGCGAGCTCAGCGAGCGCAACACCAAACTCTACCCGATCGACGTGGACGGGCCCGTGCCCGTCCACGCGGCGGCCGACGACGAGGCCACCCCCACGCCCGCCACCCCCGACCCGCTGTCGGAGCGCGAGGCGAAGCGCAAGGAAATCCAGAGCCTGATCATGAAGTACTCGGTGCTGGACGAGGTGTACAACCGCGGCGCGTACGCGGTCAACGGGGCGGCGCAGCCGGCGCCGCCACCGGCCAAGACGCCGCTCGACGAGGCGTACGGGCGCGGCGCGTGCGCGCTGAACGGGGCGGCGAAGCACAGCGCCGCCACCGCGATTGCGAAGAAATACTGCCCGGCGGCGAGAATCGTGGCGGTTGTAAGTAAGACGGTGTGGCAATGATGAGCACTAAGCAACCCCCAGTTTAAAGGTGGCATCCCGTATCACTAACAGAGTGACGCTTGCGACTCTTGAATTAACGAAGGCAATAATTAACAGTGTTGTGTAAGTCTCGGCGTGAAACGTGAGCACGTTTTATAGAGATTCTAGATTTTTTTTTTTTTTATTTGAGACGTTGGAGGATTTTCCCATGGGGGAAGAAGTGCAGTATCAGAAGGATTTTGGAATGAGGGAATTGTATACAATTCGCCCCCAAAAATTCAAAAAAATAAATAAATAAAACATAGCGGATCGCGATTTGGGAAAAAACCGTGTTGATCGCGCTTGTCGGGATCACGATATCAACTATTTTTTTTAAAGAGAACCTGTTTTATTGAAAATGTAATTGGAAAACTGATATGATACTGCAGAATTGGGATTCTTACGAGCAAAATCCTTAAAGAAGTTCAAGTATGAATCAAATTACACAAAAAATGGGCCGAAATCGGGCAAGATCGCTTGAATAATTCGAAGATTTGGGTATCTTTATTACGTATTGGGGTATATTATGACAATGTTGGATCGGCGCCATGGGAAAATCTTCGGTTTAGTTACTTAGCGAATAATTGTGCGTACTTTGTAATGTTGCTGTGCTTTCCCTCCCCTCTGAAATCCGTGTACGATTTACACTTAATCATCTAACACTGCCGACTCCTAGAGCTTATTAAGAAAAGAGGAGGAAGGTATATTCGGGCATGGCGGTGGCAACGACATCTCCTTTTCTCTCTACTATAATTCATTCACTTAAAGCCGACCATACTTATGTAAACATGTAAAATATGTGTCCTCTAGACATGTACCATGCTCCTCTCTCCCTCATATACCTTCATCTTGTTATACATAATGTTGTGTTCTGGTGCATATTTTGTACCCGTTAAAGAGAATGATTGTTGATTTGGCAATCCGTTTGCCCTTTCCTCTGTCTGCTTATTGGGTGGCCACTCAACTCGTCCGTTGTATTGGCGGCACATTGTCACGATGATGATGATGACACGGTGATGACGTTGATGACGATGATGATGCACACCTCCGGCTGTCCGTCCATGATGATGACGATGATGACGTTGTCGATGACGATGATGATGACGATGACGAATGCAGAGCTCACGCGCACCCTCAGTGGAAGACGATGAAGAAGGCCATCTCATTTACCGATCGGGAGACATTCTTCAAGACCGATGTTCGTGAATACTACACTTGTTATATTTGGCAGTTTTAGTGGATAAGTCTTGTTCTCTCTTCTCTCTCTCTCAAAAACAAAGATAAATTAACTAGAGTCTGTAAGAAATTTCCCAACGACTCCCATCCAGTATTCGTAATTATTACCTTTCTTTTCAGCTTTTTGGGGGGGAGTTTAGCTACCCCTCCGTCTAAATTAAACCACCATTAAGCTTACTGTTTTCATGTCGTTCGTTTCTCGTGAAAACAGTAAGCTTTTCACCAACAACATCATTTTTAAACGACAATTGGGGTTAAATTGTTCAGCAAAATACTGGACGCTTTAAGTTTAGGCACAATTTGCATGCACACAAATGAACAATGTTTGTGCAAGGCCGAGGCAAGAGGGAGTTACAAAATTGACGCCAGAACTTTAACGCTAAAACTGTGACTCACTTTTAGCGCCGGTCTTGTTCCTTTCCTCAAATTGACAGAATATTTTGTTGCATTACAGATAAAATACTTGGCACTCTCGGAGAGGGCACCTTTGGCAAGGTAGTCAAAGTGAAGGACATCGAAATGTAAGTATGACGTCTAAAGGAGTCATTTTGCTCGATTACGACACGAAAATAAACTTATTTGCATCGTGTTAATGGAAAATGAAAGAAAAATATAAATTGCGGTTTTGCGTTAAGTCCGACACGAGGAAGAGGTGAATCGCTGCCAATTAGAGGGAGAACGGAAAATTCGGTAATCTCTTTCACACGCATACGGAGGTTTTATTGCTTCAGAATTAGTTGTTTACGTGTGAAAAACAGGCTTGGTCGTATAACCTAGACACAAATTCAAACTATTGAAAATGTTCTATATACTTGTGGCGAGTCACATCTGCTTTTATCGGACTTGTAGACTTTTTTACCAGTTTAGTACAAAACGTTGTATATTTCTCTAGGGATCATTCGATGGCGCTAAAGATTATCAAAAACGTGGAAAAGTACCGAGAAGCTGCTAAACTGGAAATCAACGTTTTGGAAAAATTAGCAGATAGAGATCCAGACTGTATACAGTAAGTGTTGGTGCTCATCGTGCGTCTTTTTCTAAACTGTTTTTTGCAGTTTGTGTGTCAAGATGCTCGACTGGTTTGATTATCATGGTCACATGTGTATAGCGTTTGAAATGTTAGGTCTTAGTGTGTTTGATTTTTTGGTGAGACAGAATTTGATGTTTATTTATTTTGTTTTTAATTACGAGCAATTGCAGAAAGACAACAATTACCAGCCATATCCACTGGATCAAGTCAGACATATTGGGTATCAACTGTGTTATTCCGTCAAATTCCTGCATGACAACAAGTTGACACATACTGATCTCAAGCCCGAGAATATTTTGTTTGTGGATTCTGATTACGAGCTAGTTTATAATAGTAAGAAGGTAGGGTTTCGGGAGATAGAATTGCCGGAAGTTGAATTGTTGATGTTCCAGAGGAGAGATGTGAAAAGAGTTAAAAGAACAGACGTTAGATTAATAGATTTTGGTAGTGCCACGTTTGACCATGAGCACCATAGCACGATAGTTTCAACGCGCCACTATAGAGCACCTGAAGTTATTTTAGGTATGTGTTTACTCGAAAACGGGTTTTTCAAAAAATTATTCGTTCCAATTATAGAATTAGGGTGGGCTCAACCGTGCGATGTATGGTCTATCGGCTGTATATTATTCGAATTATACCTAGGTATAACTCTTTTCCAAACCCACGATAACCGAGAACACTTGGCGATGATGCAGCGAATTCTCGGTGAAATTCCAATTAGGTACAAACCGTAAATATTTACCTTACATTTTTACAAAACTATTTTCAGGATGGCAAGAAAAACAAAGACAAAATATTTCTATAGGGGTAAGTTAGAATGGGACGAAAAGAGCTCAGCTGGTCGATACGTCCGAGATAATTGTAAACCACTAATGGTGAGTCACCCAAATCAAACAAGTCATTCAAGTAACGCTAACTTGCAGAGGTACAAACAGAGTGACGAATCCGACCACAATCAACTGTTCGATCTAATTTATAAAATGTTAGAATACGAACCGTCGCAACGGATAACATTAAAAGAAGCAATGCTCCACTCGTTCTTCGATAAAATCTCGCCACACCAGCGTCTGGGAGAGCACGGAGCAGGGGATATACGAAGAGACAAAAGTTGCTCGGTTTCGCGATGAAGAGCGGCCCCGTATTTTAATTTTGCGCTGTTTTCATTTCCATTTCTACCACAGTCACTGTATTTTCAGTAATATATTGCTGACAATAATTCAGTTTTTATCTGTCATTTGAATGAAATTCGTTTGGGTTGTGCTGGAAAATATGAAGTTTGTTGTATTTGTTTTCACGTACAACGCGGTTCTTCATTTTGTTTATAAGGGTAATTTAATGTTACATGTGTACATATTATTGCATAAATAAATGATTAGTTTTTAACGGGGTTTGAGTAATCCCAGTATATCATGAAAACGATGTGGATTGGTAAAATCACTAACTGCGGCTAATGTAGGTTATCAATCTTTAATTTAAAAAAATTGGCAGATTCGTACAAGTGAAAATAACGTTTTACGGTATAGGCAACCAGTTATACAACATTGTCACTTGTCAAATTCAAACGTCACAACTGTCATTTAAGGGCGGGAAGTCGTTCAAACGTGCCATGGCAGCGAGTGATGATGTATCCAGCGACAAAATCGCCGATTTAACATCACTTGAGGCTTTTCTGAGTGAAAGAGACAATTCCGTGAATAATTTCTACCTCTCCGATGTACCTGAAGTGTGTAAGGAGCGGCCATGTCTCCTAGGGATAGACGAAGCAGGCCGGGGTCCAGTTTTAGGTTAGTTTTACATTTGGTTGCCTTTTTTGACCCAGTTTTCCAGGCCCTATGGTCTACGGAACCGCGTTTTGTCCCATAAGTGAACCCACTTTACCGGATACGTTGGGTTGCGCCGATTCCAAAGCCCTGAATGAAGACACGCGTGATCAAATTTTCACCAAGATATGTAACGAATCCAAGAGAATGGGGTGGGCTGTGGAAGTAATAGCGCCTAATACTATATGCAACAACATGCTGAGTCGGCAAAAGTATTCCCTAAACCAGATTTCGATGGATGCGGCTATTAAATTAATAAAACAAGCGGGAGACGCTGGGGTGAATATTTCACAAGTCTACGTCGACACTGTAGGCCCCCCTGAAAAATACCAAGCCCACTTGAAGTCAATTTTTCCCAAGTATGACATCACAGTTGCAAAGAAAGCCGATTCCACGTACCCCATAGTGTCAGCGGCGAGTATTTGTGCCAAAGTTACGAGAGACCATGCACTCAAGGTCTGGAAGTTTCAGGAAAAGCTAGAGGTGACGCACGAGGAGTTCGGGAGCGGATACCCCGGTGGTACGTAATTTGTTTCCTGTCATAAATTATACAATGTTTTTATTGTAGACCCCAACACTAAAAAATTCCTGGAAAAACACTGTGATCCCGTTTTTGGGTATCCCCAGTTGGTTAGGTTTAGCTGGTCGACAGCCCGTGACGCTCTTCTTAAAAATGCGTATTATGTGGAGTGTGACGACGCCGAAGAAGACGTCACTCCACCACCGGCCACTACAGCAATCACTGCCTTTTTTAAAATGACCACGAAGAATGCCAGTGGGAAGAAGACTGAGCACGAATTTTTTAAAAATAGGTGTTTGAGTCGAAAGGTTGAGTTTTGAATAAAAACGTCTTGGTTTTCAATCCCTTAACTTTTCCTAGAAACAAATCCCAGTTTGAAAGAGGTTTTTACACCCATTTTGGCACATGCGCAGAGAAAATAAAGAATCAAGGTCGAGCTAGGTAGACCATCCGATCCGATGTTCCAGATGGGTGTGCGGTGTTTACATTTTTCCAACCAATTAATTAAATCATTATGCAACAATAAATAAATTCACGTTTCTGTTGTTTCTAGAAATGATAAAACAACTGGTAAGAATGTATTAGTTAATTAAAAAAATTTTAATATTGTTAATCTACTTCAAAAACCTCCTGGGAAATCATAGAAAATTGCTTTTTTATAACCACGATATTTATCGCTTGACCAAAACATGTTTCTTCATATTTACTTGTGCGTCACCAATGCGCTACTATTAATGGTAAGTTACGTTTTAATTTCGACAAAACTAACCTAAAACGTAAATTATAAACAAAGTTTTCCAGGCGAATGCGTATAAGACTTGCTTTGGGCCCTATGAAAATTATTCTTGTGATGAATATCTAGAGTGTTGTAGTACTGGGTGCTGCGCAGACACAAGTTTTAACGATTATATGTGGTAAATCTTTTTGAAAATTTTCGTTGGAAAAGCTTTGAGTTGCAGTAGGCCATAATGTGCGCCCTGTGGTTGCTATCAATAACTTGACAATAAAAAAATAAATATAACCCAGTGATACCAACCGCGTGACGTATGTCGTGTCTTATTACAACTTCAAAAGTTTTCCTAATATCATTTCAAAAACGTGCGTGCATATTTTAGGATCATAGGTGCCACCTTTTTGTCAATTATAATTGTGATTTGCGCTTGTTTTTGTTATCGAAAGCGAAGAGCCAATAACAGACTACCAGAAACGCGTACAAACGCCTTCGAGAACGCCGATATCAGAGTAATATCAAACGCCCGACATGACTTTGGTAACGTTTTGTACTTGGTTACTCTTGAAATAAACTCTATGTTACAGGATTCAGACCTTTTACTCCTACAGTCAACGAAGGTAGAAATTGTTTGTTGATCTTTTTGATTTGATGTTTTTGCTGTTTGTTATAGCGCCTCCTCAAGTGCCAACTGATCCCCACCCTATAACTCCACCCCCTTCGTACGAAAACGCCCTATTTTCCCCTCTCCTTTTCCCAGATAATCGAGTACCATCGTACGAAGACGTCATGGCAGGAAAGAAAACGTAGAATGCAACCATTTAAATACTCTTATTCTCACGACTTTATCGTTTATATCGATGTTCCAATATATTTTTTTATATTTTATTGTAATGGTGGATTTTTTTGTAACTATACGAGACCAGAAATCAGTCAAACAAAAACTCTTAAAAATCCTTTATTGTGTAATCTAGAGCCGGTACATTTTTATTTTATCCTCTCATAATAGCAGGTGTGCATACAGGGGCTCCACAAATATTCGAGCAACACTTTTGATTGATGGGACAGCTGTCATCTGAAGAGCATTGATTGGGTACATTGCAGCCACTTTTCGAACTCCCTCCGATTAAAGTCTGTGGACAGGATCCAGGATGGTCGCCAAGAACAACGTTCAAAATTACGAAGAGGGTTATTAAAATTTTCAACATTTTGTAAACTGTCGTGTCGATAGACAATATTTCTACTGAAAACATTGCCTTTAAATATGTGAAGGCTATGCTTGACGCAAGAATAATTACGATAAGTAAAATGCGCCCATTTACATTTATATGTGTATATTATCGGAAAATATGGTGCGTTTTTACCGTTTTAGTAACATTTATGGATATCTTTATTAATGTAGCGGATGTTTCACGTTTTGTTTATCACAAAGTGAAAATATTAATTTTTATTACAGTATCACGACGATAACGGATTTGTTGAATTAAACAAAAATAAAATTAAGTTTGCTTTCAAATTTATTTTCAAGTCAGGGTAACATCGTTGGAGATATCTATAGGTTAAGCGTAGCTCCTGAAAATTAATGATATTAAATTATGTCGTTGTGTGGCGTTTCTACTTACAAACGTTACGTTTCTGAAATTTTCGAATTGTCCACGTTCAGCGGTGCTTTACAAAACTTCATTATATTAGGGAAAAATGGAAAAAGTGGGCAACATTTCCAGTCTCCTGGACAAGCTAAATCTTCACTGCACGTACCAGATATACCCTGGATGCCTGAAGGGCATGCCCCAGGTTTAATTCGAGGAGGATGTGAGGCACTCGTGTCGTTCTCCTCTGCGTGAATCAGAGCACCTAAGAACAAAACTAGTGTTAATAACTTGAATATCATTATAGCAAACTGTAGCTGACGAGGCTGTTAGTGTGAACTATTTATACTTTGTAAAAACCTATTTTTGTTTTTTGAATTTATGGCTAAGAACATCGTGAGTCGTAATATTGCTACATAATTTTATCATAAGTCACGAAATCGTGACTTATGATTGTTTTACAGTTTCAATTTTACGAGGTTCCTAATGACACCTCTAAGGTTCGGGTATCTCTCAGGGATCAATTTAGGTTCGCCGTTATTCAGTATTTTCGTTAACGAATTAACAGTTTTGTTTGCATGATCGTGCCTGCTGTTTTGAATTAATCTTCCGCTAGTTACGATTCTGAAATCGTCGTCGCTGTATCTGGTCTAATAAACGCGCAAAATGAATTCAAAAATTCCAAAAATTTTGCAAAAAAGTGGTTAAAATTGGTTTAATCGACCGAAAATTGGTGTCAAATTCTAGATAATCTTCCGCTAGTTACGATTCTGAAATCGTCGCCGTTGTATCTGGTCTAATAAACGCGCAAAATGAATTCAAAATTTCCAAAAATTTCCCAAAAAAGTGGTTAAAATTGATTTAATCGACCGAAAGTTGGAGTCAAATTGTAGATAATCTTCCGCTAGTTACGATTCTGAAATCGTCGCCGCTGTATCTGCTCTAATAAACGCGCAACATGAATTCAAAATTTCCAAAAAAGTGGTTAAAATTGGTATAATCGACCGAAAATTGGTGTCAAATTATAGATAATCTTCCGCTAGTTACGATTCTGAAATCGTCGCCGTTGTATCTGGTCTAATAAACGCGCAAAATGAATTCAAAAATTTCAAAAATTTTCCAAAAAAGTGGTTAAAATTGGTTTAATCGACCGAAAATTTGTGTCAAATTGTAGATAATCTTTCGCTAGTTACAATTCTGAAATCGTCGCCGCTGTATCTGGTCTAATAAACGCGCAAAATGACTTCAAAATTTCCAAAAAAGTGGTTAAAATTGGTTTAATCGACCGAAAATTGATGTCAAATTCTAGATAATCTTCCGCTAGTTACGATTCTGAAATCGTCGCCGTTGTATCTGGTCTAATAAACGCGCAAAATGAATTCAAAATTTCCAAAAATTTCCCAAAAAAGTGGTTAAAATTGATTTAATCGACCGAAAGTTGGAGTCAAATTGTAGATAATCTTCCGCTAGTTACGATTCTGAAATCGTCGCCGCTGTATCTGGTCTAATAAACGCGCAAAATGACTTCAAAATTTCCAAAAAAGTGGTTAAATTTGGTTTAATCGGCCAAAAATTGGTGTCAAATTGTAGATAATTTTCCGCTAATTACGATTCTGAATTTGTCGCCGCTGTATCTGCTCTAATAAACGCGCAAAATGAATTCAAAATTTCCAAAAATTTTCCAAAAAAGTGGTTAAAATTGGTTTAATCGACCGAAAATTGGTGTCAAATTGTAGATAATCTTCCGCTAGCTACGATTCTGAAAGCGCCGCCGCGGTATCTGATCTAATAAACGCACAAAATGAATTCAAAATTTCCAAAAATTTCCCAAAAAACTGGTTAAAATCGGTTTAAGCGACCGAAAGTTGGAGTCTAATTGAAGATAATCTTCCGCTAGTTACGATTCAGAAATCGCCGTCACGATATCTAGTCCAATAACGACGAAAAGTGGATTCAAAATTTCCAAAAATTTTCCAAAAAAGTGGTTAAAATTGGTTTAATCGACCGAAAATTGGTGTCAAATTGTAGATAATCTTCCGCTAATTAAGATTCTGAAAGCGCCCCAGTGGTATCTGATCTAATAAACGCACAAAATGAATTCAAATTTTCCAAAAATTTTCCAAAAAAGTGGTTGGAATTGATTTAGTCGACCGAAATTTGGTGTCAAATTGTAGATAGTCTTCCGCTAGCTACGATTCTGAAAGCGCCGCCGCGGTATCTGATCTAATAAACGCACAAAATGAATTCAAAATTTCCAAAAATTTCCCAAAAAAGTGGTTAAAATTGGTTTAATCGACCGAAAGTTGGAGTCAAATTGAAGATAATCTTCCGCTAGTTACGATTCAGAAATCGCCGTTGCGGTATCTGATCTAATAAACGCACAAAATGAATTCAAAATTTCCAAAAATTTCCCAAAAAACTGGTTAAAATCGGTTTAATCGACCGAAAGTTGGAGTCTAATTGAAGATAATCTTCCGCTAGTTACGATTCAGAAATCGCCGTCACGATATCTAGTCCAATAACGACGAAAAGTGGATTCAAAATTTCCAGAAATTTTCCAAAAAAGTGGTTAAAATTGGTTTAATCGACCGAAAATTCGTGTCAAATTGTAGATAATCTTCCGCTAATTACGATTCTGAAATCGTAGTCACGATGTCTGGTCTAATAAACGCGCAAAATGAATTCAAAATTTCCAAAAATTTCCCAAAAAAGTGTTTAAAATGGGTTTAATCGACCGAAAATTGGTGTCAAATTGTAGATAATCTTCCGCTAGTTACAATTCTGAAATCGTCGCCGCTGTATCTGGTCTAATAAACGCGCAAAATGACTTCAAAATTTCCCAAAATTTTCCAAGAAAGTGGTTAAATTTGGTTTAATCGACCGAAAATTGGTGTCAAATTGTAGATAATTTTCCGCTAATTACGATTCTGAATTTGTCGCCGCTGTATCTGCTCTAATAAACGCGCAAAATAAATTCGAAATTCTCAAAACTTTTCCAAAAAACTGGTTAAAATTGGTTTAATCGATCGACATTTGGTGTCAAATTGTAGATAACCTTCCGCTAGTCACGATTCTGAAATCGTCGCTGCTGTATCTGGTCTAATAAACGCGCAAAATGAATTCAAAATTTTCAAAAATTTTCCAAAAAAGTGGTTAAAATTGGTTTAATCGACCGAAAGTTGGAGTCAAACTGAAGATAATCTTCCGCTAGTTACGATTCAGAAATCGCCGTCACGATATCTAGTCCAATAACGACGAAAAGTGGATTGAAAATTTCCAGAAATTTTCCAAAAAAGTGGATAAGATTGGTTTAATCGACCGAAAATTGGTGTCAAATTGTAGATAATCTTCCGCTAATTACGATTCTGAAATCGTAGTCACGATGTCTGGTCTAATAAACGCGCAAAATGAATTCAAAATTTCCAAAAATTTCCCAAAAAAGTGTTTAAAATGGGTTTAATCGACCGAAAATTGGTGTCAAATTGTAGATAATCTTCCGCTAGTTACAATTCTGAAATCGTCGCCGCTGTATCTGGTCTAATAAACGCGCAAAATGACTTCAAAATTTCCCAAAATTTTCCAAGAAAGTGGTTAAATTTGGTTTAATCGACCGAAAATTGGTGTCAAATTGTAGATAATTTTCCGCTAATTACGATTCTGAATTTGTCGCCGCTGTATCTGCTCTAATAAACGCGCAAAATAAATTCGAAATTCTCAAAACTTTTCCAAAAAACTGGTTAAAATTGGTTTAATCGATCGACATTTGGTGTCAAATTGTAGATAACCTTCCGCTAGTCACGATTCTGAAATCGTCGCTGCTGTATCTGGTCTAATAAACGCGCAAAATGAATTCAAAATTTTCAAAAATTTTCCAAAAAAGTGGTTAAAATTGGTTTAATCGACCGAAAGTTGGAGTCAAACTGAAGATAATCTTCCGCTAGTTACGATTCAGAAATCGCCGTCACGATATCTAGTCCAATAACGACGAAAAGTGGATTGAAAATTTCCAGAAATTTTCCAAAAAAGTGGATAAGATTGGTTTAATCGACCGAAAATTGGTGTCAAATTGTAGATAATCTTCCGCTAATTACGATTCTGAAATCGTAGTCACGATGTCTGGTCTAATAAACGCGCAAAATGAATTCAAAATTTCCAAAAATTTCCCAAAAAAAATGTTAAAACTGGTTTAATCGACCGAAAGTTGGGGTCAAATTGTAGATAATCTTCCGCTAGTTACGATTCTGAAATCGTAATCACGATATCTGGTCTAATAAACGCACAAAATGAATTCAAAATTTCCAAACATTTCCCAAAAAAGTGTTTAAAATGGGTTTAATCGACCGAAAATTGGTGTCAAATTGTAGATAATCTTCCGCTAGTTACAATTCTGAAATCGTCGTCGCTGTATCTGGTCTAATAAACGCGCAAAATGAATTAAAAATTTTCCAAAAAAGTGGTTAAAATTGGTTTAATCAGCCGAAAATTGGTGTCAAATTGTAGATAATCTTCCTATTGTTATGATTATGAAAGCACCGCCGCGGTATCTGGTTTAAAATGAATTTAAAATTTCCAAAAAATTTCCAAAAAAGTGGTTAAAATTGGTTTAAACGACCGAAAATTAGTGTCAAATTGTAGATTATTTTTTCTTTTAATAAGTTGTTTGTTTCATATTTTCTAAACGTATATAAAAATAAAACAAAGCAGTCGTAAAATGTTTATTTATTTTTACGCTTGAATAAGTGCGTCACCTAATTAAAATTCGAAAAACAACTTATACGTCTAAACAAAAAGTTCCTGTTACAATATTTTTTGTTTTATGAAGTGTGTAAAAATAAAAAGCAGTGTTGTTTTATTACCTTTTTATTACATTTGTTCTGTTACATTTTCGAAGTTATCCTATTACTGTAGGAGGGACATGAAAAGGCAAAGGCCATTGGCAGATGGATCCACAATGATTGCGGCAACATTTAAAAAAGAAAGGGCAATCGTTGTCATTTTTACACTGTTTGATGCAAATTCCAACGTTGAAGATGGGTGGTGGAGGACAAAAACCAGGTTTTGCCCAAACAAAACCAAATAAAAGAAACAATATTGCTATTTTCATTGTAATTTACTTGTTCGAGTGGTTTTGATGCTGAAATTTATAGGTACCAGTTTGCAATTTTGTGACTAATCGGATTTTGTTGTATTTGTTATGGTTGGCAACAGCACGAATTTATAAGAAATGTAAAATTCGTTGTGTTTTTGATAGTCGCTACGTGATTTATTTTTAAATACGCAATTTTCATTTGAATAATGTGTTGTTTGATTTCATGTTTCTTGTTTTTATGTTGGAAAGTTAGAGACACAATAAAGAACAACAACTTAAATTTTAATTGTATTTATTACCCACTCATTGTTTTCCATTTTTAAAATTAGTGTTCTATATATATAATATAAAATTTAATAAATTTTGAGTGTCCATTTTCCATTACTTGTCGATGTATAGCATCTTTCCAGACAAAACCAGTTCAAAACTGACAATTTAACCATTTACTGGGTTTTTACAAGATTGACCGCAACCATGTGAACAACATTTTTCGCTTCCTGGACACGAATAGTCGTCACTACACGATATATAGCAAGGACCAAATTTCGGTGGCGGAGGACAAGAACCTGATTTCTGTGCCAAAACTGAAACAGACAGGACCAACAATATAACTATAACAAACTTCATGTTGGATTATAAACAAATGCAAGCAAGTCAAGGCTTATATACAAAAACGTATGAATTGTTTAAATAATAAAAATTCACGAACGATATGCGATAGCGCAAGTCTGCGTTTTTTCTACTATGTTATCAGTTAATTATGTTTATATAATGAACACGGATTTAAATTTCCCGCGGTTGCAGTCTTTCAGTGACGTCGTCGGGCTGCCAGACTTTTTTCAAGAAACAGGCCAACCTGAACATGTAATAATCTTGTACAAGTACTAAATTACAGACTTCGTTGTTCACTGTTTTAGGGGGAGAAATAAAGAAGAAAATTAATTTTTAATTGTATTATTATTCATTGTGTTCTACAAGCTTTATATTAACATAAAAATTAGTAAGTTATGAGTGCTCTAACTTGTCGATGCGTAGCAGACTTCTATGTAGAACCAATCAAATGTGTCAATTTAACCCGCCCTTACTGGGTTTGTACAATGGTGGCCACAACCATTGGAACAACATTTTTGGTTCCCTGGACACGAAGAGTCACCAGAACAGGCTTCATCACAAGTACCAGGTCCCTGTGGCTGAGGACAAGAACCAGATTTCTGAGCCAAAGCTGAAACAGACAGGACCAACAATATAACTATAACGGACTTCATGTTGGATTATAAACAAAAGCAAGCAAGCCTCGACTTATATACGAAAATTTATGAATTATTCAGAAAATAATATAGAAAGTAATTTATAGTTCGTGGTTTACCCACAAGCGATATGCGATAACATCACAAGGTCGGTACATTACTACAGGTACGTGTATCAGATTGCGGTTTTTTTTTATACTAAATTATTTGCTTACGTTTATGCATATGACGAATAGGGTAAAATATTGTTTTAAAAAGTGATTTAAATTTGCCGCGGTTGCAATTTTTCAGTGACGTCACCGAGCAGCCAGCTTACTCAGTTCAACACGCGCCAACCTGAGAATATTAAGACCTTGTACAAGTGGGTTTTTTGTTGCAAATTTCAAAGAAATACGGCAAAACAATTGTGAATTCAAAACTTTCAGGAATTTCCTAAAATAACTAATAACAACATTGTTACTTAGAAAAATGTAAAAAACTCTTTGCTAAAGCATGCGAATTATGGGTTGCCTACCTATAGGTCTATTGTTGTTAGTGAATAGAAAGCTGGAAAATATCCCGGTTAATTATCCTCATAATAAATATCCAGATATTAAAGCTATTTTTGAAAACCACGTCCAAATCACCCAGATTTTCATGGTATGTTACTCCGGTGGATGAATTTTCGTTCGAAGTTTTGACATAACTTTGTTTACAGGTTCGTGCCAGTTGTTTTGAATTAAATTTTGTCTTAATAAGTTGTTTGCTGTTGTAAAGCAATCGTAAAATGTTTATTTATTTTTACACTTGAATAAATACGTCAACTAATTAAAATTCGAAGCAGTGGTAGTAATAAAACAAAAATTTGTCAGTTTTGTTTACTTTAATGTCCTTTTTCGACTATTTTTTTCTTAGCGATACCCTGAAAGTCAAAACTAATTATTATTAAATCCAAACTATTTCTAAAATACCTCTGAAAGGTGGAATTTCTGCATTCTGTTCACACAACATGTCAAAAAAACTGGACGATTTTCCTTCAACGACCAAAACTGAGAAACAGAATCAACAATATAACTATAACAAACTTCATATTGGATTTTAAACAAGTAAAGAAGTTTCCACTTTTATACGGAAATTTATGATTTTTTTAAATAATTGTGGATAAGCCACAAGCAGCTGCAGTCTTTCATTGACGTCATCGGACAGCCAGATTTGCCCAATTTCAAGCAACGCGTCAACCTGAAAATGCAAAGACCTTGTACAAGTACGTTTTTTGTTGCAAATTTCAAAGAAACATCGCAATATAGTTATCAATGCAAAACTGTTAAGAATTTCGTAAATTAGCTGATAAAAACATTTTTAAATTTACAAAAGTCGTCATTTAAAACTACTGCTACAGAAATTTTAAAATAACTGCGATTCAGTATTACGTCAAGTTTTCAAAGTTCTTAAATTCCAAATTCAAGTTTTTTTTCTTCATTTTTTTAACATTTATTTTAGTTTGTTATTTCCATTCATTTTCTCTTAGCAATAACACAATAAAAACAAATATTGATCATGAAATCCAAAGTGTAACATTTTTTTTGCTATTTACATACAAAAAAATATGAAAATAAAGAACGAAAACTTCAGTTTTATTTGTATTTATTACTCATTAATTTTAATAACATAAAATTTTGTACCAGTTCAAAAACTGGCAATTTAGTCATTTATTGGGTTTTTACAAACATGGCCACAACCAATAGGACAACATTTTTGGATTCCTGGACACGAATAGTCGTTGGTACACATTTCAATGCAGCTACCAGGTGTCTGTGGCGGAGGACAAGCGCCTTGTTTTTTTGCCAAAGCTGAAACAGTGAGGACCAACAATATAACTACAACGGAATTCATGCTAAATTATTAACAAAAGCAAGCAGGCTTCTATTTATATACGAAAATGTATTAATTATTTAAATAATAATCTTTATAGTTATTTATAATGAATAACGAAAAGCGATAGGCGAAAGCACCACAAGGTCGGTGCATTACAGCAGGTAGTTACGTGTATTAAACAATTAAATAAAATTAAAGCATTTGAGTTTTCTTTCCTCAAACTTACCTACTTATGTCAACACACGTGACGAATAACATATTATGTGGGATAAAATGAAAAATGATTTAAATTTCCCGCGATTGTAATGTTTACGTGACGTCATCGGGCAGCCAGAGTTACCGTTTCAAGAAACGCGCCAACCTGAAAATGTAAACACCTTGCACCCGACCTGGTGGTGCTATCACATTGAATTATTATTGTTATTTAAACAATTCATACATTTTTGCATATAAACCGAGACTTGCTTGTATTTGTTTATAATCCAACATGAAGTTTGTTATAGTTATATTGTTGGTCCTATCTGTTTCAGTTTTGGCACAGAAAACAGGTTCTTGTCCTCGGTCAGTGGGAGCAGGTTCTTGCATTATAACGTGTAATGACGACTCTTCGTGCCCAGGAAACGAAAAGTGTTGTTCAAATGGTTGCGGCCGTGTTTGTAGAAACTCAATAAGTGGTTAAATTGTCAGTTTTGAATGGAAAGATGCTGCAGATCGACAAATAATGGTTATATCCTTTGAGCACTCCAAACTCACTAAATTTTGTCTTATTGCACTATATACAGTTTTATTAAAATTTAAGTTTGTGTTCTTTATTTCCACAAAAAATTCTTTGTAGCAAATTATACTGAATAAAAATATATTAAACTCTAAAAATTGAAATTTGCAACAAAATTACACTCGCACAAGGTCTTTACATTTTCAGGTTGGGGCGTTTCCCGAAACGGGGTAAGTATGGCTGCCTGATGACGCCACTGAAAGACTACAACCGCGGGAAATTTAAATCACATTTTATTTTACCCTATAAAAGATGGTATTCGTGACGGTATAAGTAGATAAATTATTCAGTTTTAATATTAACAACCTTGTGGTGCTGTCGCATTTCTTTTGTGGGTTTTAAATTAATTATGTTCATTTGAATAATTCATGAATTTTGGTATATAAGTCGACACTTGCTGGAGTTTGTTCATAATCCAACATGAAGTTTGTTATAGCTATAGTGTTGGTCCTGTCTGTTTCAGCTTTGGCCCAGAAATCAGGTACTTGTCCTACGCCACATGGAGCTGGTCCTTGCGTTGAATTGTGTACTAGCGACTCTTCGTGCCCAGGAATCCAAAAGTGTTGTCCAAATCGCTGCGGCCATGTTTGTAAAAACCCAATAACGGCGGGCTAAATGGTCATTAGAATTGGTTCTGTTGCCATCAACAAGTAATGGATATATGCTTACTAAATTTTATGTTATCGCATTATACAAAGTTTGTAGAACACCTATTTTAAAAACTAAAGAAATGAATAATAAATACATATAAATTTGATAAAATATTATATTTCTCCTGCTACATATTTCGAAGTTATCCTAAAGGAAACGGGTTGACTTGTTCGAGTGGTTTTGATGCTGCAATACCGGTTTGCGATTTTATGACTAATCGGATTTTGTTGTATTTGTTATACCACGAATTTATAAAAACTGTAAAGTTTGTTGTGTGGTCGCTACGTGATTTATTTTTAGATATGCAAAAACCATTTGAATAAAGTGTGTTTTGAATTTCGATATGATTTAGTTATTTTCTTGGAAGATTTTTAAAATCGTTAAGTAAAGAGAATGAATTTTTTATGAATAATTCAAGCAATTTCTTGCCATTTTATTATGCGGGGTAAAGTGAGAAGTAATTTAAATTTCGCGCGGTTGCAATTTTTGCGTGACGTCATCGGGCAGTCAGAGTTGCCGTTTCAAGAAACGCGCCAACCTGAGATTGTAAACACCTTGTACAAGTGGGTTTTTTGGTGCAAATAAAATAATTCACAAAACATTTTAGTGTTTTTTTAACATGATTGAAAAAAATATGGAAAAAATCCTTTGCATATTTAAAAATAAATCACGTAGCGACTATCAAAAACACAACAAATTGTACATTTCTTATAAATTCGTGCTGTCGGCGACCATAACAAATACAACAAAATGCGATTAGTCATAAAATTGCAAACCAGGAGTATAAATTGCAGCCTCAGAACCACTCGAACAAGTAGACTACAATGAAACTAGTAATATTGTTTCTTTTAGTTGGTGTTGTTTGGGCAACGCACCCTGGTTTTTGTCCTCCAGGACCCGTGCATAAAGGTGGAATATGTTTCCGCCATTGTAAAACTGACCATGATTGCCCCCCTTTCTTCTTTAAATGCTGCAGACATGGTTGTAGAACTTTCTGCCAACGGGCTTTGCCGCTGGGTTAGGACAACGTCAAAATATGTAACAGGAGAAATATAATAAAACGGTAATCAAACAAAACTGCTTTTTATTTCATTAAATTTATAAAACAAAAAAAATATATGTATTTCAATTTGTTTTCAATTCTAGAATAATTGGGAATTTATATACAAACTATTTTTTTTTTTTTGAAAAATAAAGACCAAAAACTTAAGATTTAGTTGTATTTATTACTCATTGTTTTTACTTTTTAAAATTGGTGTTCTACAAACTTTGTATAATGCGATAACATAAAATTGAATAAGTTTCGATGCATTATGCCGTTATTGGGTTTCTACAAACATGGCCGCAACGATTTGAACAACACTTTTGGATCCCTGGACACGAAGAGTCGTCAATACACCAGTCAACGCAAGCAGCACCATCTCCCTGAAGGGTAGGACAAGAACCCGGTTTTTGTGCCAAAGCTGAAACAGACAGGACCAACAATGTAACTATAACAAACTTCATGTTGGATTATGAACGAACCCGAGCAAGTGTCGGTTTATATATCAGAATTCATGAATTATTCAAATGAAAATGATTATTTTAATACCCATGGTTGACAGCACCACAAGGTTGTGATTATTGCAGGTTCGTGTATTTAGACGATTTATTTATGTGTTGATTTAAAATCCGTCACGATTATCATCTTTTATTATAGGGTAAAATGACAAGTGATTTAAATTTCCCGCGGTTGTAGACTTTCAGTGGCGTCATCGAATAGCAGGCTCTACCTTACTCACTTAAGTAAAGCGCCAACCTGAGAGTGTAAAGACCTTGTAAAAGTGGAATTTTGTTGCAAATTTCAAACGAATATCGTGATATAGTTATTAACGCAAAGCTTTTAGGAATTTCTTAAAACAACAGATAACAACAATAATAAAACTGTGTAAATAGTAACTCATAACATTTATTTGAAACTGTTATTTCGTTTATTTTTTCTAACCAACAATACCCTAAAAGCAAAAATTAATTATTAAATCCAAAATCTTAGTAAAATACCTTTAAAATGTCGGATATCTGCACTCTTTTCCACAAACGTTGACGCAACATTTCAAAAAAAGGGGGCATTCTTGGTCACAATTACATTTCTGGATACAAATACCGTTGTCCACAGCCACAGGACAAAACCCAGGCTTATCGACAGCCCAAAGTGGGTGAAAAAGAAGCAACAATAACACGAGTTTCATCAAAAATGGAAATCCCTCCAAATACACAAACCCAACTAACAAATATTATTTTCATTCCACTAAATTATCGACTTCGTGCTTAAACTATATTTTCTTATCGTTATTTAAAACGTAAAATAACAGACCTTTAGAATTCTAGAATAATTTGTTATTAACATGAATTTTAATTGTATTTATTACTCAGTTGCAGTCTTAAGTGACGTCATCGGGCAGCCAAAGTTACCCAGTTTCAAGAAACGCGCCAACCTCAGAGTGTAAACACCTTGTAGAAGTGTTTTTTTTTTGTGCAAATATGACAATTTAAATAGTTGTTTAATGTTAAAATTAATATTACCTCGAATTTCTTGAAAATGGGTACGTCTGACTGAAAATTTAAATTACTTCTCACTTGACCCTATATAATAAAATGGTAAAAATTAAAAAAAAACTTAAATTTTTATATTTATTACTCATTGTTTTCAATTTTTAAATTAGTACAAGCTTTCCATAGTGCGGTTACATAAAACTTAGTAAGTTATGAGTACTCAAAGTGTATCCATTTCTTCTTCATGCGTAGCAGTTTTCCATACCAAAAGCGACACTCTAACCCGCCCTTATTGGGTTTGTACAAGAATGACCGCAGCCATTTGAACAACACTTTTGGTTTCCTGGACACGAAGAGTCGTTATTACACAATGAAACGCAAGCACCAACACCCCCTGGCTGGGGGCGAGGACAAGAACCTCGTTTCTGAGCCAAAGCTGACACAGACAGGACCAACAACATAACTATAACAAACTTCATCTTGGATTATGACCAACTGCAAGCAAGTGCTGGTTTATATACGAAAATGTATGAATTATTCAACAATAATTAATTTATAACGAGTGGTTTACCCAAAAGAGATTCGCGATAGCACCAAGGTCGTGATTAGTGCAGGTTCGTGTATTAAATTTTACACGATGGTGTATAGTCTTTCACTGACGTTCAAGAAATGCGACAACCTAAAATTGCAAAGACCTTGGACAAGTGGGTTTTCTGTTTCAAACTTCAAAGAAATATTGCTTTTAATTTGTTATTTTAATTCAACAACAACAACTGAGTGCAAATACCCGATCCCTTTAAATTATTCAGATCATAATGCATTTATAATGAACGGTCCAACACAAGGTTGTCGTGCCGCTGCAAGAGTATCAGATGATTTGTTTGTCTCGATAGAAAACTAAATAAAGTTGAAAAACTGCGTTTCTTTTCAATAGCGCCGTCTATTATAGTAAAATTAAAAGCTATTTAAGTTTCCCGCGGTGACAGCCCTTCAGTGACGTCATCGAGCAGCCAGACGGACCCATTTTTAAACAAAGCAACGACCTCTGAGAATGCATAACCTTGCACAAGTGGGTTTTTTGTTTCAAAACTTTTTGGAATTCAACTAATAATAACATGATGATTAATATAGTAGTAACAACAAACCACAAACTTGATTGTCTATTTTATTTATTACTCATTGTTCCCAATTTTTAAAATTAGTGTTCTACAAGCTTCAAATAGTGCGATAATACAATATTCAATTATAAGTAACCAAGTGTATAACCATTATTTGTCGTAGTCTTCCATCCAGAACCAATTCCAGACACTATCATCCCGGGAAATTTGAAGTGGGGTTAGCACAAGAGTGGCCACAACCATTCGAACAACACTTTTGGTTTCCGGGGCACGAAGAGTCGCCCCTGCATGCCTCAACGCAAGTACCTCCAATTGGTCGAGGACAACCACCTGGTTTCTGTGCCAAGACTGAAACAGACAGGACCAACAATATAACTATAACAGACTTCATGTTGGACATATTGTGAACAAATACAAGCAAGTTTCAGCTTTTATACACAAATTTATAAATATTCAGATCACATTGAATTTATAATGGTGGGTTTCAGTCGTTAAGTGACGTCATGGGGCAGCCAGAGGCACCCACTTTCAAGAAAAAGGCAACTTGACATGCAAAGATCTTGTGCAAGTGGGTTTTTTGACTCAAAATTCACAGAAATGCTTTTTGGAATTTAGAATTATTGACCATAACAGTGTTTGAGTCTTCTTGTACCATGGTAGTAACAATAATTTCATAGTTCAGGGAAATAAAGCACGAAAACTTATTTTTTTATTTTATTTATTATTCATTGTTTCCAATTTTTAAAATATAGTGCAGCAATCCAATCCTAAGTAAGTTATAAGTTCCATCCAGAACCAGTTCCAAAACGACGATTTAACCCGCCCTTACTGGGTTTGTACACATGTGGCCACAACCATTTGAACAACACTTTTGAATCCCTGGACATGAAGAGTCGCCAGTACACCATTCAGTGCAAAGACCTATTTCCGGTGGTGGAGGACAGGTACCTGGTTTCTGTGCCAAAACTGACACAGACAGGACCAACAATATAACGATAACAGACTTCATGTTGGATGGATTATAAACAAATTCAAACAACTTTAGACTTATATACCTACCAAAACTTATAAATTATTCAGATAACAATGAATTTATAACGCACTGTTTAACCACAAACATGATGTTGTTGCTCCGGTGCAGGTACACATCTCAGATGATCTTTTTATGTCTGGATTTAAAAGTAAATAAAGAAACTGTACAATAAAATTAAAAGTTATTTAAATTTCGCGCAACTGAAATCATTCATTGACGTCATCGAGCGGCCGAACGTCCCCATTTTTACCAAAAGCGACAACCTGAGAATGCAATACCTTGCACAATGGGTTTTTTCGTTTCAAAATTCAGCGAAATATCGCAATATAGTTACTAGTGTAAATCTTTTAAGAAATGGGGTTTTACAGCCTCAACATAAGTTCTGCTTAGTCGTTAGCAATCCAGATTTATTTATAAGCAGCACACAGTTCGTCCATATAGATACAAGTTTTTCTTCAGTTAACACCTTTTAAGACAATATTCAATTATCCTTGAAGACAAGCTTTACCGAGAAAAATATTGCAGACGAGACGAAAGCCGGGGGCGCCAAAAACCGGTCCTTCTCGTTAACAATTCCCATAAATTAATAATCGCGTCACTTCTATCGAAAACACGCAAACCGCAAATTAACCACGTCCGTACTAATTTTAAATTTAATTAATCATAGCACTGTAATAAACAAATTTCGATTGTGGTTTCCGCTTCATCACTCATACGACGAGATTTACCTCTGGTTCATTCATTACGAACACTTCATAGTACAAACATGTACAAACAAATTTTTGTCGTTTTTTCGTTGATACTTTTAGTGTATGGGCAAAACGGCCCCATCAAAGCCGGCGACTGCCCACCCTTATCAGATGTGGGTGTCTGTGAAGTTAATTGTTTCTCTGATACCCACTGCATGGGACCCATGAAGTGCTGCCCGACGGCGTGCGGAGGGACGTTCTGTGCTAAACCCGTCACCATGAGGAGAGCACAAATTCAAGGTATATATTTTAAAAATTTTTGAAAATTCGTTTAATGAATGGTAATTTTTAGAAAAACCTGGGTTTTGTCCGGAATCTCCCATGGGTCCATGGGTTTGTTCCAGCAGATGCGCCTTAGATTCGGACTGCAGAGGGACGAAGAAGTGCTGCAGGAATCGGTGTGGGGCGATGGCGTGCACCAAACCGGAAGTCTAGTTTTTACTAACTTACTCAAATGTCAAATTAATACCAATGAATAAATGAAGATTTTTTAGCATTTTTATTCATTCTTCTCTAAAATGGTTTATTTATTAGCATTTTTAATATTTTTAACTGGAAAGCTCAATCTTGATATTGTGTATAACTGGTTGCATACGTATTATGTAAAATGCAAGCAAATGTTCACTGCAATATTCTCCTCTATGTGACATGTAATAAGGGTCATAGTCGTTTAAAGTGTGCATCATTAGCGGCACTATTGACATTTGACGTAATTGTCGAGGTTATGTTTACCCTATAAAATGCTAACGTCCAGACACCGCTCCCGCTCCCCCGATTCCCGGGGGCACCGCTCCAGCCACCGCCGCCACCGCTCGCGCTCGCGCTCCCGCCACCGCTCCAAGTCCACCGCCAACGGTTTCGATAAGCACCGCCGCACCGAGGACGAATTCCTGGAGTCCCGACGCCAGGAGCGCGAAATAATCGGGATGCGTGAGCACGCCGACATCTGGGGCAAATCCCCCGAGCCCCAGGACTCCGAATCCGACGTCGAGGACTTGAGCAACCTCCACAAGGAAAAGAAGAAGAAAAAGGAGAAGAAGAAGTCGCACAAGAAGGACAAGAAACACAAGAAGAAGAAGAAGAAGAGAAGGAAGTCGAGCAGTGAGAGCAACGAAGAGGAATGGGTGGAGAAGAGCGCGTTGTCGAAAGCTGAAGTGCACTCAGACAATGATGATGGGATCGTGGGGCCTCTGCAGAAGGCGCACGCCACGCTTACCCACAAGGAGATGGGGAAGGCGCTGCTGCCTGGCGAGGGGGCCGCGATGGCCGCTTATGTGGCCGAGGGGAAGAGAATCCCGAGGAGAGGCGAAATTGGGCTGACTTCGGATGAGATTGCGTCGTTTGAGAGCGTGGGGTATGTGATGAGTGGGTCGAGACACAGGAGGATGGAGGCTGTGAGGATCAGGAAGGAGAACCAAATTTATTCGGCGGATGAAAAGAGGGCGTTGGCGATGTTCAGCAAGGAGGAGAGGCAGAAGAGAGAGAATAGGATTCTGGGGCAATTTAAAGACATGATTAGTTCGAAGTTGGCTGACAAGCAAAACTGAAATTTTGTTTCTAAACGTAATTCTATTGGTGTTAGTTATAATATTGAGGACTTTTGATTTTATTTTGTAAATATGTTACTTGTAAATATATTTTTTGTTGAAAAAAAAATTCTCCCCTAATCCACAAATTAAATAACACACTTTATTGGTCATACTTTCCTACACTTTAGCTCATAAACTCTAAACAACAATAACACTTATCATAAAAATTAACTCGCATTTTTTGTTTCTTGTTCCCATCCAGCCCAACCACCTGGGAAGTGTTTGGCACTAAAAAACACGAAATTTCATTAATTTATACTTCTTGTTTTTTAACAAAATTCTCACTGTATAAATCCCATTTTCTTGGCTGCATCTAGAGCCGCCTGACTCCTGCGCCCCATATGACAACTAAAAACCATCGCAGTCTCCGAATTCGGCTTCTCTCGTTGGAACTTTTCTCGAAAATCCTCTTCACTCCAATTTTGCAAAGTGTCCTCAAGAGTAGCCACTACAACAAGTGATTAGTCATCCCACCATGTCATATAATCAACTCACAAGGAATGTTGATGCTTCCAGGTATTCTCCCAGTCTTTTCCAACTCAGAGGGCTCCCGAACGTCGATCAACAAGACATTTTTGTCGTTTTCTAAGCTTTTGACGTAGTCGAACGTAACTTCGTCCGACATGGTGGACGCATCTACGAATACAATCATCAATAATTTCGGTAATAATAAGAATACGTGGTTCATTGTTTATTAAAATCGTAAATTAAATAATCGATTGCACGTTCGCGCCAAAATTTGAATCGTCCGAGTGCCCGAACTTACGGTGCTCGAATTCCCCGTCTGACGGTACGTGTCAGCAAACCTTGACAAAAATAACACACAAAAGACACGCCAAAACAGCGATGACGAACTGGATTTGAATGCAACACTTTATTTGCTGTTTTTGTAAAACAAACATTTTTTAAAGATTGAATCGCACGTCCTTGAAAGTGACATTTCACCATGGTAGAAGGAGACATGGTATAGGCATCCGATGTACCAATTTAAAAATGGTCTGCGCATCCATTTGTGACGTTAGGTGGCATCAACGACCTTGTGATTCTTGTGAGCTTCGCTAGGGAAGTCTAGGGAATTTCAGCTTGAGTTGTCATTGCTGTGTCATTGCTCTGTCCAATACGTCAATTAGTTGTCGGATAACGAATTGTATTTTAAATTTCGCGCTAATTTCACCCCACTTGACGTCACACCCGATGCGTATGCCTATACCATGTCTCCTTCTACCATGCATTTCACCACCTGTCAAACCCCAACTTCTAATAATAGAAACCACACTCATCAGAACGAAAGGAGACAAAAAACAGTGACTCACCTGTAATTACGTATGCACAACTGCACATTTATGACAACAATTAAATTAATAATCCATTTTGAACTATTGACGTGACGTTTGTACCCCTCTCCCCACTATTCGCAATCAGTGTTGCCAACCCCCCGAACCCCCCAACGAATGTCAATAATTTAACAAAACTCCTTTTTTTGTCGTTAAAAAATCAATAACCCCGTTATCACTCCCACGTCGTGCAACATTGCGCCCCCGATTTCCGTCTGTGCGACTTATTTTGGGAAATCCAGACACTTTTAAGACGCCCTGAAGTGAAAAAATCCCTACGGCAATCCCATTACGTCATCACAAAAATGAAATGGTGGTTGTATTTGTCGGGCGTTGTAAATGTGAAAAATCGTTATTAAAGCGCAGATCGAGCCGGAAAAGCGACTAATCTGCTTAAAATACGTGCAACTATTTGTATTTAGTCGGTTTTTGTAAATTGTAATCATAGGTGAGTGGATTTCATTTCATGTTTTCGTGCCTCGAAAAAGGGGTATAAATCGCTTAAATTGAGTCATTGTGGTCAACCGGTGGCTGTTTTTGACGCTAACGCGTGTTTTTGGTGCACTGACATCCTTCTTTGTGGCTTAGGGAAGGATACAGCAATGTCCGATCGGAGAGCAGAGTTGGAGAGGAAGAAGGCTCGACTGCAGGCTTTACGGGAGGAGAAGGATCGTCGCAGGAGGGAGAAGGAGCTGAAGGATGTGGAGGAAGCGACGAATCGGGTGTTATTGGGAACAGAAGGAGACCGTAAGGAGGTCGATGAGCTGCTGACTTCGTTAGGTGTGGCACCAGTGTCCGAGGTCCTCACCAGTATTTCTAGTGCAAGCTCGCTTACGCCTGAGCATAGTCATAATCACACGCCTGATACGTCACTGTTGCCCAACAGTTCGCCAAATAGGTCAGTATGAGACATACTTGGAAAAATTGAGGATCTCTGCTGGCGATTTGTTATGAAAATGGGGGTACAAGAAACGTTTAATTTAATTGTTAGATGTTAATTCAAGCGGTTACGGAGCCGCCAAGCGGAAAGTTCAAGTTCAACGCCCGACCTTTAATGCGTTCTCGACCTTCATGAAGGGAATTCCGTTTTTTGGGGGCACCAGGTGTCTTATATTTACTTGTTGTGTTGTCATTTTTTACCATTGTGTATTAGTGGCGCCTTGAAAAAAATTTAGTATAGTTCATTTTTTGAGGAGGCGGCAAATGGCCACTTTTGAAGCGAGCGGCACACTAGAGTTTGGCGTGGTTTTAAGTAGATTGAAAATGGTGTTTGTTTGTTTGCAGTCTTACAGCTATAAAAAAGCGCACCCCCACTCTCAGCGTAGTCGCCGTGCAGTCCACCAACATCCCGCCGAAAGAAATGGTACTTTACACAAAACAAACACAAACAACAACTTCTGGCCATGAAAGAGACGGTAAGTTTTAATAGAAATCGTTCCATAATGACGCACTAGCATTTAATTTTGGATTATTTTTGTTTGACCCGAATTCGTTCAGTTGAAATTTCCTTTTCATTTGTTTTATTTAGAGAGAACAGAAAGAATAAAATAAATGGGTAAAACGCAACTTTTGCATGACCTGCTCTAATAACACCACCGCAGTCGTTTTCTTCCTCTGTTAGAAAGAGAGAGTGAACGCTGACGATTTGGTCAGTGGAAGGAAACTTCCGTTTTCTTGATTTTGTCCTCGTGTTTGTTTTTGTCCGAGTTGTCTTAATTTGGCTGCACGCCTTCGTTTAATTTATAATCAATCGCTTCTTCGCTTCTTTCTTTTTTTTTAACCTTGTTTCCGCCTGGATTAAAGTGAATAAAAAACCCACCATCTTGCTTGTTGCTTGCAGATTATTTTGGATTTTCTTCGTGGAAAAAGTGTGAGTAACTAACACAGTAGCGTTTTTTCTTTCATTTTGATCAGGCATTAACCCCCTAATAGAATTTCATTCCTCATCATTTATTTTATTCTGGACCATTTTCAAAATTATTTTTTCGATCTTCGCGGAAACTTTGTTTCCTCGAGATGTTTACTTAGACATTGTGACATTGTTATATGCGTTGCTAACAAGGATCTTCTTCATCTTCTTCCCCACTTAAAGGCTACATGGAGGACTGGTGGAGGCCTCGAAAAGGTATGGTGCACGATATAATTGTCGATTAACTCACAATAACGCACTCTACTATCTACTATGCACATAGATTAACGATTTTAGTGTACAGTAGAGGGAAAAAGTCAAACATGTGCACCTACCCTATCTTCATGCTTCTTTTCAGAACGACGGAGTCGATTTTGCAAGTGAGTGGGTCGACTCCGGCGACTATAGAAAACGTACGGGGTGAGATTTTGCGTCCTCGCCTCGTACGTGCGGATGTAGGTTTCATTTTATTTTTGTTTTTAATTATTGTATAGTAAATTTGTTTTTATGACGGTCAGTTTAATATATTTTCTTCCTTTCCTTCCCAGCTCATGCAACCGATTACTACGGTAAGTTTATGATTTTATTTTGAATATTTGCTTATAGCATCCACACGTACACAAAACACGACCCTTTCCCATTCATTTTTGTCCATTTTAAATTATATATATATATATATATAGAAGAGGGTTTTTTTCTATCGAGGTATTTTTTTGTAAAGGGCACATGTTGAATTTTCTGGACTAACAGCGGCTTTTGCACTTCAGATGGGTCTTTCTTTGGAAGGACTCACCTGGCTTTACTAAACGATAACCAGTAACAAACTCACAAGCGACTAACAGCATGTCTAGATTTCGAATTTTGCCGAACACCCTGTAACTGTTAGTAGATTCGGATAAAGTTGCCAACTTTCGTAAGATATTAACAGTTACAAGAAATTGTTGTTAGTGCAGCCAAGTCATGGACAACCTTATTGTAATTCTAATAATTCTATTCCTACTGATTCATGTTTCTTTCCTCTTAAGACGAATACAATCTAAATCCGGGTTTAGAATGGGAGGACGAATTCACAGGTAGGTGGCTTATCCGACTCCCATCAAGATTAATCAATTAGTGCACTAATATTTGTGTTTCCATATTTATCATCCAGAGTAATCAAAAACGGCACCAAACATTTAAAAATTAGTCACTTTTAAACAACCAAATTTAAATGTTTGAGCCTGGGGCTTCGTGGCGCTTCTTTGACAGTGTAGTGTAGAAACTCACCCACTGACATTTATTTTTTCGTGTCAACTTTGTTATTAATAGCATGCTCATTCTCGATTTTAATCGACACGACTGGAATGAAATTCTTGGATTTTTTACGTTCATTCCATCCTACTTCCTCACCCTCCTTGCATCTGGCCGCATTTGCTTTTATTTGCGTCGCGCCTCTGTAAAATCAACATGCCAATTTTACGCAGATTATAAGAAATAGCTTGTCGCGAGCTACGCTCGCTCCGCTTCGCTCACACTCGCTTCAACACAAAATATTTCGAATTCGTTACATTTACTCTTTTCATATTGTTTTATACATCAAGAAGAATAAAGAAGCAAGACTATTAAATTCCATATAAATAAGGATTTTTTTTAATAATTTAACGAGCGCTGTGAGTTGCATATGTTACATTGTTCTTCGCATCTTGAATAGAAGAACTCGCTCCGCTTCGCTTCCGTCTGCTTAATTTGTTCAATCCGATTGTGCAGTCTTGTAAAAAAAGTCCGAAATATAATTGTCAATAAATATCGATTTGGCGAGCGCAGCGAGCTGTGTATAGAGTATATTTGTTTTGAGCAAAGAAAAAAAACAGCAGGTAGTGCAAATATTAAATGGAACTTGAATCGCGTGTAACGAAAAGGAATTTCAGCGAGCGTTTAAAATTCTTATATTGTATTTTAATGTTGTTGGATTGTCCTGTGAAAATTATCAAACCAAAGCTTTCTGAACCGCTTTTTTTTTTCAAACGAGTTTGTAAAATAATAAATTTTCTGGTACGTACTAGACTCCATTGTCGCGAGGTTCGTTTATTTGTTTATTTGATAACTAATTTTGCCTTCTTTAATTTTTTTATCGCACTATTAATGTTGAAAAGTGGAAAAATTGCAAAATCGAAAACTGGAACATTGAAAAATTGCAAATTGAAGAACTTAAAAATCAAAAAAAAAGTTAATAAATCGAAAAATTGGAAAGCAAAAAAGAGAGTCGAATCGAAAGATTAGAAAATCCAAATATTGTAAAATTGAAAAATTAGAGAATCGAAAATCTACATATGACACTAAAAGATCGAAAAATTGGGAAATTGAATTCATAAAAGTTTTAAAATCCAATAATTCGAAAATGGAAAAATTCTAAACTCGTAAAATTGAAAAAGTCAAACATTTTAAAAATTATAATTGTTATTATGTCTCACATATTTAAAACTATCTATTAGAAAAATTGCAGATCAAAAATTGAAGAAACAAAAATCTGAAAACTCTAAAATGAAAAAACGAAAAATTGAAAACCGGAAAATAAACATGAGAAATAAAAAAAAATGCAAAATTACAACACTGAAAAAGCGTGTAACTGTAAAATTATAACACTGAAAAATAAAAAATTGCAAAATTGAAAATCGAAAAATTGCAAAATTATAGACTTGAAAAATCAAAAACGCAGAAAATTGGAAATCGAAATTTTGAAATACTATAATATTAAAAAACAAAGAACTATAAAACTGAAACAATGAAATTCGGAAAATTGAAACAAAAAATTGAAAAATCAGATAGCTTTAAAAAAACATAGTTACTTTTTGATTTCTCAATTTTCTGATATTTAATTTTTACGATTTTTCAAATTTTCGATTGTTCACTTTTTCGATTTTTGAATTTTTCAAGTTTTGGTGTTTCTAAATATACGACTTTTCAATTTGTCGATTTTCTGTATCTATATTTTTCGAAATTCCAATTTTTTGATTTTTAAATTTCAACTTTTAAATGTCTTTATTTTTGAATTTTTCGATTTTTTGGATTTTCAATTTTAGGATTTTTCAATTTTGATTTTTTTTTTTCAATTACTCAGTTTTTCGATATTTCAGTTTTGGGATCTTTCAATTTCTCGGTTCTTCATTGCCCGTTTTTTTTACTTTCGATTTCTCGTTTTCTTTACGTTTTGATTTCTCAATTTTCCGATATTTAAGTGGTCAGGTTGGCAACCGATTTAAAATTTTGTTATGGCATACCTGACTGTCAAAGAGAATAGCAGCACGGTTGCCAATAATTCAGAACTGCCAACACAAAACTTTGTTTCGATCATTAATAATAGGTATTTAGTAAAAAACCAAATCGAAATATAAGTATCTAGAGAGAGAATCGTATATGAATACCGTGTAATTAAGAAAAAAATAAAGTCAAACATTAGGCTCCACCCATAACCCCCCCGATCTCAATTCTCAATTGTGATGAATTTGTCATTCGTTGTCAGATCGAAGGGCGGAGCTTAATTGCAAGATCCATATTTGTTTACAAGAATTTACCATTTTAAACATGTTTTAAGCTCCTTGTTCTGAAAAAACGACTACATATATTAAGAAAAATGGGAAAAATATAAACCCCGCCCACCCACCCTGTCTCAATTGTAATGATTTTGATGATGGGGTGGGTGGGTGGGGTTTATATTTTGCCATTTTTTTCTTAATGTACATAGTATTCTTTGAACAACACGATACTCAAAAACATGTTTTTAATTCCTTGTAAAGAACTAAGTATTTTGCATTTAAGCTCCTTCCCCTTGGTTTACGGCGAATAAAAAAAAATCGCCACAATTGAGATCGGGCGGGTGGGTGGGTTTACATTTTGCCTTTTTGTGTTAATTTGTGTAGACTTCTTTTCATACCATGAAACTTAAAATATGTTTAAAATGGTACATTTGTCTTAGGAAATATAGTAATATATAATAAGCTCTATCCCATAATTGCAAAATCCATATTTCCCTGAAAAAAAGTACCATTTTAATGATGTTGGTAAGTTTCTTGTTGGGAAAAGATGGCTATGTATATTAAGAAAAAAAGGCAAAATATACGCCCCACCCGCCCTCTCTCCATTCTGATGATTTTTTTTATTCGTCCTAAGCCGAGGGGCGGAGCTTAATTCTAAAATCCTTATTTTTGTACGAGAAATTACGATGTGAAATATGTTCTTAAGTAAGTACAAAGAAAACTAAATGCAAGGAAATATCGATTTTGCAATTAGGTTCCGCCCCATAAAGATGGCAATGCATGTTAAGAAATAAAGGCAAAATATAAGCCCCGCCCACCCGCCCTATCTCAATTGTGATGATTTTTGTATTTATCGTGAGCCAAGAGGGCGGAGCTTAATTGCAAAATCCTTATTTTTCTACAAAAATAAAAACATATTTTTGAGTATCGTGTTGTTCAAAAAATACTATGGGTATTAAGAAAAAAAATAAAGCCAAAGATTAGGCCCCACCCATACCTGCCCTGATCTAAATAGCAATGAAGTTTCCTTAGAAAAATGTACCATTTAAAATGTGTTCCAAGTGTCTAACAATTAAAAAAATCATCACAATTGAGATGGGGTGGGTGGGCGGGGTTTATATTTTGTCTTTATTTCTTAACATACATAGTATTCTTTGAACAACACGAAACTCAAAAAATGTTTTTAAATTCTTGTAAAGAAAAAGTATTTTGCAGTTAAGCTCCGCCCTCTTGGTTCACGGCGAATAAAAAAAAATCATCACAATTGAGATAGGGCGGGTGGGCGGGCTTATATTTTGCCGTTTTGTTTTAATATGTGTAGACGTCTTTTCATAACATGAAACTTAAAACGGAAAATTTGTATAACGAAATATCGATTTTGCAATTAGGCTCTGCCCCATAATTGCAAAATCCATATTTCCTTGCAAAAATGCACTGTTTTAACTGTTTTTCTAAGTTTCTTGTTGTGAAAAAATGGCTATGTATATTAAGAAAAGAAGGCAAAATATAAGCCCCGCCCACCCGCCCTATCTCAAATCTAATGATTTTTTTATTCGTCGTGAGTCGAGGGGCGGAGCTTAATTATAAAATCCTTATTTTCTTAGGAGAAATTACCATGTGAAATATGTTCTTAAGTAATCGTGTTATCCAAAGAAAACCAAAAGAGAAGCCCCACCCATCCGTCTCGATTTCAATCGTGCTGAATTTTTCATTCGTTGTCAGATCGAGGGGCGGAGCATCGATATTTCCCTATACAAATTTGCTATTTTAAATGTTTTAATTTTATTGTTGTGGAAAGATGACTGCATATGTTAAGAAAAAAAAATGGAAAACATACAAGAAATAAAAAACATGTTTTTGGGTATCGTGTTGTTCAAGGAACAGATGTATATATTAAGAAAAAAAAATAAAGCCAAAAATTAGGCCCCACCCATAACCGCCCCGATCTCATTCTCAATTGTGATGAATTTTCCATTCTTTGCCAGATCGAGGGGCGGGGCTTAATTGTAAGATCCATATTTGTCTACAAGAATTTACCACTCTAAAATCATGTTTTAAGTTTCTTGTTCTGAAAAGACGACTACGAATATTGAGAAAAAAGGCAAAATATAAGCCCCGCCCACCCTCCCTATCTCCATTGTGATGATTTTTTTATTCATCGTGAGCCAAGAGGGCGGAGCTTATATGCAAAATCCTTATTTCTCTACAAGAAATAAAAAACATGTTTTTGAGTATCATGTTATTTAAAGAATACTGTGTACGTATATTTAGAAAAAAATAAAGCCAAATTATTATTATATTTTTTCAGATAGAAAAGAAAATTGGACTGATATTTCTAGTATTTGGAAATGAAATATCAGGTTTTTAAATAATAAATAAGAATAAATACATTCGTTGGGAGACGTAGGGGTGGAGCCTAATTTTAAAATCCACATTTCCTTACAAAAATTTATCATTTTAAACCTGTTTTAAGTTTCTAAAAATAAAAAATCATCACAATTGGGATGGGGTGGGTGGGCGGGGTTTATATTTTGTCTTTTTTTTCTTAACATACATAGCATTCTTTAAACAATACGATACTTAAAATGTGTTTAATTTCTTGTAACGAAATAAGTATTTTGCAATTAAGCTCCGCCCTCTTGGCTCACGATGAATAAAAAAAATCATCACAATTGAGATGGGGCGGGTGGGCGGGCTGACATTTTGTCTTTTTGTTTAAATATGTGTAGACTTATTTACACAACTTGAAACAAACATATATATAACGCCAGAGCTTAAAATTCGATAATGTCAAAAACTAGTTAATTATTATTTTTTAATTGAAGGTTTATTATAATAATAGACGAGTTTGCAAAATAATAAATTTCCTGGTACGTACTGGACTCGATTGTCGCGAGCGCCGCTCGCTCCGCTTCGCCGAGGTTCGTTTATTTGATTTAATAAAAACGAAAATTGTTGTGGTTTCAAAAAAAATCCTTAAAATAAATAAAAAGACAAACAAATTAATATTTCAGTGCCTTTTTTAATTTTTTTATCCCAGAAGAGAACCGAGTGACCTGATTGTTAAAGTGGCACTTATGACAGCCAATCAACACGTTTGTTGCGCATGTCAAAAATGACGACTGAACTGACTAGCCAATAATTCAGGCCTGCCAACACAAAAATTTGTTTCGATCAGTAATACTCGGTATTTATAAGTGTCTTGAAATTTTAAAGAATTCTTAATTCAAAACGTTCTTGACACTTTCATGTTGATCCAGTGAGCGCAGCGAGCACGTCTTTCGCATTTCCAGTGTCTTGTCCCGTTGCATGTTGATCGTACGCCGAGGTCGCCTTAGTTTAGACGATATTTCGTGACGATGAATGTGGGCTTGAGCGTTTAGTATGAAAGGGATAGAGCGTTACCCTTATTCACCACAGTTTTGACGTATGACGATGGACAAGGTGAAGACGAGGAAGGCAGCCTTCCGCACCTCGGTGGTTTCGGGAGCAAACTGCCCCCGGGCATCCTCCCGCACGGCCTGCCCCAGGTCAAGGAAGTCCAGCCGGCGGTGACGGCGCTCGAGCAAGAGCAAGCCAAGCAGGAAGTCAAAGAGGGTAAGACCGCGCCGCCGCAATACCCCCCGCTCAAAATCAAATTGCAGTGCGGGAACTCAGCGAAGAAGAGAAGCAGATGATCATCCTCTCGGAGGACTTCCAGCACTTCGTCGACCGCGCCGGCCGCGTCATGGAGAGGGTGCTGTGCGAGAACGTGGACTGCTACACGGACTACAGCGGCGGTCTCGGAGAGGAGGGGCTGTGAGTAAAGCGCGTGCGTTTTTCGCGGGCTGACCGTGTGCTTGCAGGGACGAGAAGTCGCACCAGCGGATCTCGCTCAATCGGGGCTTCTACGACGAGCGGTGGTCGCGCAATCGCTGCGTCACCTCCATGGACTGGTGCCCGCAGTTCCCCGAACTCCTCCTCGCCTCGTACAACAACAACGAGGACTCCCCGAACGACCCCGACGGCGTGGTTTTGATTTGGAACACCAAATTCAAGAAATCCACGCCGGAGTATATTTTCCATTGCCAGAGCGCGGTGCTGTCGGCCAAGTTCGCGCGCTTCCACCCGAATCTCATCCTCGGCGGTACTTACTCGGGCCAGATCGTGCTCTGGGACAACAGGGTGCAGAAGCGGACGCCGATACAGAGGACGCCGCTGTCTGCGTCTGCGCATACGGTGAGCGAGCGTCGTTCGTACTATCATTGTTTAAGTATATTATAGTTGGACAACCTATACGGGACAATCACTTTCCCATGTAGAAAAGAATGAATATACATTTTACATCTCACTCGCTTCACTATGAAGTGGCGGTACCTTACGAAAGGGGGTAAAAATACGTATTTTTTTTTAACAGTAGTCAAATCATTAAATACATATTATCTTTGAAACTAAAATGCATTTTATCACAAATTATTATTTACCACCATTTAAATATATACGATTTAGACATCAAGAAATAAATTTAAAATAGCAAAAATTAAATGTAGCAAACTTAAAACAGCCTTAAATGCGTATTGTATGTACGTGGTTATCAATATGTAGGCATTTTAACGCACAGCAATAATCGTTCTTGATGAGTAATGACTGATGACTATTCTACTGTAACACATTAAATCCTCGAAATCGAAAATTTAAAACATTGGAAAATTCAAATATGGGAAAATTGTAAAATCGAGAAATCGAAACATAAAAAAATCAAAAAAACAAAAATTGGAAAATCTAAAATTTAAAAATCGAGAAATTGAAATATAGAAGAACTGAAAACTCAAAAAATCGAAAAAATTTAATAATTTAAAAATTAAAAAGTTAAAATTGAGAAATCGAAAACTGAAAAATCACAACATTGAACGAAATATCCAGAAGTTAGGAAATTAAAAAATTGAGAAACAGAAAAGTCAAAAAAGCAGAGTCGAAAAATCGCAAACTTAAAAAATCTAAAAATTGAAAAATCAAAAACCTGAATAATCGAAAAATTGAAGAACTGAAGAACTGAAAAATTGAAACTTTAGGAAGTGGAGAAATGGGAATATAAAAAAATAGATTAATTGAGAAATCCGAAAACTAGAAATTCAGAAACGCCAAATTTGAAAAATAAAAAAATATTAAGAACTGAAAAATCGAAAAATCTAATATTTAAAACATTGAAAAGTTAAAATATCCCAAAACTGAAAAATGGAGAAATCCAAACATCAAAAATTCAAGAAAATAAAAATTCGAAAATCTAAAATTTAAAAATCGAAAAACTGATAAATCAACGAATCGAGAAGTCGAAAATTTAAAAAATTGGAAAATTGAAATATCGGATAAATCAAAAATCGAAAGATCGAAAAATCGAGAAACCGAGGAGCAAAAAATCGAAAAACCAACAAATCGAAAAATCGAAACATTGGAAAATTCAAAAATTGAGACATCGAGAAATTGAAAAATCAAAAGACAAAAAAATCGAGGAGTCGAAAAATTGAGAAATTGAGAAACCGAAATAGGCCTACAAAATCGAAAAATCGAAAAAAAAATGGAAAAATTGATAAAGCGAGAGATTGAATAATCAAAACATCGAAACATCCGAATCTCAATAAATTGAGATCTCAAAAAATTTAAAAATTCGGAAATTTGAAGAGTTAAAATATAGAAGTGGAAACTCGAGAAACCGAAAAATCTAGAAATTTAAAAATTAAAATATGGAAAAGTCGAAAAATTGAGAAATTGAAATATAAAACAATCGGACAATTGAAAAATCTAAAGTATAAAAAACGAAAAACTGAAAATCCAAAAATAAAAAATAGAAAAATCTCAAGTCGAAAAATCAAAGAATCGAAGTATTGAAAAATATCAAAACTGAAAGAAATATCCAAAAATTGAGAAATCTAAAAACCAATAAAGCGAAGTCGAAAAATCGAAGAATTGAAGAACTGAAAAATCGAAACTTTGAGAAGTGGGAAAATCAAAAATAGATTAATTGAGAAATCAGAAAACTGAAAATTTAACGCAAAAATTTGAAAAATTGAAAAATTTAAATACTGAAGAACTGAAAAGTCAAAAATCGAGAAATCGAAAAATCTAAAATTTAAAACATTGAATAATTAAAATTTCGCAAAATTGAAGAATCGAGAAATCCAATTCAATTTGAAAAATTGAAAAATCGGGACATTGAAAAATTGGAAAATCCAGAAATTGAAAAGCTCAAAAGAAAAAAAATCGAAAAACCGAGAAATCCAAAAATCTAAACATCGAAAAATTTAAAAACTGAGACTTCGAGAAATCGAAAAATTGGAGGATCGAGAAATTGAGGAGTCGGAAGCCGAAAAGGAAAGTTAAAAATTGAAAAATTGAGAAATTGAACAATCAAAACCACGAAACATCTGAATTCGATAAATTGAGAAATTAAAAAATTTAATAATCGAAAAATTTTAAAAAAGGAAAACTGGAAAATCGAAAATTGAAATTAAAAAAATCGAAAAATTGAAATATAGAAGAATTGAAAACTTGAGATATCGAAAAACCTAGAATTTTAAAAAATCAAATATTAAAACATCGAAAAGTTGAAAGATTGAGAAATCGAAGCATTAAACAGTCGCAGAATTGAAAAATCTAAAGTTTACAATAAATTGAAAATCCAAAAAGTAAAACATCCATCAATTCAAAAATCGAAAAGTCGAAAAATTGAAATATTGAAAAATCTCATAACTGAAAGAAATATTCAAAAAATTGAGAAATTAAAAAATTGGAAAATTGAGAAATCGAAAATCTAAAACAGCAAAATCGAAAAATCGTAATCTTAAAAAATCGAAAAATTGAAGAATTGAAGGTGTGAAAAATCGAAACTTTAGGAAGTCCAGAAATGGGCAAATAAAAAAAACTTTAGAAATCGGCAAACTGAAAATTTAGAAACGTGAAAATTGAAAAATTGAAAAATCGAAATATTTAAAAACCGTAAAATTGAAGAGGACAAAAATTGAGAAATCGTATCATTGAAACATCGAAAGATTGAGAAATCGAAAAATAAAAAAATCGAGAAATAGAAAATTTGAAGAATGGAAGAATCGGAGAAACCCAATATTGAAAAATTGAGAGATTTAAAGTTGAAAAATCGAGAAATCGACAAGCCGAAAAATCTCAACAGCGTATTTATAAATCAGGACTATGCTACTTTTTAAAATTTAAATAACATTATAAATTGGAAAATGTTGATTTTTTTCCAAAAATCTTGATGTCTAAGGTGAAAACTCGACACGGATGCATAAACCGTAAACGGAGGATATTGTAAAATTGTAAAATTTGGAGATTGGGTCATTTCATTGGTCGTGACAAATTTTGGTGAGTGTTTTACCATTTGATAATTTTAGAAGTTACGGAAACTAGTTCAAGAAACAATTAGTTATCTCGTATTTTTGAAACAAAATCTACCAAAACGTCGGATAACAGCAATTGATTTTCATTGAAACAAACAGTCTTCAAAGCAACCTTTAACAACTCGATATTACAAACATGCCTCTTAAGTTCTTCATGCGTTTTTTTCTGTCTTGTAATTATTTGTAATGTCAACGCTGAAAGTTTATGTCATTCTGTTATTTACTTTGAATATATATTTTCATTTTGTGTTAATATTTTTGTAACACCACGAATCTAAATTTTACTTAAAATCTTGTTTTACTTTAATCTTGTAAAACTAAACAATTATACCAGTTTAAAAACCCTTGGTAAGTTTCTGTCAGTCTTCAGATATAGTCAAATAAAAATAGGCGTCAAATTCATTTAAATACAATTCTTTCGTATCACGTTACAACGCGTTGCTTCATATTTTTTATGTCAAGTATATTTTCATATTTTGTACATATATGTTTATACACATTACTGTTTACGGAACAATGTTAATTGTGGATTTACGGATAACTCCTCGTATAAGAGCAGAGTGAAGGGTGTTTGCCTTTGCTAATGTTTGATGGCGCCATCTGATGTAGAGTAAAATAAATCTAATACGTTGGCTCACTGTAGTGAAAATGCGCATTGACGAAAAATTTGTCCCACGCCCCCTGGATTTCTTGTCCTAAAGCTCACTATTTAGGCGAAGTAAAATTTGTATTAGGTTGTCCAACTAAAATCAGGGCCGACTAGTATAAAGATTATGGCCTGTTCAAGAGGTACCATAATATACTTAAACAATGGTACTATCGTAAATTCTCTTCATTGTGGTTTCAGCATCCGGTGTACTGTTTGAGCGTGGTGGGCACCCAGAACGCGCACAACTTGATCAGCATCTCGACGGACGGACGACTGTGCTCGTGGTCGCTCGATATGTTGAGCCAACCGCAGGAGACGTTAGATTTACATAGGATGCAATCGAAACCCGTGGCTGTGACCTGTTTGGATTTTCCACATTCCGATGTTAATAATTTCGTTGTTGGTAGTGAAGAGGGCGCTGCGTACTCGGCGTGTAGGCACGGGGCGAAGGCGGGAATCACCGACACGTACGACGGCCACCAGGGGCCGGTGATGGGGATCAGCGTGAACGCGGTACAAGGGGGAATCGACTTCTCTCACATGTTCGTGACGTCGTCGATGGACTGGACCATCAAATTGTGGAGTCTGAAGGTGAAAAACACCGACTTGACGCTTTTTTTTTCAATTTTTAATTGTGTGGTTTAGGACTCAAAGCCAATATACTCGTTCGAGGATAATGGCGACTACGTGTTGGACGTGAAGTGGTCCCCCGCCCATCCGGCTCTTTTCGCCGCCGTGGATTGTAGTGGAAAATTGGATTTGTGGAATTTGAACCAGGATACGGAAGTCCCAGCGGCGAGCATCACGGTGGAGGGGAACCCGGCCTTGAGTAAGGTTTCCTGGACCCCATCTGGGTTGCACGTCACCGTGGGTGACAACCAAGGGAAGATCTGGGTGTATGACGTAGCCGAGAATTTCGCCCATCCAAGACACGACGAGTGGAACAAGTTCTTGCACACCACTCAAGAGTTGCGAAACAACCAAGTCGACGAAGAACTAGAGAAATTAAATTATTCAGTCTCCAATACTCCTCTGTCTAGTATGAGTTCCATTAGTAGTACTCCTTTACGATAATTCTATAGTAGCGAATTAATTTATTTCAATTGTTAATCAGCGATTTTATATCATTTGCAGATACGGATTGGGGCGATGGAGATTTTTGTTGAGCTGGTTTTATTTTCGGCCATTTTATATATGTGCTTCGAAGTCATACCAGTGTTTAATTAAGTACTATCAATTGGCATGCTTAACATTTTAATTTTGCATGTACATAGCTAACTTATTTGTTTTTTTTTAATTATTATTAACAAATTAGAATTTTTTTACATTGTTATTTTGTACCATATGTGCCGTTGTAATACTTATTTCATTAAACTGCATTTAAAACAGGCTTCGATTATTAAAAACCGACAAAGGGGCGTGTCAATGTAGTAACCAATCGCGGTGCAGAGAACGAGCGGTCCGTTCAAAACGAACCAATGCAAAAACGGAGTTTTGGCGCGAATAACTTAATAAACGTCACATGTTTATTCTTTGTGGAAAACTATTATAATAAAGTTCTGAAATGTACGAAAGTCTTTTTTTTCAATCAAAAATATACTCAATCTTCTGCAAATAAAGACGTCACGTAATACTCAACATACATTTGTTTGTCGTCAGAATTAATAACCAGCTGCAGCCCTAACAAGCCAGTTTCCCCTGTAAAAATGGCAACTTTGCTGGCGTAATTCATAACTTTTAAAATCTGTCGTACATTGGAAAAGGCGTACTTCCACAGACACTTTTCTTTACACTGAAAAATGGTGATGGAGTCTGAATGTCGTGGAATGTTCACCTTGGACTCCCCCTTCAAACACAAACCTCAGCAATTAAATCTAGTCAAAAATGGGGTAAAATTCTTACAGCAATCCCCGTCGTCGTCAGAATAAAATGAGGCGGCTCTGGATTTATCTCAATACTGAGCTCCTCAGCTGCATTATCCAGTCTTTGCAAAACCTCAGTTAAAATACTCGCGTTAACCACGACTTTATTCAAGTTACACTCTTCCGCCAAACTCACGTCCGGGCTGTCATCCACATTCATTGTTTTAATCTCACAGTCAACTGTAATATTTTCCTCGCTGTGTTTAATTCTGAAATAAAAAAAACGAATTACGTGACACTTTATTTTTGCCACCTACATAAGACAAAGCGGATCTCCAATACTTTTGTAGGACAACTTCACGCTCGGATTCCCGTCATCCCCAAAAATGTTTAAACACTCAGTCAACACTTTCATGCTTATTTTAAACACAATGTCTTGATTTTCCTCGATCCGGTAGTGCGAGAATATGCTACGAGGCACGTAGGCCGAGATTTCCACGCTCTTCATTTCTTCAAGGGTGAACTTTAGCCCCTCTTCAGTGGGGCGCAGAATTACATACTGAAAGCATAAAAGTGACCGCAAGTTTAAAAAAGTGGTTTCAACTCACGTCTTTGAGCGAAATCGAACGCAGGACGTTGTGGACAGTGCGAAAATCGCTAATTTCAGCCGAAAAAAGCATCGAGAATGAGAATTCAAATTTTCGAGGTTATGTTTCTGGTGGTAGCATTGACAGTTGGATTAAAAATAAAATCACTATCAAGTTTGAGGTTATGTCTATTCTTTTTTATTTAATTTGTTTTTGTTGCAATTTTTTTAACATAATTCTACCTAAAATATTATAAATATGAGAGGTCTTTCGTTGCAAGTAAGTACGTTTCTTGTGTGAATTTCATTTATTAACGTGATATTTGTAGCGCAAATTAAAATCCCTATTTTATGTCACTCTGACTGGAACAGGGGCTTACGCTTTCATCAGTGTGTACAAAAACGACGAAAAATTTTACAAAAACGTGCTGATGCCTGCTGTGCATGTACTGGAACCGGAGGACTCGCACAAGTTGGGTATAATTATTAGCAAGTACCGGCTCATCCCTAGACCCAATTATACGGATCCGGAGGCACTGGTAATACACAAGTCTCCACTACTCACTAAAGTGCCAATTTGCGCTTTCAGAAAACCACTCTCTTTGGCAAAGTATTTCCAAACCCGATTGGGATTGCAGCCGGTTTTGACAAACACGCGGAGGCAGTTTTGGGGTTGAGGGACATCGGTTTTGGCTTCATTGAAGTGGGGTCGGTCACCCCAAAGCCCCAACCCGGCAACTCCAAACCTCGAGTATTTCGCCTTCCTGAAGATCAGGCCGTAATCAACCGATATGGCTTTAACAGTGAAGGCCATCAAGTTGTTTACGAAAGACTAAACCACATTAAGATTAATGAGAGCTGTGATAGAATAGTTGGGGTTAATTTGGGGAAAAACAAGACTTCGGAGGACCCCGTTGGTGACTACGTCGTGGGTATTAAAAAATTGGGGCCTGTGGCGGATTACCTCGTCATCAATGTGAGTAGTCCGAACACGCCTGGATTGCGCGCTATGCAAAGCAAAGACGTTTTGAAAAAACTTTTGAAAAGTGCGGTGGAAACAAGGGATAGTTTGCCCCAGGATTCCAAGCCACCGTTGTTGTTGAAATTGGCGCCGGATTTGAGTAGTGAGGAGCTGCGGGATGTGGTGGACGTTATAAAACGGAAGGACACGAAAGTGGATGGGTTGATTATTTGTAATACGACTGTGGGGAGACCGGAGTTTTTGGTCAATAGTAGGGTGAGGGATGAAGTTGGGGGGCTGAGTGGCAAGCCGTTGAAGGGTTCTTCCACTAGGATGATCCAGGATGTTTATAGGTTAACCAAAGGAAAAATTCCAATTATAGGTTTGTTGGATGATTTAAGTTTGCGCGTTGTCATAATCAGATTTGTGTAGGTGTTGGGGGTGTTTTCACTGGAGAAGACGCCTACGAAAAAATCAAGGCTGGGGCTAGTCTTGTGCAAATATACACGAGTCTGGTGTACGAAGGGCCGCCGATTGTTACGAAAATTAAGAAAGAATTAACGCAACTATTAGCAGCTGATGGATACAGAAACATTTCTGAGGCAGTTGGGGCTGATTTAAAATAATTTTGTACAATTTTTGTTACATTGTTTAAGGTTATGTTTTTTCTATAAACGAATTTGATTTTTGACATTGACGTTTGAGCCACTCCTACCAACATAACTTTTTTAATTTATGAATCTTTTATTTCAAATTAAAAAATACTCAAGAATTGCTCACGAGGGCCTCGTAGTTCGACACAGTTACTTCTTTGCCGTGAGCGGGAATCAAACAAACCCCAAACTTCGGATGTATCTGAAAACCATACCTATATTTAAACGGAAAAAATAAAAAAGAAAAATTTACTTTTCCGATGATCCAAGACCCTGCATGGAACGCCCGCCCCACGTACAGAGGGGCGCCGTCTTTATTGTGCCCCGCTTGTACCGCCCCTGGCGGCACATGTCCTCCATGGCTAGGTACCCAGTGCAAGTTAGTCGCACATAGCACCTATGTACATGCTAATAAAGTCCATGAATCATTAAAATCATGACTCACTTGATAGCTGTCGACGCGATGCTCCTTGCCATAGTTGGCGACATAGGCGGCTCGTTTTGCCGGGACAACGTGAACAGGGGCCAACTCGCCGTTAAAGTGGGCCCGGCCGATGAAGTTGGCGTGGCCTTGGGCGTCCACACCCATTTGTATGGCCATGGGCGGGACTTTCCCGTCGGTGACGCAGGAGTTGACCCAGTCAAATGAGGCTAAAAAGTGAAAAAACAACGTAATTTTTTTATTTTTGAAAAGTTTAATTTACTTACAATGGTGAGCCATGGTGAGGAAATTGCAATACAGGAAAAATTGGATGTGTGTGGGTTTTATGATATCTTATCACCCTCACTAATAAAAAGTCGGCTGATACCTGATATTATTATTATACAGAGAGTACCAAGTTCGATTTGGCACAATTTTAAAAAGTTCTCATGATATAATCGACGATCGTGTGTGATAAATCACTCTGTGTACGGATTATCAGATATGATTATGATTACACACGCGTTATTCGGAGTAAACAAAGTCTAGGCATGAAATAAGGGGAAAAACTCGTATTTTGTAAGAAATCACAAATTTATTGTTAAAAAACCAAAATTACGACATGTCAAAAATTAAAACTTCGTAAGTCGAGCTGTGCATTTCTTTGCCTTGGTACAGAAAAAAACAAGCTTGGAAGTTCGGGTGTACCTAAAACGACACAATCAATCAATATTATAATAAAATAGATAAATTAAATTAATTACTTTCCCGATAATGCAGCTTCCCTCATGATACACTCTACCCACATACAGGGGTGCTCCATCCCTCCTGTGTCCCGCTTGCACCGCCCCTGGAGGCACTTGACCACCCGAACTGGGTACCCATTTAAAAAAATTCGTGCACAAAATCTACGCATTCATTACAAGTATTACTATATATATTACAAAGAAGCAATAATTACGTGATAATTATCTACGGAGTGTTCTTTTCCATAGTGGGGTACATAGGCGGCTCGTGCCGCCACATGCGCCGGGGTCAGCTCGTTCCCAAAATGTGCCCGTCCTACGTAAACGTCATTACCATGGGCGTCCACGCACATGTGTATGGCCATAGGGGGCACAACGTTGTTCGTGGACGTAGCGACCCATTCATAACCTTTACTAGTACATAGATGTGTTTTTGTTTCTTTTGTAGAAGTGTATTGTGTTTTAGTGTGTCTTAGCTCGTCTTCTAGATCATGGATGCGTTTGTCTTGAATGGACAAAGAGTGCTGGAGCTCGGATACCAATTCTTGCAGGTTTTGGGTGTCATTCAAGTGGGGGTATAATGATGTGTAGGGTGGAGGGGAGTCGCCTTCTGGAAATGGGATGCACATTAATGATTATTTTTGGATAAAATTTACCTGCCATTGTTTGAGTTCCACACTTGTTTTCACAAGATCGCGGTTTAATCTTATCTAAATGTTATCAACAACAGGTTCCCATTAAAAAAATATTTGTTACTATTTATACGTTGTAAACAAAAATTGAAGGTCAAACATGTCAAATTCCAGACGCTCAAATAAAATTCGTTAATCTTAGGTAATAATTTATTAACACATACTAATTTACTCATAAACATAAATACAAAATACGTAAAATTATTTACTCAAGTTTTTCTTCGCTTTTTTGTTTTTCGTCGAACTATCAAACTTGAGCACGTTCGCTAAATCATAAATAAAATCGTTCTGTACAGTTTTTACACTTCTGGTTCTATTCCTAATCGGTCTACTATTAACCAATGAAGGCCCGGCTTTCGCCTCCTTTTTCTTTTCGTTCGTTTCTTTCCTTTCGTCATCCGATAGGAGAACAGTATCCGAACACGAACCATTTTCTGTGATGTCGGGCATTTCGTCGTCCTCCAACACTATCGTCTCCGACGTTTCGACCCCGTTGGTCTCCACCTTCTCCTTCACGGGCTCCAACAGCGGCATTTTCGAAATCGTCACATCCTCAACATCCTCATTTTCGCTGAAGTGTTTAAAATCGTGCGACGTGCACAGGACTTTCCACTTCGGTATTGGCAACACTGTACTCTCTATTAAATTACTGGGAGTACTGTGGCGGCTGTACGCATGCGTGGTGCAGTCGTACTTATGGAACGACATAAAACTGCATTTACTGCACTGGAACCGGAACCACGAGAAATGTAAAGACATGTGACGCAAAAGCATGTACAAAGACATGAAAGTGATCCCACACGGGCTACATTTTAGGTCGGTCCTGTCCACATACGTCATAATCTGTGCTAAGAAACTCAAATCCTCCTCGTCGTTGACGTACTCTTTAAACTCGTCCCACACTTCGACGTTTCGGTCGTACTGCAACATCTTCCGTTTGTGTTTATCAAGGTCAAAGTCGTTCGAATCGTCCGAAATCGTAAAAATTTCGATCTCCGGAAGCTGAGGCAGCTCGTTGAGGATCGACCCCGTATCGTTCTCGCTGTGTCTGGTTATAGTCACGTCTGCGTCTAACGATTGCGTGATGGCCACTTCTTTCACTTCGTCTTTCTTCGGTTCTTCTCGTTCTTCTTTCGCAGTTTCGTCCTTGTCTGGTTTGTCTTCTTTCGGCGCAGTTGGCATTATCACCGGCACGCTCTGTTTCCTCCGCGCCGCCCCTTTCAACTTAACTTCGCTCTCTTCAACCTTCTCTTTCTTCTCTTTCGCACTTTTCACGTTCTTGATGCTGTTGCATACAGCGATTCGTTTCACACACATCTGGGAGTGCGAATGCAAGGCTGCTTTGCGCTCGAATCGTTTACCACATCCGCCACACATCTGGAAGTCTTTGTCGCCTTCGAAGTTGTTCATCCACTGGTTCTCCTCGTTTTCGTCTTCTACGTTTAGCTTTCGCTTCTTTTTCTCGGGTTCTTGGTCCTTGCGGATTCTACTGGTGTGTACTAAGTAGCGCATGCGCCGGACTTGGCTTGTTGTGCGTCGGTGGACTTTGTACAGGTGTCGGTAGACGCTCCAGGCGTTCGAGAACGTCTCCTTACAGTCGGGGCAAGGATAGACTGTACACGTTTTGTTATGTTTGTATTTGATATGGTGGGTTAAGGTTTTTTCGGTTGAGAATGTAAAGTTGCACTCGGTGCAGACGAGGTCAGGTTTAGGAATGTTGGGGTCTGAGAGTTTGTTTGTTTCGAAGGTGCAGACTTTGCCGTTGGAACCTAGAGCGGCTTGGTTGTTGTCGAGAATGCCGTGGATTTCCATTATCTGAAAAAAAAAAAAAAAGAATACTATGTATATTAAGACAAAAATAAAGCCACAGATTAGGCCCCACCTCTTCACGCCCCGATCTGAATTTTCAATGGGGACGAATTTTTCATTCGTTGTCAGATCGAGAGGCGGGGCTTAATTGCAAGATCCATATTTGTTTACAAAAATGCAACATGTTTAAGTTTCTTGTTCTGAAAAAACGACTACGTATATTAAGAAAAAAGGAAAAATATAAGCCCCGCCCACCCACCCGATCTCAATTCTGATGATTTTTTAATTGCAAAATCCTTATTATTTCTCTAGAAGAAGTTACCATGTAAGACGTGTTTTTGAATATCGTATTATACTATGTACGTACATATATTAAGAAAACATTAAAGCCAAAGATTAAGCCCCGCCTATACCTGCTCTGATCTAAATAGTAATGAAGTTTTCATTCGTTGGCGGACCTAGGGGCGGAGCCTAATTGCAAAATCCTTATTTCCTTTCAAAAATTTACTACCATTTTGAACGTGTTTTAACTTTCTAAGAATCATCACAATTGAGATGGGGTGGGTGGGCGGGGCCTTATTTCTTAACATACATAGTATTCTTTGAACAACACGACACTCAAAAAAGTTTTTAATTTCTTCTAAAGAAATAAGTATTTTGCAGTTAAGCTCCACCCCCTTGGCTCACGACGAATAAAAAAAATCCATCACAATTGAGATAGGGCGGGTGGGCGGGGCTTATATTTTGCCTTTTTTTTTCTTAACATACATAGCCATCTTTTCACAACAAGAAACTTAGAACATGGTTAAAATCGTACATTTTTGCAAGGAAATATCGATTTTGCAATTAGGTTCCGCCCCATAAAGATGGCAATGCATGTTAAGAAATAAAGGCAAAATATAAGCCCCGCCCACCCGCCCTATCTCAATTGTGATGATTTTTTTATTTATCGTGAGCCAAGAGGGCGGAGCTTAATTGCAAGATCCATATTTGTTTACATGAATTTACCATTTTAAACATGTTTTAAGTTCCTTGTTCTGAAAAAACGAATACGTATGTTAAGAAAAACGGGAAAAATATAAACCCCGCCCACCCACCCTATCTCAATTGTAATGATTTTGGCGATGGGGTGGGTGGGTGGGGTTTATATTTTGCCATTTTTTTTTTTAATGTACATAGTGTTCTTTGAACAACACGATACTCATAAACATGTTTTTAATTCCTTGTAAATAACTAAGTATTTTGCATTTAAGCTCCTCCCCCTTGGTTTACGGCGAATAAAAAAAATCGCCACAATTGAGACTGGGCAGGTGGGTGGGCTTACATTTTGCCTTTTTGTGTTAATTTGTGTAGACTTCTTTTCATACCATGAAACTTAAAATATGTTTAAAATGGTACATTTGTCTTAGGAAATATAGTAATATATAATAGGCTCTGTCCCATAATTGCAAAATCCATATTTCCCTGAAAAAAAGTACGATTTTAATGATGTTGTAAGTTTTTTGTTGGGAAAAGATGGCTATGTATATTAAGAAAAAAAGGCAAAATATAAGCACCACCCACCCGCCCTATCTCAATTGTGATGTTTTTTTTTATTCGTCCTAAGCCGAGGGGCGGAGCTTAATTCTAAAATCCTTATTTTTGTACGAGAAATTACGATGTGAAATATGTTCTTAAGTAAGTACAAAGAAAACTAAATGCAAGGAAATATCGATTTTGCAATTAGGTTCCGCCCCATAAAGATGGCAATGCATGTTAAGAAATAAAGGCAAAATATAAGCCCCGCCCACCCGCCCTATCTCAATTGTGATGATTTTTGTATTTATCGTGAGTCAAGAGGGCGGAGCTTAATTGTAAAATCCTTATTTCTTTACAAAAATAAAAACATATTTTTGAGTATCGTGTTGTTCAAAAAATACTATGGGTATTAAGAAAAAAAATAAAGCCAAAGATTACGCCCCACTCATACCTGCCCTGATCTAAACAGTAATGAAGTTTCCTTAGAAAAATTTACCATTTAAAATGTGTTTCAAGTGTCTAACAATTAAAAAAATCATCACAATTGAGGTGGGGTGGGTGGGCGGGGTTTATATTTTGTCTTTATTTCTTAACATACATAGTATTATTTGAACAACACGACACTCAAAAAATGTTTTTAATTTCTTGTAAAGAAATTAAGTATTTTGCAGTTAAGCTCCGCCCTCTTAGTTCACGGCGAATAAAAAAAAAATCATCACAATTGAGATAGGGCGGGTGGGCGGGCTTTTATTTTGCCTTTTTGTTTTAATATGTGTAGACGTCTTTTCGTAACATGAAACTTAAAACGGAAAATTTGTATAACGAAATATCGATTTTGCAATTAGGCTCTGCCCCATAATTGCAAAATCCATATTTCCTTGCAAAAATGTACTGTTTTAACTGTTTTTCTAAGTTTCTTGTTGTGAAAAAATGGCTATGTATATTAAGAAAAGAAGGCAAAATATAAGCCCCGCCCACCCGCCCTATCTCAAATCTAATGATTTTTTTATTCGTCGTGAGTCGAGGGGCGGAGCTTAATTATAAAATCCTTATTTTCTTAGGTGAAATTACCATGTGAAATATGTTCTTAAGTAATCGTGTTATACAAAGGAAACCAAAAGAGAAGCTCCACCCATTCGTCTCGATCTCAATCGTGATGAATTTTTTATTCGTTCTCAGACCGCGGGGCGGAGCATAATTGCAAAATCGATATTTCCCTATACAAATTTGCCATTTTAAACATGCTTTAAGTTTCTTGTTGTGAAAAGATGACTGCACATGTTAAGAAAACAAGGCAAAATGTAAGCCCCGCCCACCCGCCCTATCTCAGTTGTGATGATTTTTTTATTCATCGTGAGCCAAGGGGGCGGAGCTTAACTGCAAATCCTTATTTTTCTATAAAAAATAAAAAACATTTTTGAGTATCGTGTTGTCCAAAGAATACTATGTATATTAAGAAAAAAACAAGCCAAAGATTACCACACCCATATCCATCCTAACCTCAATTGCGATGAAGTTTTCATTCGTTGTCAGACCGAGGGGCGGAGCCTAATTGCAAACGTCAGCGACAAATTTATAAATCAACCTCTAACCTCAGTAATGGAACTTTCATAGTTTTACATTTGTAACAGAGGCAGCGACAGCGTTTTTTTTGTTTTTAAAAGAACATAATACCAATTATGATATTTTCCAAAATTGTCAAATCTAAAATAGAAAACCATAAAATAAGTCAGTCCATTGACTGATAGGAGGAAAAACTGTCAACATGGAAAAAAAACTGTCAAACCAGTTATTAAATTTAAACTCGGACGGTTTTCCAAAAGTTTGACAACAATTTTTAAAAATCATTAAAAACATTGACAAAATAAATCCAATGTCCACCCCACAACAAACGTATTTTGCTAAATCAAGTCACGTGGTAAACAGAAAATTTTCAAAATAGTCAAATCTGACAAGTAGACATGACAACGAGAAAATTGACAATTTAGCAATTCTTTTGGGCTTGTCTACGCTGTTACAACAACACAAAAACAGTCAACGCTACACTGTAAAAACCTTAACCTTGACTCACCTCCCCTTTCATCAACCCCTCCTTACTGCCCTCCAACTTCTCGCAGTCCTTGACTGAAGTCTGAAAAACCGCAGCCCTCGAGCTTTCAATTTTCTGCAAAACTAGATTATTCTCCTCTGACACAAAAATGACGTCATCGTCGGAATTCTCCGCTTTCGCTGTCAAATCTTCATTGAGGGTATCTTTCGCCAGAAGCTTGACTTTCTGTTTCTTGAGCAACTTGTCAATAATGGGTAGAATGGCCTTCTTGTTGTTTTTACCCCCATCATTGCTATCGGTTTTGTCATTGTCAATTTTCTCCACGGGCGTGGTGGAGCGCGATTCTTCGTCTGACGTCTTGAAGTCGTCGTTGATGACAAAACCTCCCTACAAAGACAAGCGTGGTTACAAATACAGGTAATTCATGTTGTGGAAGGAAGTACTTCGTTGTGGTCACCCCCATGCCACTTGTTTCGACAGTAGTTCCTTTTGTGGAGAATGAAATTGGCGAGGCTGCGGAAAATGGTCTTGCAGAAGCGACACTCGTAGAGGACGTCGCACTCAAAAGTAATGTACTCTTGTACCTGAAAGAGCCCCCTGTTAACATTGGGTGTTTAGTGGAGGAGTTAAGTACCTCAGGTGTGGCTGTTTGGAATAAAGCCACTAGTTGCTTTAACCCGTAGACGCTGGTGGCGATGGGCTTGCGTAAGTGGGACAAATCCGGCCCCTTTTCTGCGTCTTTGGGGGCTTTGCCCAGGGAAGTCTCCACCACTTTCTTCGGCTTAGGCTTCCACTTTCCAGTCATTGTGCAAACTGGAGAAAAAAACGAACTATTTTAAAGGGGGTTATGAGGGGTGTGGGGGCGCAAAACACCCTCGGTGGGGACAACGGGGGTGTGTTTGTCAAACATGCAACCCTTTCAAGGTGGACGAAAATCGTCAGTCGGGGGGTTGTTTCACGCGGAAAGCGCCCCCCAGTGGGTGTACAAGGTGGCAGCGGGTTGTTTTTGGGGCTACATACGTGGTAAAAGTAGTTTGAATGCTAATCTAAAGGTCAATGAAGTGACAATTTCTCCCTTGATTTTACACACTTCCGGGTTTGTTTCAAAGGTAAGTTTGGGTGTTATCAATAAAAGAAGACTTTGTTTTCTCGTTTCTGTTACTTACGTGGATTTTTGGACGGGTTTTTACTTTAAAAAATCCTTTTACACACCTTGTATGGATCTCGTACCATGCCAATTCTTCGATCACCAACAGATGGCGATGAGGTCGACCTAACCTCAAAGTTGTCGGCGGATTTTTTCATTGATTTTATCACAAAGATAAGATAATTAAGGGAAAATGTGACTGTTGCAACTTTCACTGTTTGAATATCTGTATAAACTTTAAAACTGAAGTGCACTTTTTACGTGCGACGCCAGTGGCGTATCAGACACGTGGTTTCAGGGGGCACAGATAAGCAATTTTACGAGTGATTTGAAACTCTTTATTTAAATCACTGTTACAGAATTAAATTTAAACAATCTCAACACTTAAAAACCTAATCGGCGCAAACACGACAGTGTACTTGCCAAAACATGATAAAATCCTAAACTAAAATGTGTATTTGAAAACATATTCATTTTTACAAAATGAATCAAATATAAAATTAAATATTTTATTTTCTATGAATACAAAAGCTCCAACTCTGCCGAATACTGGAAAATTTAACTTTGCAGACCTAACCTATAATGTACATGTTTAAAGTCAACTTAATCGTAATGCCAATTAAATTTTCGCAGTAATAACATAAGAGACTTGAACGTATCACAAACATTAGGAAAAATCTATACACTAAAACAAAATATAAACTTCTGTAAAATCCCACGACTTATCTCCCCTGAAAATTGTACCGCCTCCCTTTCGGTTCGTCCTTGAGCTCCGACACGAACTTGCATATCTTCAAGGCGGGCCCTAACTTCAGATCCATGTGTTTCATCATCATTTCGAGATTGAGAAGCAGCAGCGCCTTACCGTCAATCTCCTGAAACACTCAATGTTACAAACCGCCGCCACCCCCACTTAGAACATACATGTGTCCTAAAAAGGTCCGCGTACGCCCCCAGACTCGCATCCTTCGACTCTATAAACTGTATAACCTCTTCGATCCCCCATTCGTTCGTAGGGATTTTATTCCGACTAGCTAAGGGAGATTCCGAAAGGTGCGAAGTATCACCAGGTGTCGTCGACGTCGCTGCTTCTTGCTCCGGAGGCGGCTTCCGCTTCGCAGGGGTCGGCTTTAGATCACAGTTCGAACAATCTTTTTTAACGCTATCCAAAGCTAAAAAAAAAAAATTGTAGGACGATTCGTGACGAAAAAATAATTTATTACAAAACATGTTATGGCAACACTCCAGCGCCGACGCCAACGCTGTGAAGACGTTTTCCAAGTCAGCGGACTTCGCAAGCTGAGGTAATTTGATTGTGTAGGTGGTACCCATATGCGTTATCACCATTTCCTCGCCCCGGAGGGCCCCCAAACGGGCCAAAATCGTCTCCGATTTGTGCGAGGCGCTCAATATCTTGCTTATTAGACTCTTCGCGAGCGACTTTGGGGTCGTTTCTTCGATCGTGGGTGGCAGTTGTGTCGAGTCGATAAGGGGGCCACCGGAGCAGCTCTTCCTGATCTAAATCAACCAGAAAATAATTAAAAGAAGCGCAAGTATGAAAACACAGTTACTTGTATCGTGATGGGTGGCGGCGGCGGCGCCGAGGTGTCCGCCTCCGGCGCTTCCGCCACCGTGGACGTGATGGGGGGCGGGGGCACCGGCGCCGTCAGCGCCGGCTTGAATTTGTACCGACTGTGGCCGGTGTTGTTTTTTTGGCCCGGGGGCTGCATCGGGTGCCCCGATTTGGCGCACCACCCCACGGGGAAGATGTCCCTGCTGTCGTACTTGCACCAGTAGTCGAAGGCGCCTCGCCAGCCGTCGAACGTGACGTGGATTTGGTCGTTCTTGACCGCCCCCACGGTCGCGCAGCAGATCAGCTGGGGGTTCTTTTTGTCGACGGCCTCGAGCTTCTGGCCCACTTGGAACAAGTTGCACTTGGGGCTCGGGGGCTCCTTCTGGAAGATGTTGGCCGGCGCCATGAGGGCGCCGTTCAGGGTCTTGGTGAGGAACATCGGCCAGGAGCTGGCGTTCATCCGAAAACCTGAGAAAAAAATTCTTTTTAGTAGATACTTTTTAACACCGAGTGATCATTAGTCATGAAGGAAATTTTTGTGTTGGCAATTCTGAATGATTGGCAACAATGATAGTATTTTTTTTATGATCCGTATAAATTAAAAAGGATGTGTGGAAAAAATTGAAAATGGGAGTAAAAATGCCAGAAAATAAAAAATAAGAGAGACATGATTAAAAAAGACGACAAAAAATGCGACCAAAAACGACGAAAAATTGCGAAAAAAATCGCAAAAAACCGATTACAAGATTACGTCAAAAAAGGCAAAAAAAGTGATAAAAAAGACATAAGACAAAAAAAAGATGAAAAATGCGATAAAAAATATCACAAAAATGTGCCGAAAAAAAAAGAAAAAGTTAAAAAAGTGACAAAAAATGGTGGAGAATTTAAGGATTATGGTGTTTTGATGATTTGAGGATTGTGGTTTTCTGGGGATTTTGATGCTCTGAGGATTTGGGGATTATGGTTTTCTGAGGATTTGAGGATTCTGATTTTCTGGGAATTTGAGGATTCTGGTGTTCTAAGGATTTTAGGATTATGGTGTTCTGAGGATTTGGGGATTTTGGCGTTCTGAGGAATTGAGGATTTTGGTGTTCTGGAGGATTTGAGGATTGTGGTTTTCTGAGGATTTTGATGTTCTGTGATTCAAGGGGTGGGGGAGTTGGCAAGAAATGCAATTAAAAAAAAGGAGTCAAAAAAAACAAACAAAAAAAGCGACAAAAAAGACAACCTAAAAAAAGGGAACAAAAAAAGGGCTATAAAAAAAAGAGAACAAAAGATGTGTCCAAAAATGCGATTAAAAATAAGGGAATTGAAAAAGCAACAAAAACGAAAAAAATATGCGAAAAATGCAAAAAAAAAAGAGATAAAAAGAGAGGGCAAAATACGCGCAAAATTGAGACTGAAAAAGGGGTCAAAAAGGGCCAAAAAAAAAACAAACAAAACCGTTACGACAAAAAAGAAGTAAAAAAAGTGGCAAAAAATACATCTAAAAAAAAAGCGGAAAAAAAATGTGATAAAAAAAGACATAAGACAAAAAAAGATGAAAAATGCGATAAAAAATATCACAAAAATGTGCCGAAAAAAAAATAAAAAGTTAAAAAAAGAATTTAAGGATTATGGTGTTTTGAGGATTTGAGGATTGTGGTTTTCTGAGGATTTGAGGATTTTGATGCTCTGAGGATTTGGGGATTATGGTTTTCTGAGGATTTGAGGATTCTGGTTTTCTGGGAATTTCAAGGATTCTGGTGTTCTGAGGGTTTGATGATTCTGGTGTTTTGGAGGATTTGAGGATTGTGGTTTTCTGGGGATTTTGATGTTCTGAGGATTTGAAGATATGGTATTCTGAAGATTTGAACAAAAAAAATCGACAAAAAAGAAGTGGGAAACAATGCGATTGAAAAATGGGGAGTAAGAAAAGGCATAAAAAATAAAAATTAAAAAAAAACGTAAAAAAGAGCTGCAACAAAAAAAGTCCAAAAAAAAAGAGCAAAAAATGTGACAAAAAAATGAAGGCGTCAAAAACCTGCCAAAAAAAGAAACTGCCACTAAAAATGCGACTGAAAAAAAGAAGAACAAAAAAGCACCAAACGAAAAATGCTATAAAAGTATTAAAAAAAAAATCTGCAATAAGAAAAGGCGACAAAAAAAGGACGAGTCAAAAATGGCGCCAAAAGAACGCAACAAAAAGGGGGATAAAAAACACAGAAAAAAAGGTTTCAAGAACATTCCTAAAAATGCTACAAAAAAGCCAAAACAACAATTTCGAGAAAGTGATAAAGTTAAAAGTTGAAAAAATACAACAAGAAAAGGTGATTAAAAAAGAGAGGACAAGACTGAAAAAAAGGAACCAAAAAAGGCGTCAAAACACGAAAAACGCTCAAAAAAAGAAAAAAAAAAAAAGAAAAACAAGAAAAAGGCGACAAAAAGTCAAAAAGTGTGATATAAACGGGAGACAAAAAATGCGATTAAAAAAATAGGGAATCGAAAAAAAAAAAACAAAAAAACTACAAGAACGTGTTAAAAAGCGATAATTAAAACGCGACAAAAAAGTCGAAAAAGTGACAAAAAAACGTGATAGATAAAAAGAGGGCAAAACATGTATTTAAAAAGACAATCAAAAAAGCGAAAAACTACCAAAGACGTGTTACAAAAGCGATATACAAAAAAAGTAATACACAAAAAGGGCGGCAAAAATGGTAATGCCATTTTTGGAAAAAAAAAAAACAAAAAAATTATTAAAAAAAAGAGAGGACAAGATTGAAAAAAAAATGAGCCAAAAAAGCGCCAAAACACGAAAAACATTCCAAAAAAAGAAAAAAAAAAACAAGGAAAGGGCAGCTAAAAAATGAAGCAAAAAAGTGCCAAAAAATCGAACCTAAAAAAGGCTGTAAAAAAGCGCAAAAACCGAAACAAGCGATAAAAAGCTGCAACAAAAAAAAGGGGTTAAAAAACCGAAAAAAGGTTACAAAAAAAGCCAACAAAAAAGTGCCAAAACACGAAAGACGCGATTAAAAAACTAAAAAAAAAAAGAGTCAAAAAAGGGCGATTAAACGGGGGACAAAAAATGTGATTCAAGGGGTGGGGGAGTAGGCAAGAAATGAAATTAAAAAAAAAGGAGTCAAAAAAAAAACAAAAAAGCGACAAAAAGACAACCTAAAAAAAGGGAACAAAAAAGGGGCTATAAAAAAAGAGAACAAAAGATGTGTCCAAAAATGCGATTAAAAATAAGAGAATCGAAAAAGTAACAAAAACGAACAAAATATGCGAAAAACGCAAACAAAAAAAAAGAGATAAAAAGAGGGCAAAATACGCGCAAAATTGAGACTGAAAAAGGGGTCAAAAAAAAGGGTAAAAAAAAAACAAACAAAACCATTACAACAAAAAAGAAGTAAAAAAAGTGCCAAAAAATACATCTAAAAAAGCTGTCAAAAATGTGATAAATAAAGACATAAGACAAAAAAAAAGATGAAAAATGCGATAAAAAATATCACAAAAATATGCCGAAAAAAAAGAAAAAGTTAAAAAAGTGACAAAAAATGGTGGAGAATTAAAGGACTATGGTGTTTTGAGGATTGTGGTTTTCTGGGGATTTGAAAATTCTAGTGTTCTGAGGATTTTAGGATTATGGTGTTTTCGAGGATTTGAGGATTCTGGTGTTCTAAAGATTCTAGGATTATGGTGTTCTGAGGATTTGGGGATTATGGCGTTCTGAGGAATTGAGGATTTTGGTGTTCTGGAGGATTTGAGGATTGTAGTTTTCTAGGATTTTGATGTTCTGTGATTGAAGGGGTGGGAGAGTTGGCAAGAAATGCAATTAAAAAAAAAAAGAAGTCAAAAAAAAAACAAAAAAAGCGACAAAAAGACAACCTAAAAAAAGGGAACAAAAAAAGGGCTATAAAAAAGAACAAAATATGCGAAAAAAGCAAACAAAAAAAAGAGATAAAAAGAGCGGGCAAAATACGCGCAAAATTGAGACTGAAAAAGGGGTCCAAAAAGGGTCAAAAAAAAAAACAAACAAAACCATTACAACAAAAAAGAAGTAAAAAAAGTGCCAAAAAATACATCTAAAAAAGCTGTAAAAAATGTGATAAAAAAAGACATAAGACAAAAAAAAAGATGAAAAAATTCGATAAAAAATATCACAAAAATATGCCGAAAAAAAAAAAGAAAAAGTTAATAAAGTGACAAAAAATGGTGGCGAATTTAAGAATTATGGTGTTTTGAGGATCTGAGGATTGTGGTTTTCTGAGGATTTGAGGATTGTGGTTTTCTGGGGATTTGGGAATTCTAGTGTTCTGAGAATTTTATGATTATGGTGTTCTGAAGATTTGGGGATTATGGTGTTCTGAGGATTTGAGGATTCTGGTGTTTTGAAAATTTTAGGATTACAGTGTTCTGAGGATTTGAGGATTATGGTGTTCCGAGGATTTGAGGATTGTGGTTTTCTGAGGATTTGAGGATTTTGATGCTCTGAGGATTTGGGGATTATGGTGTTCTGAGGATTTGATGATTCTGGTGTTTTGGAGGATTTGAGGATTCTGGTGTTCTAAGGATTTTAGGATTATGGTGTTCAAGAGGATTTGAGGATTGTGGTTTTCTGAGGATTTTGATGTTCTGAAGATTTGAACAAAAAAAATCGACAAAAAAGAAGTGGGAAACAATGCGACTGAAAAATGGGGAGAAAGAAAAGGCATAAAAAATAAAAAAACGTAAAAAAAGAGCTGCAACAAAAAAGCGACTAAAAAAAGCCCAAAAAGAGCAAAAAATGTGACAAAAAAATGAAGGAGTTAAAAACCTGGCAAAAAAAGAAACTGCCACTAAAAATGCGACTGAAAAAAAGAACAAAAAACTACCAAAAGAAAAATGCTATAAAAGTATAAAATAAAGCTGCAATAAGAAAAGGCGACTAAAAACAGGACAAGGAGCCAAAAATGGCGCCAAAGGAACGTAATAAAAAGGGTAATAAAAAACACAAAAAAAGGTTTCAAGAACATTTCTAAAAATGCTACAAAAAAGCCAAAACAACAATTTCGAGAAAATGATAAAGTTGAAAGTTAAAAAAAAAAAGACAACAAGAAAAGGTGATTAAAAAAGAGAGGACAAGACTGAAAAAAAGGAACCAAAAAAGGCGTCAAAACACGAAAAACGCTCAAAAAAAGGGAAAAAAAACAAGAAAAAAGGCCATAAAAAAAGTCAAAAAGTGTGAGACAAAAAATGCCATTCAAAAAAAGGGAAATCGAAAAAAAAAAACAATAAAAAACTACAAGAACGTGTTAAAAAGCGAGGAATGAAAAAACACGACAAAAAAGTCGAAAAAGTGACAAAAAAAAAAACAAAAAAAGAATCAAAAACAGGAAACACTACGAAAGACGTGTTACAAAAGCGACATACAAAAAAAATTGAAATGGGAGTAAAAAATGCCAGAAAATAAAAAAAAGGTGATAAGAGCGGCATAATTAAAAAAGACGATAAAAAAATGCGACCAGAAACGACGAAAACACAAGATTACGTCAAAAAAGGCAAAAAATGTGAAAAAAGACATAAGACAAAAAAAAAAGGATGAAAAATGCGATAAAAAATATCACAAAAATGAAACAAAAAAAAGAAAAAAAGAAAAAGTTGAAAAGTTGACAAAAAATGGTGGAGGATTTAAGGATTATGGTGTTCTGAGGATTTGAGGATTGTGGTTTTCTGAGGATTTGGATGCTCTGAGGACTTGAGGATTTTGGTGTTCTGGAGGATTTGGGGATTTTGATGTTCTGGAGGATTTGAGGATTATGGTGTTCTGAGGATTTGACGATTTTGATGCTCTGCGGATTTGAGGATTGTGGTTTTCTGGGAATTTGAGAATTTTGGTGTTCTGAAGATTTGGGGATTATGGTGTTCTGAGGATTTTAGGATTATGATGTTCTGAGGATTTGAGGCTTATGGTGTTTTGAGGATTCTGGTATTCTAAGGATTTTAGGATTATGGTGTTCTGAGAATCTGAGGATTGTGGTTTTCTGAGGATTTGAGGATTTTGATGCTCTGCGGATTTGAGGATTGTGGTTTTCTGGGGATTTGAGAATTCTAGTGTTCTGAGGATTTGAGGATTTTGGTGTTTTGGAGGATTTGAGGATTGTGGTTTTCTGAGGATTTTGATGTTCTGAAGATTTGAACAAAAAATAATCGACAAAAAAGAAGTGGGAAACAATGCGACTGAAAAATGGGGAGTAAGAAAAGGTTAAAAAAAAAACGTAAAAAAGAGCTGCAACAAAAAAAAGCGACTAAAAAAGCCCAAAAAAGAGCAAAAAAATGTGAAAAAAAAGAAAGTCAAAAACCTGCAAAAAAAAAACAAAATTGCCACTAAAAATGCAACTGAAAAAAAGAACAAAAACTACCAAACGAAAAATGCTATAAAAGTATAAAAAAATCTGCAATAAGAAAAGGCGACAAAAAAAGGACAAGGAGTCAAAAGTGGCGCCAAAAGAACGCAACAAAAAGGGGAATAAAAAACACAGAAGAAAAGGTTTCAAGAACATTCCTAAAAATGCTACAAAAAAGCCAAAACAACAACTTCGAGAAAGTGATAAAGTTGAAAGTTAAAAAAAAAATACAACAAGAAAAGGTGATTAAAAAAGAGAGGACAAGACTGAAAAAAAGGCACCAAAAAAGGGGACAAAACACGAAAAACCCTCAAAAAAAGGAAAAAAAAAAAAAATAAAAACAAGAAAAAGGCGACAAAAAAAGTCAAAAACTGTGATTAAACGGAAGACCAAAAATTAAAAAAAATAGGGAATCGAAAAAAAAAAACAATAAAAAAAACTACAAGAACGTGTTAATAATAAAAAAACACGACAAAAAAGTCGAAAAAGTGACAAAAAAACAAAAAAGGAAACAAAAACAGGAAGAACTACCAAAGACGTGTTACAAAAGCGACATACAAAAAAGTAACACCCAAAAAGGGCGGCAAAAATGGCGTTAAACTAGAGGGAATTAAAAAAAAGCAACAAAAAAAATAACAAAAAAAAAGACAAGAAAAAAGGCTATAACAATAGAACAAAAATACGACTAAAAACAAAAGAGGGAGTCGAAAAAGCAACAAAAGAGCAAAAAATGTGAAAAAAAACACAAAAAAGAGGTTTTTTAGGTAAAAAGAAAGAGCAAAATACGCCCACAAATGAGACTGAAAAAAAGATGTTAAAAAAGAGTCAATAAGGCGCAAAAAACGCCACAAAGAAACAAAACAAAACAAAACATTTCGAGAAAAAGTGATAAAGTTGAAAGATGAAAAACAAAAACAAAAAAAAACAATAATAAAATATAAAAAAGGAGGACAAGACTGAAAAAAAGGAGCCAAAAATGCGCCAAAACACGAAAAACATTCCAAAAAAAAAAGAAATAAAAAAAACAAGGAAAGGGCAGCTAAAAAAGAAGCAAAAAGTGCCAAAAATGGAACCTAAAAAAGGCTGTAAAAAAGCGCAAAAAACCGAAACAAGCGATAAAAAAGCTGCAACAAAAAAAGTGCCAAAACACGAAAAACGCGATTAAAAAATTAAAAAAATCAGTAAAAAAAGCGATTAAACGGGGGACAAAAAATGTGATTCAAGGGGTGGGGGAGTTGGCAAAAAATGCAATTAAAAAAAAAGGAGGAAAAAAAAACAAAAAAGCGACCAAAAAAGAGAACCTAAAAAAAGGGTTATAAAAAAGAGAACAAAAATGTGTCCAAAAATGCGATTAAAAATAAGAGAATCGAAAAAGTAAGGAGAGAGGGCAAAATACGCGCAAAAGCGAGACTTAAAAAAGGGACCAAAAAAGGGTCCAAAAAAAAAACAAACAAAACCGTTACAACAAAAAAAGAAGTAAAAAAAGCGCCAAAAAAGACATCTAAAAAAGGTGTAAAAAAATGCGCAAAAAATGGAAACGCGATAAAAAAGCTGTAACAAGAAACGACCACTAAACAAAAAAAGTCAAAAAAACAAGATTAAAAATAGTCAAAAATCTGGACTTTTAAGGTAAAAAATCTTATGTTCAACAAGTGTGGTGTGTGGATTTTTTTCCACGACCATCGGAACCATTGACGATACCCTAACGGTATTTTTCCCTGTAACGAATATCTTTTCAAACAATCAGAATTCTCGCAAAAATAAGGTGCAGAAAAAGCCACTAAAAAAGTCCCATCACACCTCAACGTCCGATAATTATTGTCACAAAAAATATATCTAAGTTGGATAAATTACCTCGAGTATTCTGATTATAAATAATAAACAATTATTGACTCGCTACGCTTACTCCAACAATCGATAAACGGGAAAAAGTGCAGTTGTAAAGTATATTACATAAGCAACAACAGAAATAATTAAAGTTATCTAGCTAGAACTTATGAAAATTTAATAAATTCTCGTTACTAGCTCATATTTAATTCAGTACAGAATTGAATCAATAGTTTTCAATTTTTCATCCAATAATACGCATTTCCTGACTCTCATTCTACTACTAAAACCAACTTCAAGTTGATACACTTGTAGATTATAGTAACATTCCAAGATTATTTATTTAAATACCCACATTAGCGCTATTAAATAATTTTATGGAATTTCCACAATGACAGCATAGTTTGCTTTACAATATTCGTATTGTAATAATTAGTCAAACAATGAAGCCATTATTTTTGCGTTAATTGTAATAGTTGGGTCAATTTTAAAAATTAAATGACGCAAAAACGGGCAAACAGAGATAATTAACAACAGTATTACATAAAGCCATCCACACACAAACGCATTTTATACCTAACGGCGGCTGCAGCATCCCTCCCGACTTCTCGCAGTGTCCCACTGGGTTAATCTCCCTCGAATCGACCAACCTCCAAAAATCATTCTTATTATCACTACCGTCCAGCCTCAGCCGCAGCCTCGACCCCAGCACCGTAATAACCGTCGCGATACACGTACTCGTCACATTCCGGGGGTCGAGCGCCTCCAGCTTCATCGACACCTTAAACTCGTTCTTCGGCGGCTCGATCGCTTGTTTGAAGCAGTTCGCCGGCGCCGGCACTGAATTCGTCTCCTTGAGGTACTCGTCCCAGTCGAAGGGCTGATATGTCTCGTACTGGAAGGGCCCCGGCGACGCTTCCAGCGGCGTCGTGGGGGCTATGGCCGCGACCCGGTTCTGCAACTCGGTCTTCTTCTGATACCTGTTCATGCAGTACGTCGAGCAGAAGTCCTTCGAGGGGTTGTTCGTGCCCCTGATCACATTGTCGCACTGCAGGCACGCGCCCTTCACGTACGCCTTGCGGAACTCCGCGAGACATGTCTCCGAGCAGAACTCTTTCTTGCCGTTTGTGGTAGGGAGCACGTATTTGAGGGGTAGTTTGCCTTCGTTGCACCATGTGCACGAGACGGTTTTCTTCGGGGGGCGCCCGGGGCCTCGCACTTTGCCGTTTTGGGGGGTGCTGGACATGGTTAGAAGCGAGCCATCAGTTTACCTCCAAAATCTGGACAGGGTGGTGGTGAGTTCGGACGAGTGCATATGGGTGAGGGGTGAACAGTCACATCTGAAAGGGGTGTTTGCGGCGATTTAGACGATGCGGTGGTGGAAATTCTGGGAAATGCTGGAAAAACACATTAATACGTCAACGACGTCACGAAAATGTCAACAACGCTTCTGTTTGGGTAGGGGGACCAACCCGACGGACGGTGCCAACGCAACGAGAAAAGTCACTAACGAGGAATTGTGGGTTGCCTACCCCACCAACTTTTTTCACTTCTAGAATTTCATCCACCAATGATAGTAAAAATGGTTAAAAGAAACCGCATAATTGAAAATACCATTTAAACACAAGAATAAAACGTTTCCTCATTGAATATTTTGTATTCAGAAAATGGTTCTTAGGCAACCAACAACACGTCTGCGCCATATTGAACAGAACCGTACTTACATAATTTAGCCCAGTCAAATGACAATTTGACTACGTAAACTAGGCTCTCTTGCAAGAACCCTGTACTTAAAAAAGTTTATTCTTAAATAAAAAAGGACTTAATTATAGATACAACATAAACTTAACCTAAACATAAAAATTTATACAAAACTTAACAAGGATTGCATTTAGCCCCTCATCCCAGTTTCTGTTTTTTGATTTTATTTACATTATTATTATCAGCTGAGCGCTTCGCTGCTCTCTTCATTTTTATCTCTTCAGGCGTCTTTTTCAGACCTTTCATTTTACGTGTTTGTATTTTCTGGATTTCTTGTTTACCAACGTGGATGCGGCCGTGGGTTGTTCCTAAGCCGTCCACACTGATGTTCTTCTTTTTAGTGACTTTAAGTTCTTTAGGTTTGCGAAGGGCTTCTTTCATCAGGTCTTCACTAGGGAGTTTGCTGCGTCGGAGGGTGAGGTCTATCCTGGGACCTAGTGCAAAAACCAAAATTTTAATTTTTGAATAACACATTTAAAATTGAGACACCTGGTATATAAAACAGTTCACTACCCTTTCTGTTACATAATGTGTAGGTGATATGAACTTCCGCGGTTTCTTTAATAAACCAAAAAGTTACAACGCGAATTCCATTTTTGATGAAACACCCTGTATTTGAATTATTTTTGTGGTTCCTGAACTCACCCATTTCTTCCAGTTCCAGCCGCGGCACCCTCGTCCCCGACTTCTTCATCAGCACATTGAAAGACCTAATCAAAATCTTCCCCTCTGGTGTGGCCGTAAAACTAATAGTGTGTTCAAGCCCTTGAAGCCTGACTGATTCAACCTCCTCCCGATGAAAAATATCAATAAACAGACTCTTCAAGTGTTTCAACTCCTCAGTCTCTTCCCATGTGGGGCCATTGAATACCAACGACGGCTTCGTCCCCAACACTATCTTCTGACAGGCAAATTCCCTCATACATTCGATATTCTCCACATGCAACTCGATCATATCCAACAAACTATAATTGTACATCCTACCAATGACTAGATTATCCGGTCTCTTTTTACTATGTGAACTCATAACAAACAACGGCGTTTCAAATTTTCTACAAAATCTTTCCACTGGGGTGGCATCTTCGAAGATGGTTATGTCATTTTTCTTATTCAAGAGTTGGGCATCAGGCTTTTTGATATCAAAGAGGTCTTTAGTTAAGCGGCGGAGCTTATCCGAGGAGCGCCGGCCTTGCAAGAAGAGGGCTCTTTTGGGACCTTCGTTCACTTGTGGCTCTTTCTTGATGAGGACTTTCTTACCTTTACGTGTGGTTGCTTTACTGCAAAGTGGGGCGTAAAATGGGCAGGAATGGTAAAATGGAACTTTGTACTTACACCACACGCTGTATAACTACCATTTTCGACGAACTTCACTAATTTTTCACCGTATTTTTGCTTGTAAACTTGTCTACACGTGTTGTAATAACTAACCTGTTGGGATTCTTGGGGATTAGGTGCCAACGTGAAGGGGTGAAAAACACCGAATTTTGACGGTTAAAATAACTGTTGGAAAAAAGAAAAGGGGCTCGGTTTGGGTTATTGATGGAAATTAAATGGCATTCGGGGGTGCTTTATCACATACAGAAGGATTCAAAGTGATTTGAATTTGTATTAAAGAGTTAACAATGTTACCAGGGGTTGGTAACATTGAAGCATTGTGGCGCGCACATACAAAGTACAATCCTGGATTTTTAAAAACATATTTTTTAATTTTAATACTGTTTAATTAGTTACTGGCTTTAAAGACCTCATCTTACGTTATATTGAACGCAAATTTAAATTCTGAACCAATATGACATATTATTAATCACTAAAAAAAATTGCTGTCAATAATATTTTTTTATTTTTTTATTTTATTACTAGTTTTTGTCGTAAATTTAGTTTTAACTTTAGTGTCGTGTCAAATAGGTCTTAACGAACAAAGTACTTATTATAGACTTATTTGAACTCGATTGCATTTATATGATTCCTGTTTACTGAAAATTTGTACGGTGGCTTGCCTATCCACAAGGCGCATGTGCCGATTCGTATTTGAACAATAATTAGGTAAGTTTGTTTGCAAATCCAATAAATTATTTTGAGACTGTTCTGAATAATAATAGTGTTAAAGGCAAATATAGTCAGTGGAAAGTATTGCAAGCGCTTACTGCGTTTTGTTTTAAAAAAATAATAGAAATCCCTTAATCTTAGCACATATTTATTTACGGTTCTTATCTTTTTAATTATTCCAGAAGAAGGGTATAAGAAAGAACTTTTGTGGCATAATTAGACGTCTTTGTTATAGAAGCAATGGAGAAAGCAAATATTCAAGAACATGACGGAGAAAGTGAAAAATTCATTGAAGGTAAATATATTTGTACTATTTTCTCTAACACAATAATCGATTACTAATCATTTTGCCCAAACTTTACTAAGAAATCCTTATAAATAATAATAATATTCGTCCGAACTTCATTATTCATTTTTAAAATCGCGAAATTCTTAGAAATTTCCTCCTCTCTAAGTATGCTTGTAATTTTAAATTCAGCCAAGGAAAACTAGACTTTTCTCAGGATCCATTACTTTCTAATCAATTAACTGTTAACTTCCAAAGCACGTATAGATTTTACATTTAATTTAGCGAGTGCATAGTGTGTTGCATAAATACTAATTATTGACAATTGCCATAAAATGTACAATAGTGTGGTCGGAAAAGTGGACACAAAAAACTGTATTTCCTCACCGCACTCGTAAAATAAAAAATTAATAAATGATGTAACACACCTGCAGCGGTTGCTGTTTCATAACCAGCAGCTATATATATCTTTTTCGCAAGAATTACAACTGACCTTGTTTGTGCCGCAAGCATAATAAAAAAAAATAAGAAATATACCTATCTTTAATGCAACAAACAGGTATTAAGACCCACAACACGCTGAAAAATGTTCATTTGGTTAGTCGTCGATGTGCAAGATCGCTACAAGAAGTACGTTTCGTTATTAATAAAGTGTTATTTTTATATTTTTTTTTACAGTGCCAGACGCGGAAAATGACATTATCGAAAAAACCATCTCCCCTTTAGGTCGCTGGCAAGTTTTCGTCTCCATTATTTCCTGTATGGTCAAATTTCCAGTAGCCTGGATCCAACTAAGTATAGTTTTCATAGCACCCCCAGCAAGCTTTACTTGTGTAGATAACACAACAAACACGTGTTCTGAAAATTGTACGAGTTATGTATACGACAGGTGAGTGCGTCGCGTTCTCCTGATTTGAATCCAACAGACGGGTTTTAGGTCCATTTTCACTGAAACTATTATAACGGAATGGGATTTGGTCTGCGACAAAGCTTACATGGCGAATTTAGCCCAAACTGTCACTATGTTGGGTATTCTCTCTGGAAACGTGTTGTTCGGGTATTTCTCGGACAAGTTCGGCCGCAGAAATCCTCTAATAGCTGGTGTATTGTTGCAAATCGTGTGTGGAATGGGGGCTGCCTTCTCAAAATGGTTCATCCTGTTTCTAGTGATGAGATTCTTCACTGCTTTTGCCACAGGAGGTACAATGGTAACCAGTTTTGTCCTTGTGATGGAAATAGTAGGTATGTACACCCCGAAATGTGTTTGTGGTTGCCTACACGTCCAAATTTCAGGCGCTAAATGGAGAACCACCTTTGGAATCATCTACCAAATACCGTTCAGTTTTGGCCACTTATTGTTACCCGTTTTCGCTTACTACCTTCGGGAGTGGCGCTACTTCCATGTCGCGATTTGTATCCCTTCAATCCTCCTCCTGTCGTACTACTGGGTTCTTCCAGAATCCCCACGTTGGCTCCTCACCGTCGGAAAACACGAAAAAGCGATACAAGTGTTGGAAAAAGCCGCCCATCACAATCGACTCACCGTTGAAAATATACAACCAGACGTCCACCACCATGTACAGAAAAAAGAACCCGGAAATGACCAACAAGCAGGCAACATTGTCGATTTATTCCGGACCCCTATCATCCGCATGTATACAATCTGCATCGGCTTTAATTGGTTCGCGTCGGGTCTTTGTTTCTTCGGTGGCGCCCAATATATCGGTCAACTCGGTGGCAACATTTTTGTGAACGTCGCTCTGTCCGCTGTCATTCAAATCCCCGGCACGCTGTTCTCGATTTGGTCGCTGCAGGCGTGGGGGCGCAGGAACACGCTTATTTTTAGTAACCTCCTGTCTGCCGGTTCGTGCATTCTGATTGGTTTAGTTCCGCCACAACCCGCGTGGATAAGGAGTGGCTTAAGTTGTGTTGATATGTTCGCATTGGCTATTTCCTTTCCCACTGTGTATATCTACTCAGGCGAGTTGTTCCCGACTGTGGTGAGAAATATAGGAGTGGGGAGCAGTTCTATGTTTGCGAGGGCGGGGTCAATGGTGGCGCCGTTCGTTGCAGGCTTGGTATTGGTGAGGGAGTGGCTTCCGATGGCCGTGTTCGGGGTGGTGCCATTAATAGGGGCGGCGCTTTGTTTGAAATTGCCGGAGACGGTGAACTGTAAGCTGCCGGATACGGTGGAGGAAGCGGAGGAGTTAGCGAAGAAGAAATAAATTAATTTTGTTTTTTTTTTTAAATATATGTTTTGTGGTACAAGGTGTCTATAATTTTTATTTGTTGTGTGTCAACTGTCAATTTTTAAAGAAGAGGGGACTGCTGCAATCTGTATTAAGCGCGTCTAACTTCATAATCGGGTGTTTGATTATTTAATGGTTGTGACCTCGTTGTGTCAAATAATAATAAATCGGTTCCTTTAAGACTTTTACATTTCAGTCGGTGTGTGTTGTAACCGAGTTGTAACAAAAAAAGTATAAAAGTAAGCGCTTGCAAACAATTCTGAAACACCCATCAAATTTTAATTTTTTTGTCTACAGTGGCCACGTTCGACATCATCGAAAAAACCACTGGGAGTTTAGGTCCTTGGCACATCACCATGTGCGTTCTCATCTGCCTAGTAAAATTCCCCATAGCTTGGTTACAACTAAGCATCGTGTTCATAGCACCCCCAGCTACCTTTTTTTGTTCTGACAGCCACATACCCCAGTGTTCGTCAAACTGTTCAAGTCACCAATTTGACAGGTACCTAAGGTCTAAATCACCTGAAAATTCTGCATTTAATTCTAGAACCACGTTTTCAGAGACCATAATCACCCAATGGGACTTAGTCTGCGACAGAGCCTACCAGGCAAACCTAGCCCAAACCGTAACCATGCTGGGCATACTTTTCGGTAACATGGTTTTTGGGTACTTTTCGGACCGCTTTGGGCGCCGAAAACCATTCGTAGCCGCAGTCACTATCAAAGTGATTTGTGGTACAAGTGCTGGGTTTGTACCATGGTTTGGGTTGTTCTTGGTGCTCAGGTTCGTGGCGGCGTTGGCCACTGGTGGTACCATGGTGATGAGCTTCGTCCTCATTATGGAACTAATAGGTTTAAAATGGCGGACTACCATTGGAATTTTGTACCAGATACCGTTCAATCTCGGACACCTGTCTCTCCCACTTTTTGCCTACTTCATCCGGGATTGGCGCCTTCTCCATACCGCCATTATCGCCCCATCCATTATCCTGGTCGGTTATTATTGGGTCCTGCCAGAGTCACCAAGATGGCTGCTGACAGTTGGACACACAGAAAAAGCTATAAAGTACTAGAAAAAGCAGCAACTTATAACAAAAAACCAGTAGCTGGTATTAGAGAAAACGTACATTGCTTTTTGGAAAAGAAACATTTAAATGAAGAAAAGCAAACAGGTAAAACTTTTCACACTTTTATTTACCCTTCATTATTGTTATTACTTAGGTAATATAATTGATCTCGTTCGTACCCCCACCATGCGCACCTACACCACTCACCTGGGCTACAATTGGTTCGTTTGCGGCCTCTGCTTCTTCGGTGGCGCCCAGTACATCGGCCAATTAGGAGGCAACATTTTCGCTCTCTCCGCCCTTATCCAGATTCCTAGCACATTTTTCTCCATCTGGTCTGTGAAAGCGTGGGGCCGTAGACCCACCCTCGTGTTCAGCAACCTCCTTTCGTCCGCCTCCTGTCTGCTTATTGGTGGAGTCCCTTCCCAGTGGGCGTGGTTTAGGAGCTCCTTCAGCTGCTTGGACATGTTCGGACTGGCTATTTCCTTCCAGACTGTGTACATTTACTCAGGGGAGTTGTTTCCGACTGTTGTTAGAAACGTGGGGGTGGGGACTAGTTCCATGTTTGCAAGAGTGGGGTCAATGGCGGCGCCGTTCATTACGGGGCTAGTGGTGGTGAGGGAGTGGCTTCCGATGCTTGTGTTCGGAGTGGCGCCTTTGATTGGTGCTTTGCTGTGTTTGCGGCTGCCAGAGACTGTGGATTGTAAGTTGCCGGATACGGTGGAGGAGGCGGAGCTACTCGAAAGGGCGTGATTAGGTTAGTTTTAGGAGGAGGGTGAAGTACGAATAGGCTGAATACATGACCTGAAAAGGGGGCGTGTTTTATTTAAGGTGAAGTCGTGGGGGTTCAATTACCGCTAGGAACGTAGCGAGTGACATTACTTTCATTCCGCAAGCCTTCAAGGTTAAAGGTTTGTGGCTTCGTAGTAGAATGAGAAGGACGTATTTTTGGACAATTACTTCTTTTTTGTACCAGTAGAAGGAGTAGATGGCGTCTGATATTGCTAGGCTCTGGAAGAATTGACTGACTATTCGTGTTCTCAGGTTTATTATATAATTTCGTGTGTTAAGTACCTCGTCCACAAGGTTTTGTCCGTGGTAACACACAAGAAATAACATTCCTAACCAGCCTAATAAATGCATTAAAAATCGTACGGCTTCTATGTAGTTAGAAGTGGTTGTGATTTCGAAACCTAGCACACTAATTACAAAGCCTGTCCAGGTTATGTGGAGTAGCATCATCTGGGTGAAGCAGCTGTCAGCCCTGGTTGCATAACTAAAGGGAAATATTGAACATGAAATTTTGAAACTCACTCTATAATTGCGGTGTGGAACTTAACGCAAAATTTCATCTTTTTTTCCAGGGTTTCAGTATCATATTGAGTTGTAAGTCCTGCAATAATTTTCCTGAAATATTTTAATTGTGTCGTCGTATGAATCAAAACCCCACAAATTAGCATCGTAATGACCATAATTACGGTTGTTCCCAACATACAGATTGCACATTCATGCAACGCAATGAGTTCAGCTAGTGGAAAGTAGTCGCATTTGAAAGGTAGTAGAAACCTGACCACTAGCCCACAAGGTATTCCGTATTTAACCATATGACTAGGTTTATGGTTTTGACAGTAGTCGTAATTTAAAACGGGCAATAGCCCGTAACAGGCGTTGCCCACAATTCCATAAACGATAAACAACTTAGTGTAGAATTCAAGAGACTCGTCGGTTTTTTGGATTAAGGATTTTGGGCTATAATTTTCAAAAGTGGCCAAATCTTGAACTAGGGTTTTGATTTCTTTCTTTTTGTTTATGAAGCACAAGGAGACGTAAATGACGCCGAAAAGGGCGCTCAGAGCCACAAAGTTTTCGTTTATATTCGTAAAGGAGATGTTTTCTTCTGAAATGTCACACTAGGGAGTGAGTTTTCTAGTACTACGTTTTCTCACCCTGAAACTGGGCCACTAAATCAGCGATTATTGGAAAAGTAGTAATGGTGGTAATCGCACTGACGTAGTACTGTTTAATTGTAAAAGTCGAGATGCTTTCTTGAGGCCACATATTGATCATTGTTAGAGCTTTAACAAAGAACTTCAAGTAAGGAGGCATTTTTGTATTCTAGTAAATAAACGACTGACAGAATATCGGAACTCCTTAAAACTACTAAGAAATATTGTTTAAAAAATTAAAGAGTGTCGATATCGTCAACTTGACGCGTAATGATACACAAGAAAACCTTGCATTTTTTAAAGAAATAGTAAGTAATCAATTTTAATTTTCAAAATGTGATTTTACAGGTGTATGACAATTTTATTAGTACAAATTTACCGCTAGATGGCAGCTCAAAACGTCATTGTTACCCGCGAGATGTCACCATTATCGCTTATTTATATAAAAAAACACGTAAAACTAAATGCGATTAACAAAAATAAGAGCTCATGCTCGGAGGACCAACACTTCGTATTCCGAATACGCAATTTCTTCACCGCCAAACGGAATATAGCAAACATGGTGACTTGGATGTATCTACAACCCCAAAATCAGAACATAAATAAACCCTTCAGTTTTCATAGATACTTTTCCAACGGTTAGAGAGCCTTCATGGTGAACCCTTCCAATGTACAAAGATTCCCCAGTACTGGTGTGCCCCCCTTTGAGAGCCCCACGATGGGTATGTCCTCCATGGCTCAAAACCCATGAAACGTTTTTGGCACACAAAACCTACAAAACTAAATCAACAAAAACACACAAAAAAAATCGTCAGTACTTCAAAATTGCACAGTTGGTGTTCCTTGCAATTGTAAGCCGCAAATCCTGCTTTTTTCTCTGGAATAACTTTAATTGGGAGCAAGTCGCCACTGTAGTGGGCTCTACCCACGTAAATGGCATGACCGTCGACGTCTACGCCCCCTTGGACGATGTTTTTGGGGAGGGGGGAATCCCAAAGGGTAGTAAAATAAACCCAGTGGTGATCTAATGACAGGAATAAATTAGCAATTTGTTGAAGAAACACCACGTTGTACCTTCCTCACTTTCTTGTCTTTTAATGTGGGACTTCAAGTTATGTATCCCTCTTTCTAGTTTTGCCACTATTCCTCCCTGTTTTTCTTTCAAGTGATGTTCATTTTGTATTTTGAGTATGGCTGTGTCTCTCATTGTGGTGGTGGATCTGACGCATTTCTTGCATTTCCATGTTTCAAAGTCAATATCAACAACCAAGTTGTTAATTCTTTCTAAACAAGTTGAGTGCAGGGGCAGGAAACACACTGTACATTTAGCTTCTGCACCATGTATTGGTTGGAGGCAGATTTGGCAAACTTTATCCAAATTATCGTCTGGGGCGGCTACGTTTATCGTGATAATGTGATTATTGTGGTATTTGATAACATACCTTCATTGATACTGCGGCTGAACTTTGGGTAAAGCTCTGAGTATGATGGCGGGGGCTCAGTTGGTACAAATGGGGGAGAACTGGGCCCTTCTAAAACATAGACTGACAGTGACAGTAGGGTTTCCTCTGTCTATTATAACGCTAAAACTTGCCTGCCATTTGTTGTTTTGGTGATTAATTGATTATATTTAAGCGACTGCAGTCAATGATTCAGATCCAGAACATTGATTAGCCCAATTTGGCGCCTAGACTAGACTATCCAGACCACAAACCAAAACCAAGAAAACTGCTTTTAAATCTACCAGTCGATAGAGGGCGACAAAAAATTTATCGTTCCAAGATCTTCCACCCCCTCAGTTGCGGTACGAAGACCCCATATATCGTTCAGTGATCTTGTGCAGTGATCGTCTGATCTTAAAATTACACACAGAGTTTGCGAAGTGTCATGAATCAGACGAGGTTTGTGTCTCAACTAGCACCCATCAGATGTCAGCACTATCGTTTTAAAACTTATTTATTCAAATAAAAAAGTAAAACTAAATCAGATTAACAAAAATAGGACTTCAGGCCTGGAGCACCAACACCTCGTACTCCGAATAAGCAATTTCTTTACCGTCGAACGGGATATAGCAGACGTGGTGGCTTGGGTGTATCTACAACACAGGAATCAGTCACAATTCATACAATTACAGTTTTCGTACTTTTCCGACTGTTAAAGACCCTTTGTGGCGAACCCTTCCGATGTATAAGGATTCCCCACTGCTGGTGTAGCCGCCTTTGAGGGCCCCCGGACGCGTATATCCCCCATGGCTCAACAACCATGAAGAATTTTTAGCACACAGAACCTCTAAATTGTACACTTGGCGTTCTTTGCCGTCGTAAGCCACATATGCCGCTTTTTTCCCTGGAATCACTTTAGCTGGGAGCAAATCGCCACTGTAGTGGGCTCTACCCACGTAAATGGGGTGACGGTCGACGTCCACGCCCCCTTGGACGATGTTTTTGGGGAGGGCTGACCCGAGGGTTGAAAAATTAACCCAGTGGTGATCTACTAACAACAAATTAGTAACCTTATTGCAACAAAACTACCTTCTACCTTCCTCAGTTTCTTGTCTTCCATTATGCGCCTTCAAATTATGTATTCGTTTTTCTAGTTTAGCTACAATTCTTTCCAAACTTTGTTTCTCTTTCATCAGATGCTCATTTTGTATTTTGAGCATTCTGACCTCTATGTCGTCCACTCTGTTGGTGGTTTTCGTGCATTTTTTGCACTTCCATGTTCTCAAGTCAACGTCAACAACAAAGTTGTTGATTCTTTCCAAACAAGTTGAGTGCAGGGTTAGAAAACACACTGTACATTTAGCTTCTGCACCATGTATTGGTTGGTGGCAGATTTGGCAAACTTGATCCAAGTTGTCGTCAGGGGCAGCTGCGTTTATCAGTGATAGTTATACGATTGCGATATTTGATAACATACCGTCGTTGATACTGCGACTTAAGCTTGGGTAAAGCTCTGAGTAAGCTGGAGGGAGGTCATTGGGTGAAGACGACGGGAATTTGGGCCATCCTAAAACACAACTGTGTGATTTTCGAACGACTAAAACGACTAAAACTTGCCTGCCATTTGTTGTTGGTCGATTTTTTATGATTGCACAATGGTAATTCCGAATAACAAGAATGTTGACGACCTTGTAGTTCCGATTACGAAACGAACCGATCGAAGCCGAGCTTTTGGCTTAGTTTGATCAGTGACAGTTCGGGCGAAAGTGAGCCTTCTGAAACCAAACGACTCTAATTTTCATTCAAACTGATCTCATTTGTCGCAGCCCCAAAACACATGACCATAATCATCGATCGACGTTTCCCTGCATTATGTATTTTTCTTTTTTGTTGCACTTCCATTTGCAGTTAATTTTTAGCTTGTTGTTTCAGGAATCAATACGGTGTTGGGTTTCTTATCGGCAATTTCTGACACACTTTCCGCCGGTTTTATAATTCTCGTTAATCCGGAAGAAATCGTCTTCAAACTGATACAATCTTAACAGGATTAAATTTTTTCCACCTGCAAAAACTTGCTCTTGCTTGAGATACAATAACACAGTTGTTTAGATAATAAATCACGTTTTTGTCCTCCCAGCCGCCTCCAGTCCCTGAAACAAAATAATGGCATGGAAAATTCCCCTTATTACACCGTTTGATCAATACCTTTGATTATTTTTCATGTTTTTATGATTGATTAAACTTCCATACGTTTGATGAGCGACTTTCCAAGACGTCATTTTCGTCGTTTTAATTATTTCTTTTAGTCTCAATTTTTCATTACATAGCAATAAATTTGTTTAAACATCGCCCTCCCTCCTCCAGCCCCATTTTCTCCGACTTTATTACATTTCTTTGCACCGAAAAATTGATATTCTCCCTCTTGTAAATGAAATTTCGCCTCATTCTCATCCCCTTTTTTTGTACAAAGGTGTTCACTCAGCTCCAATAAGGGATGCTTCCTCTCTATACCATAACATTAGTTTCATTAGGCCTTGAGTGTGCTTGGGGCCAAAGCAGCCACCTGTTATCACGAAGCAAGGGTTGATTATCAAAAGGGGATGTGCGGCTTTGTTTAATAAATGTTTACCATAAAACAACTCGTGAAAGTTACTTGTGTTATTTATGACACTTTTATTAGCCCGGAACCAGTATTTCTTCCCATTTTTTTTATTCTATTGATTCCTACATCTGTCCTACACATAAAAGCTCCCAATGTCAAAACTAAAATAAATATAAATTTTAGTCAGTTCTTTACTTCGTATCTGCTCCAGAAAATGGAAGTAGCCTCCAGTAAAAAACATTGCGGTGGATTTTTACGCATACGATATCGTCCAGTTCCATGAAATGGGTGAACGCAAAATAAATTAGGGCCTTCGAGGACTCTGATAAGATTTCCGCGACGCGATAACGCAGTGTTTATATCATACTCTACTTTTTTGATCTAATAACTGAATGTATTAATTATATTGTTTTTTTGAAATAAGTAGAAACTTTTCTACCTCGGATTACAAGCTTGAAAAAATACAGCGACCTCTGTCGAAATATATGTGTGTCTTTGAAAGTTGTTTAGCGATTTTACCTTGTTTAACAACTTCCCTGGCATATACCCGGATAAACTTCCACCACCATGAACTTGGCAACAACCCCCACAAATTCGCAAAGGCCATTCAGTTGGCAGATCGCTCTATTCATCAGCTTGTTTTCTAGTTGCACTTTATGGTCAAGGATATCGGCACGATCAATGTTTAAACTTGTGTAGCCCCGAGAAACGAAGAGGGTGCTTTTTTCGAGTAAATGAGCGGAATAGACATATTTTTCCTCGTAAGATGAAGTAGGTAAAAGGGAATTGGCGATAATTGGATTCTAAGACGTTGATTTTTAAAGGAATTTTTATGGTGCACGTCTTGCTCGCTGCGCGAGCTTAATTTCGGTTTATTAACGAGCTTCCTGACACGTTTTTGTAGATGAAATCACAATCAATGTGCGTTTATTAGATTATTGTCCCTCTATTCACCCCCTTTTCGAGACCAACACATGCCCTTGGCCCCAAAAACTGTAAACAAATCCATGCCGCGCTCTGTTGTAGCCATTTTTCACCGTTAACACAATTACGTGAGATTGAGCTTTTTTAATTATCGCAGAACGGTAAAAAATCTAAATAAATAAACTGAGAGCTTTCGAGCTTTCGTTCCAATAATTAATCCGTATGTAGGTTTGTATGTGAAAGAGGAAAAATCGTCTAGGGGATGACTTACTCTAGCCACATTAAAAAGCGCTCAGATTTGAAATGATAAATTATCTGAGAGGTGGAGATAGGGTTTAATTTATTTGTCCGAAACATAATGATGTATCACAGGGGTTGTAATCTATCATAGTTTGTTTTGTTTGGAGTTAACATATGAAAAGGGTTGTTTGTCTTTATCTGGAAGGGTTGCAAGTTTGTCAAAAAATTACATCGTAGGGTTTTTTGGATTCAATAGTTTTTGGTGTCTCATAATCACTAGACAAAAAGTGGCTCCCTGTTTCTGCTTTAACATAATAACTGTTTTATATTTCAGTGTTTGGTGTTTCTAAATTTTCTAATTTTCTATCAATCGATTTTTTGATTTTTTGATTTTTTGATTTTTCGAATTTTCGATTCCTCAATTTTTCCGTGTTCCCACTTCTCAGATTTTCGATTGTTTCTTGATTTTTCGATTTCTCGGTTTTTTAATTTTCCCCGATCTCAGTTTTTCGATGTCCAAGTTTTGAAATTTTTCAGTTTTCTGTTCTTCGATTTTAAAATTTTTTGATATTCGAGTTTTAGGATTTTCCAATTTTCGAATCTTCAATTTTTCGATTTTTTAATATTCCAGTTTTTGGTGTTTCTAAATTTTCGATTTTTCGATCAATTGATTTTTCGATGTTTTGATTTTCCCATTTCTCCTCTTTTCAGTTTCGCGATTTCTCGATTTTCCGTTTTCATATTTTCGATTTCCCGATTTTGTAATTTTCCGAGATCTCAGTTTTTCTTTTTCAATTTTGGGATTTTTCAATTTTTCGATTTATCGTATTTTGATTTTTCGGTTTTTCGATGTTTCAAAAATTGGAGAATTGAAAATCAATAAAATCCAAAAATCGAAACATTTAATTACATCGAATCTAAGTCGTTTTTTTTTTTAAACAAAAACAACAAAAAACGGAGGCGGAAAATCGAAAGAAATCGAAAAATTCAAAAATTGCAGTCAATAAGTCGAAAATTTCAAAATTTGAAGAACGAAAACTGAAAAATTGAAAGATTGAGAATTCGAAAAGTTGGAAAATCCAAAAATTGTGAATTCGAACGTCGGGAAATCCAAAAATCAAATCGAAAAGTCAAAAAATCAAGAAATTGAACATTTGAAAAGCCGAATAATCGATATCTCCAAATACTGAAAAACCAAAATGTCGAAAATTCCAGAAATCGGACATTTAAAATGTTGAAAAACTGAAAATTCGGAAAATCCAAACATTGAAAAATCAAGAAAATCCAAAAACCGAAAAATTGAAGTTGAAAAATCGAGAAATTGAAAAATCGAGTAATCAAAAAGTCGAAAATTTCAAAATTTAAAGAATAAAATCCAAAAATTGAGAATTAAAAATCAAAAGATTGAAATCGAGAAATTGAAAAATCTAAAAATCGAGAAGTCGAAACTCAGGAAATCCACAAATCGAGAAATCGAAGTCAAAAAATCGAAAAATCCAAAATTCGAAAAATCAAAAAATCGGACATTCGAAGTTGAAAAATGGAAAAATTAACATATTGAAAAGCCTAAAAATCGAAATTTTCAAACATTGAAAAATCGAAAAGATGAAAAATCAAAGAATTGAAAAATTTGAAAATCGAAAACATCCAAAAATCAAAAAGTCGAAAAATCAAGAAATCGGGCTTTTAAAATGTTGAAAAAAAATCGAAAAGTAAAAAAATAGAAAATGCGAACATCGAAAAAACGAAAAGCAAAGAAATTGAAGAGTCTAAGAACTAAAGAATGTAAAATTTGAAAAACCGAGAATGCGAACATTCGAAAGTTTGAAAAATCGAAGAATTGAAAAACAGAAAGTCGAAAATCGAAAAAGAAAATTCGAAATTTCGAAAATTGAAAATTTGCAATATCGAAAGGCTGAAAAGTCGAAAAATCGAAAAGTGGAAAATTCGAGGAATCGACAAACCGAAAAATCTAAAATTAACATATCAAAAAACTGAAAAATACCTGAAACGAAAAAAATTCCCAAAATAGTGTTGTGCCGAAAAGTTGAGAAATCGAAAAATCGATAAATTTTAACATTGAAAAATCGAGAAGTTGAGAAATGGAAAATTTGAAAAATCGAAAAATGGGAATTTAAAAAAAATAAAAAAATCGTAAAGTGGAAAAATTGAAAAATCGATAAATGGGAAATTTAAAAAAACGAAAATCTGAAAAATCGAACAACTGAAAAATCAAAAAACGACAAATCGAGAAGTCGAGAAAAATCGAAAAGTCGAAAAATAGAAAAACCGAAAAAATTCCGAAAATTTCAAAATTTGAAGAACGAAAACTGAAAAATCCAAAAATTGTGAATTCGAAAGTCGGGAAATCCAAAAATGAAATCGAAAAGTCAAAAGATCAAGAAATTGAACATTTGAAAAGCCGAATAGTCGAAATCTCCAAACATGGAAAGATCAAAAAGTCGAAAATTCCAGAAATCCGACATTTCAAATGTTGATAAATTGAAAATTCGGAAAATCCAAACATCCAAAAATCAAGAAAATCCAAAAACCGAAAAATTGAAGTTGAAAAATCGAGAAATTGAAAAATCCAAAAATTTTAAAGTTGAGGAATCAAAAAATCCAAAAATCGCAGTAGAAAAATCGAGCCTAATCAAAAAGTCGAAAATTTCAAAATTTAAAGAATAAAAATCCAAAAATTGAGAACTAAAAATCAAAAAATTGAAATCGAGAAACTGAAGAATCTAAAAATCGAGAAGTCGAAACTCAGGAAATCCACAAATCGAGAAATCGAAGTCAAAAAATCGAAAAATTAAAAAATCGGACATTCGAAGTTGAAAAATGGAAAAATAAAAAAATTGAAAAGCCGAAAAATCGAAAGCATGAAAAATCAAAGAATTGAAAAATTTGAAAATCGAAAACTAAAAAAATAGAAAATTCGAAAATCGAAAAAACGAAAAGCATAGAAATTGAAGAGTGTAAGAACTAAAGAATGAAAAATTTGAAAAATCGAGAATGCGAAAATTCGAAAGTTTGAAAAATCGAAGAATTGAAAAACAGAAAGTCGAAAATCAAAAAAGAAAATTCGTAATTTCGAAAATTGAAAATTTGCAATATCGAAAGGCTGAAAAGTCGAAAAATCGAAAAGTGAAAAATTCGAGGAATCGATAAACCGAAGAATCTAAAATTAAAATATCAAAAAACTGAAAAATACCTGAAACGAAAAAACTCCCAAAATAGTGTTGTGCCGAAAAGTTGGGAAATAGAAAAATCGATAAATTTTAACATTGAAAAATCGAGAAGTTGAGAAATGGAAAATTTGAAAAATCGAAAAATGGGAATTTAAAAAAAATAAAAAAATCGTAAAGTGGAAAAATTGAAAAATCGATAAATGGGAAATTTAAAAAAACGAAAATCTGAAAAATCGAACAACTGATAAATCAAAAAACGGCAAATCGAGAAGTCGAGAAAAATCGAAAAGTCGAAAAATAGAAAAACCGAGAAAATTCCGAAAATTTCAAAATTTGAAGAACGAAAACTGAAAAATTGAAAGATTGAGAATTCGAAAAGTTGTAAAATCCAAAAATTGTGAATTCGAACGTCGGGAAATCCAAAAATCAAATCGAAAAGTCAAAAAATCGAGAAATTGAACATTTGAAAAGCCGAATAATCGAAATCTCCAAACATTCAAAAATCAAAAAGTCGAAAATTCCAGAAATCGGACATTTAAAATGTTGATAATCGAAAATTCGGAAAATCCAAACATCGAAAAATCAAGAAACTCCAAAAACCGAAAAATTGAAGTTGAAAAATCGAGAAATTGAAAAATCCAAAAATTTTAAAGTTGAGGAATCAAAAAATTTGAGAACTAAAAATCAAAAAATTGAAATCGAGAAATTGAAGAATCTAAAAATCGAGAAGTCGAAACTCAGGAAATCCACAAATCGAGAAATCGAAGTCAAAAAATCGAAAAATCCAAAATTCGAAAAATCAACATTCGAAGTTGAAAAATGGAAATTTCCGAACATTGAAAAATCGAAAACATGAAAAATCAAAGAATTGAAAAATTTGAAAATCGAAAACATCCAAAAATCAAAAAGTCGAAAAATCAAGAAATCGGGCTTTTAAAATGTTGAAAAAAAATCGAAAAGTAAAAAAATAGAAAATGCGAACATGGAAAAAACGAAAAGCAAAGAAATTGAAGAGTCTAAGAACTAAAGAATGGAAAATTTGAAAAATCGAGAATGCGAAAATTCGAAAGTTTGAAAAATCGAAGAATTGAAAAACAGAAAGTCGAAAATCGAAAAAGAAAATTCGAAATTTCGAAAATTGAAAATTTGCAATATCGAAAGGCTGAAAAGTCGAAAAATCGAAAAGTGGAAAATTCGAGGAATCGATAAACCGAAAAATCTGAAATTAAAATATCAAAAAACTGAAAAATACCTGAAACGAAAAAATTCCCAAAATAGTGTTGTGCCGAAAAGTTGAGAAATCGAAAAATCGATAAATTTTAACATTGAAAAATCGAGAAGTTGAGAAATGGAAAATTTGAAAAATCGAAAAATGGGAATTTAAAAAAAATAAAAAAATCGTAAAGTGGAAAAATTGAAAAATCGATAAATGGGAAATTTAAAAAACGAAAATCTGAAAATTCGAACAACTGAAAAATCAAAAAACGAGAAATCTAGAAGTCGAGAAAAATCGAAAAGTCTAAAAATAGAAAAACCAAGAAAATTTCGAAAATTTCAAAATTTGAAGAACGAAAACTGAAAAATTGAAAGATTGAGAATTCGAAAAGTTGGAAAATCCAAAAATTGCGAATTCGAACGTCGGGAAATCCAAAAATCAAATCGAAAAGTCAAAAAATCAAGAAATTGAACACTTGAAAAGCCGAATAATCGAAATCTCCAAACATTGAAAAATCAAAATGTCGAAAATTCCAGAAATCGGACATTTAAAATGTTGATAATTGAAAATTCGGAAAATCCAGACATCGAAAAATTAAGAAACTCCAAAAACCGAAAAATTGAAGTTGAAAAATCGAGAAATTGAAAAATCCAGAAATTTTAAAGTTGGGGAATCAAAAAATCCAAAAGTCGAAAGATCAAGAAATCGGGCTTTTAAAATGTTGAAAAAAAATCGAAAAGTAAAAAAATAGAAAATGCCAACATCGAAAAAGCGAAAAGCAAAGAAATTGAAGAGTCTAAGAACTAAAGAATGGAAAATTTGAAAAATCGAGAATGCGAAAATTCGAAAGTTTGAAAAATCGAAGAATTGAAAAACAGAAAGTCGAAAATCGGAAAGGAAAATTCGAAATTTCGAAAATTGAAAATTTGCAATATCGAAAGGCTGAAAAGTCGAAAAATCGAAAAGTGGAAAATTCGAGGAATCGATAAACCGAAAAATCTAAAATTAAAATATCAAAAAACTGAAAAATACCTGAAACGAAAAAATTGCCAAAATGGTGTTGTGCCGAAAAGTTGAGAAATTGAAAAATCGATAAATTTTAACATTGAAAAATCGAGAAGGTGAGAAATGGAAAATTTGAAAAATCTATAAATGGGAAATTTAAAAAAACGAAAATCTGAAAAATCGAAAAACTGAAAAATCAAAAACCGAGAAATCGAGAAGTCGAGAAAAATCGAAATGTCGAAACATAGAAAAACCGAGAAAATTCGTATTATTGAAAATTAAACCATCGAGAAATGGAAACATTATACGTTTTTTTTTCTCCATTTTTTCTGTAGATTGTTTTCGCTTTTTTGACTCAATTGAATTTAGTCCTATGCCCTTTTATGACTTTTTGTTATTTTTTGTCGCTTTTTGACTCCATGTTTTAGTCTCATTTTGGCGGTTTTTATTTCGTTTTTTCTACATGAAATGACTCAACTTGGTTTCATTTAACCCTACCTTACGTAACTTGTTTTAACTTGAAATGGCTTGACGTGACCTGAAATGACTTAACTTGATTTCACCTGACTTGACTTCGTCCGACTTCTTTAAACATGAAATGATTTAACGTAACCTAAAATGACTCAATTTTATTTAACCTGACCTGACCTTACCTGATGAGACTTATTGAAACCTGAAATGACTTAACAGGACCTGACATGACTCTATCTGACTTTATCGGACTTGACTTTATGTGACCTGACGTGACGTGACATGAAATGACAACGTGAAAGTTCACTTGATTTAACTTGACTTGGCCTGAAGTAACTTGTTTTAACTGGAAATGACAACGTGACCTGACATGACTCAATTTGACTTTCCCTGACCTGAACTGACGTGGCCTGAGTTAACCTGAACTGACTTAACGTCAGAAAGTAAAAACGTAAAAAAATTGGGTTGCTAGCGAGGGAAGTTCTGCGTAACCAACTTCGGACCAATTTAAAGCCATTAAAAGTCCCACGATGACATTACGTTCCGGCCCATGACACCGCATGAAAGCCTTACACATCTCCTAATCGCCGCCCCCGCCCCCGGAAGTCTTCGCCCCCATAATTTATTAAAATATTCCCCGATCTAATCACACCACCTTTCATCCTCTCCTTATCCTTCCGCCCCAGCGCCCCCGCGTCCCACGCAGCCGCTTATCACCGTCCCAGCGTCGCGACGCTCGCTCCGCATTCACCCTCGCGCCGCGACGCCCGCCGCGTGCTTCTCATGGGCGGCGAACTCGTCTCCATGCTCGATCTGGCGGCCCTCCACATCGATGAAGAAGAAGAGTTCCGCGCCGACCGCCGCCGCGCTGCTCGCGTCCTAGCCGCGTCGACCGCCGCCCCCGACATGCTGGCGGCGGAGTACCTGGGGCCCTTCTCCGAGGCGCACGCCACGGCCGTGCTCGAGTTCAGGAACAGCGCGCTGGCCACCAACTCCTCGCTCAACGTGACCGAGGCCGGGTTCGTGCCCGAGCTCTTCTACAGGCACTCGATGGCGATGACGGCCGTCTACTGTGTGGCGTATCTGCTGGTGTTCGCGGTCGGGATCGTGGGGAACTTCTTTGTTATCGCGGTGGTGTTCCGCTCGCCGAGGATGAGGACCGTCACGAACTTCTTTATTGTTAACTTGGCGGTGGCGGATATCTTGGTGATTGTTTTCTGTCTGCCGGCGACGCTCATGTCTAACATCTTCGTGCGTAAGTACAAGGGGGTGGATGTCTCATTGGGGATGTAATTATGTCTAATTGGTTTACTTAAGGATTTTTATTGCTGGAAAGCGAGCCGAGGGAGTGTTGTAATAGAGTCATTCCGAAGGGGATCTAATTGCGTGTTTTTGCGGCGTTTAGCGGCTTGTACAAGACGAAATAGTGGCTCTCCCGTTTATGTATGTCATAGTCATAAGCAATATATTGTATTCATCTGCGCTAAAAATTTGGTGACAGCACAAATAAACTTACACATGTCAATACATTTTTCTGCATAATAAACTCTTTTAAAACTCTTTTAAATTTAATTAATTCAAAGTTTGAATTGATGTAGACAGTGTATTGTAAAATCCTCTTCTAAATTTGACTTAAAATGTCCCAGGTAAATTCCTCGGTCATATGTTCTGTGAATTGATACATATTGAAATCCTGTAAACGCCGTTGTTTTTAACTCGAATGTGGAAACTTAATTTACTATACTGCAAATATGACACAGACACGGCGTCGACGTCGCGACACAAACTCTTCTTACTTATTCACTTTACATTTTTCCATGATATTAGAATAATAATCAATTTTTGCATTTACTTTTTAATTCCGTAACAAACCATCTTGAGTTATTATTTTTAGTATAAAATTGTCCTTTCTGGAAAATCCAGTTTTAAATTAATTTTCGTCTTGTCAGGTCACCGGAAATTGATAGTGTTTTTTATTGCTCTGTCAGTAGTATTATCTGCGGTATCTTTAAAATTTCTGGAATCTACAGTGTCGCTGACTACTAATTAAAATATTTGGAATGTTTATGATATCTGCGATCTCTAGGATATACCAGGTGTCTAGAAGCTGCTAAGATACGACTGATTTTGGCAAATGAGATATCCGCTAAGAAAAGAGGGGGTGGGTGGGCGCGGCTAGTACTTGGTAAGATAAAACTGATTTTGGCAAATGGCATAAGCCCTAAGAAAAAGGAGGGTGGGTGGGCGGGGCTAGTGTGGTTTTTAAAAGTGAAATTTTTCCAATGGTTCCTTCATCAAATTTCGGCCAATTTTTGACATTTTCGAAATTTAACTAAATACATTTTCTTGTAGATTTCGAGCTCTAGAAATCACTTCCGGTTACGTTTCTTTGATAACTCTAACCATTTTTCCAGAATCGACTGTTGAAATATCGGAATTTTTAGAAATTTCTTCTTTCATAAATGTTGCTCCGTGACCATCGACAGGCTATATTTATGGAATCAGCATATCGAGATCTACCTCTCTCAATTTTTTCAGAATTTTTAGACAACTTTTGTAAAAGTGAAATTTTTCCAATGGTCCCCCCTTCTTCAAATTTTTGCCAAAATTTGACATTTTCGAAAGTGAACTAAATACATTTTCTTGTAGATTTCGAGCTCTAGAACTCATTTCCGGTCCCGTTTTTTTGATAACTCCAACGGTTTCTCCGGAGTCGACTGTTGAAATAGCAGAATTTTTAGAAATTTCCAAAAATTCGCATTTCGTACCGATTCTTTCTAAAATGTTGTCCCGGGACCATCGACACGCTATATTTTTTGAATCAGCATGTCGAGATCTACGTCCCTGAATTTTTTCAGAATTTTTAGACAACTTTTGAAAAAGTGAAATTTTTCCAATGTTTGCCAAAATTTGACATTTTCGAAACCTAACTAAATACATTTTCTTGTAGATTTCGAGCTCTAGAACTCACTTCCGGTCTCGTTTTTTTGATAACTCCAACAGTTTTTCCAAAGTCGACTGTTGAAATCTCGGAATTTTTAGAAATTTACAAAAATTCGCATTTCGTACCGATTCTTTCTAAAATGTTGTCCCGGGACCATCGACACGCTATATTTTTGGAATCAGCATGTCGAGATCTACATCCCAGAATTTTTTCAGAATTTTTAGACAACTTTGGTAAAAGTGAAATTTTTCCAATGGTCCCCCCTTCTTCAAATTTTTGCCAAAATTTGATATTATCGAAACTTAACTGAATACATTTTTTTGTGGATTTCGGGCTCTAGAACTCATTTCCGGTCCCGTTTTTTTGATAACATCAACGGTTTTTCCGGAGTCGACTGTTGAAATCGAAATTTTTAGAAATTTCCAAAAATTCGCTTTTCGTACCGATTCTTCCTTATGTGTTGCTCCGTGACCATCGACACGCTATATTTTTGGAGTCAACATGTCGAGATCTACGTCCTTGATTTTTTTCAGAATTTTTAGACAACTTTTGTGAAGGTGAAACTTTTTCAATGGTCCCCTCTTCTTCAAAATTTTGCCAAAATTTGACATTTTCGAAACTCAACTAAATACATTTTCTTGTAGATTTCGAGCTCTAGAACTCATTTCCGGTCTCGTTTTTTTGATAACTCCAACGGTTTTTCCGGAATCGATTGTTGAAATATCGGAATTTTTAGAAATTTTCAAAAATTCGCATTTCGTACCGATTCTTTCTAAAACATTGCTCCGTGACCATCGACACGATATATTTTTGGAGTCAGCATGTTGAGATCTACGTCCCTGAATTTTTTCAGAATTTTTAGACAACTTTTGTAAAAGTGAAATTTTTCCAATGGTCCCCCCTTTCTTAAAATTTTTGCCAAAATTTGATATTTTCGAAACTCAACTAAATACATTTTCTTGTTGATTTTGAGCTCTAGAACTCATTTCCGGTTTCGTTTTTTTGATAACTCCAACGATTTTTCCGAAATCGACTATTGAAATATCGAAATTTTTAGAAATTTCCAAAAATTCGAATTTCGTACCGATTCTTTAGAAAATGTTGCTCCGTGACCATCGACACGCTATATTTTTGGAATCAGCATGTCGAGATCTACGTCCCTGAATTTTTTCAGAATTTTTAGACAACTTTTGTAAAAGTGAAATTTTTCCCTTCTCCAAATTTTTGCCAAAATTTGACATTTTCGAAACTTAACTAAATACATTTTCTTGTAGATTTCGAGCTCTAGAACACACTTCCAGTCTCGTTTTTTTGATAACTCCAACGGTTTGTCCGGAATCGACTGTTGAAATATCGAAATATTTAAAAATTTTCAAAAATTCGCATTTCGTACTGATTCTTTCTAAAATGTTGCTCCGTGACCATCGACACGCTATATTTTTGGAATCAGCATGTCGAGATCTACGTTCCTGAATTTTTTCAGAGTGTTTAGACAACTTTTGTCAAAGTGAAATTTTTCCAATGGTCCCCCCTTCTTCAAATTTTTGCCAAAATTTGACATTTTCGAAACTTAATTAAATACATTTTCTTGCAAATTTCGAGCTGTAGAACTCATTTCCGGTCTCGTTTTTTTGATAACTCCAACGGTTTTTCCGGAATCCACTGTTGAAATATCGGAATTTTTAGAAATTTCCAAAAATTCGCTTTTCGTACCGATTCTTTCTAAAATGTTGCTCCGTCACCATCGACACGCTATATTTTTGGAATCAGCATGTCGAGATCAACGTCCCTGAATTTTTTCAGAATTTTTAGACAACTTTTGTCAAAGTGAAATTTTTTCAATGGTCCCCCCTTCTTCAAATTTTTGCCAAAATTTGACATTTTCGAAACTTAACTAAATACATTTTCTTGTAGATTTCGAGCTCTAGAACTCACTTCCAGTCTCGTTTTTTTGATAACTCCAACGGTTTGTTCGGAATCGACTGTTGAAATATCGAAATTTTTAAAAATTTTCAAAAATTCGCATTTCGTACTGATTCTTTCGAAAATGCTACTCCGTGACCATCGACGCGCTATATTTTTTAAGTCAGCATGTTGAGATCTACATCCCTGAATTTTTTCACAATTTTTTGACAACTTTTGTAAAAGTGAAATTTTTCCGATGGTCCCCCCTTCTTCAAATTCTTGCCAAAATTTTACGTTTCCGAAACTCAACCAAATACATTTTCTTGTAGATTTCGAGCTCTAGAACTCATTTCCGGTTTCGTTTTTTTGATAACTCCATCGGTTTTTCCGGAATCGACTGTTGAAATATCGAAATTTTGAGAAATTGTCAAAAATTCGCATTTCGTAGCGATTCCTTCGAAAATGTTGCTCCGTGACTATCAACACGCTATATTTTTGGAATCAGCATGTCGAGATCTACGTCCCTGAATTTTTTCAGAATTTTTAGACAACTTTTGTAAAAGTGAAATTTTTCCAATGGTCCCCACTTCTTCAAATTTTTGCCAAAATTTGACATTTTCGAAACTTAACTAAACACATTTTCTTGTAGATTTCGAGCTCTAGAAGTCATTTCTGATCTCATTTTTTTGATAACTCCAACGGTTTTTCCGGAATCGACTGTTGAAAAATCGAAATTTTTAAAAATTTCTAAAAATTCGCATTTCGTACCGATTCTTTCTGAAAAGTTGTTCCGTGACCATCAACATGCAATATTTTTGGAATCATTATCTCGAGATCTACGTCCCTGAATTTTTTCAGAATTTTTAGACAACTTTTGTAAAAGTGAAATTTTTCCAATGGTCCCCTCTTCTTCAAATTTTTGTCAAAATTTGACATTTTCGAAACTTAACTAAATACATTTTCTTGTAGATTTCGAGCTCTAGAACTCACTTCGGGCATCGTTTGTTTGATAAGTGCAACCGTTTTTCCGGAATCGACCGTTGAAATATCGAAATTTTTAGAAATTTTCAAAAATTCTCATTTCGTACCGATTCTTTCTAAAGTTTTGCTCCGTGACCATCGACACGCTATATTTTTGAAATCAGCATGTTGAGATCTACGTCCCTGAATTTTTTCAGAATTTTTAGACAACTTTTGTAAAAGTGAAATTTTTCCAATGGTCCCCCCTTCTTCAAATTTTTGCCAAAATTTGACATTTTCGAAACTTAACTAAACACATTTTCTTGTAGATTTCGAGCTCGAGAACTCACTTCTGGTCTCGTTTTTCGATAATTCCAACGGTTTTTCCGGAATCGACTGTTGAAATATCGGAATTTTTAGAAATTTCCAAAAATTCGCATTTCGTA